AGAACAACAACAAACCTAAAGTACTAGGACACCAGAAATATTAAACAGATAAATAATATAATAAATAATACTTTTACAGCTCAGTATATATATCTTATATTACACTATAACAAAATTGTGCAACAACGGGGAATGCGCCTTATTATTCTTAGTTTTAGTAAGTTTAATTGATCCGGGGGTGTCCGATGGCGGGCGTCGTTCTTAACAAATAGCGGGTAGCATACTGGCGTAGTACAAATGTATGTGTGATTGTCGGTATTTTACTTGTGTGATGTCTTGAATCCCTCTGGTCGTAGTACATCTTTGGCCTTGCAAAGGAAAGTTGCGACGTTGTCATGTTTTGCGTTCACTCGTATAAATTGTCCGTCGGGGCTCCAGGATTCCATAACCGCGGTTGGAGACTGGTTTATATAAATCAGTTGTCTGAATAAAGTTTGTTACAAACAAATTGGACTCAATGTTACGATTATCTATATATAATCGTGATTTTATGTTAAATTAGAGATTTAAGTAATTGCAACTGTCAAATGGTATACAAGTAACAACAAAGGAGAGTTTCAATCTGTTTGTAACAATTGCATTGTTATGTTGGTCGCTGGTTGGTATGGGATCGAAGCAAGAGCCACGTCGATCGGAAAGCTTATCCTAGTCATACACTGAGATTCGCAGGGGTTGTTTCGACTGTCTGCGTTGTCGCCTTGAGGCCAATATGGTCCAAGGGGGAATAATCGCGCGCACACAGTCCTCGTTGTGAAGTGTTAGCTGTCGAAAGGGAACCTGTGTAGTGATATTTATGATACAATCTGACAAATCATTTATCTTATAATTATTAAAAATTTGGACCACTGTATAGTTGTAACTACGCTTATATATTGTCCTCCCCATTTGATTATTTATATCGAATAATTAATTTTGAATATTTTTTATTAAATTATATTATTATATGTATATCAATCGATAGGTGCTGTTGTATTTAATTTTTAAATGTTACTAACGCAATTGTGATAGAAATAACGTCTCTCTTGTAATCTATCGGGTGAATGTAAAAAGAAATTATGCCAAAACATAAAAAGGGTATATTAAACATTACTTTTAGGATAAATGGAGTTAAAATGAAGTTTTATACTAATCAAATTTTACTATTGACACTATAATTTTCTAAGTACAGATAGATTTAATATTCATATCATGATGGTCTTGTTCTAGTACTTGTGTAAAGTAATGTAGGATGTTAAGACTGTTGTTGATGTCATGTCTGAGCCTGGAATTCTTGTATGTTAGCATTATTGCATCAAAAAATAAACAAATATATTAAAAAATTAAAAATAACAAAGAAAAGAATTGGTAAAACAGAATCCGTATACTTACCCATAAAAAGGAAACTGATTCTGCTTCCAGCTTTAAAAGGATAAATGTTATTTTGTCGGAACTTTAACTAAATTTGATTAAATATTTAGAAACAGTGTAACACTTGTCAAGCCATTCATAATAAAAATAATTTGATTTTATGAAAGAATTCCAGACCCACCTACTACCACCTATTTCAGTTTACCTTTATTGCACTCTACAATTCGAATATAATAATATTACATACAGTCTACTAGTGACGCTAGTAATAATTAATCACTATACTTAATAATATACTAATAATTGCTAGTGATACTAGTATATCCCCAAAATTCCACTGTTTCTAAAATAAATTGCATTTACAGTTTTTTGTTCCATAATAACTATCGTATACACATGTAATATCTATAACACAACAGATCAAGAAGCAGTGATATTAAGATATTTTGAAGTAGACTGTATTCTGAGTCGATATATTATTAAAAACAAATATTACAGCCCTGGTATTATTAGATGAAGACTTCTGACTCAGTATTGAAAGAAACCAACAGAACACTGCGATGCGCTTGCATTGCTTATGGAAACTAGAGCTTTATTATAACAAGTTTATCTTATTTGTAGTTGAACATGTTTGATCTCTTTATTTTTAATAGGATTTTGATGGACATTTTTACTTAATAGTTGTAGCAGTATGTAGTATTGAAATAGTGGAATTATTATGATCATGTTTGTTTATATAAATATGATTGGTGTGCGAATTAAATATACCTTGAGATTGTGTTGTGTAAAGAAATATTTTTTCTCATTTTTCTTCTGTTTTTTCACTGTATGGTAAACAAATTCTATAGAGACTTTTATATTTTCATATGTTTGTGATCCAATACCGCGCCCAGATGTGTAATGTAAAGCAAATAGTTAAAAAGCACGCGATTGCCTTTATATTGTTGTAAAATGTTTATAGAAAATATACCACGAACATGACTATATGTATATACTGATGCATACTACCTATATTATATATACTATATTCAGATTGCATTACATTACTGCCATCTAAACGCACCTTTAGTTTTAATAAGCAACCGGAACATTACAATAAATTTATAGATTCCGATATGTATTGTTATGTATATACCTGCTAACATGTATTGCTGTACTTACGTCCTAAATTTTTCGCATAATATTGCCTCAGCTCAAATTGTGCCCCAATGTAAAACATCAACAGATTAATATTTGTATAATTGTTTGGTTGTCTCAATATCACAAATTGTAACTTACTTTGTATTTGGAATGTATATTTATTTACAAAATTAATATCATCCCAAAGTTATTTAATCAGAATGTGACACAGTTGGAACTTCTCAAAAGGCTTATTAAGATTTCAGAACGATTGTAATTATTTCTATTTCCTATTCCGTTAGAAACCTATCTATTGTATTTGCTTGTATATATTATTTATATTAAGTTCAATTTCATGCATGTATTAATGTGCTCATTATCAACTATGTTCCGTAAACGTCGGCAACGCTTGACGGGGAAGTTTCAACCGTGCGTGTGCGTTGACATTTTGGATAGTGTTTCGAATTTACCACGAGAAGCCTTCACGTTGTCTGTACATTTTATTTGTAAATATGTAATTTCGATAACGATTAATGCTAAACAACGAGCGATCCGTCGCGTATTGTCAGCCGTTTGGACTTCTGCGCACACAGACAACATAAACGAAATACAGTTAATGTTATTATAAGTAAAGTGTAACATGACAAACATTCCACAGGCACTATCGAATTAGCTCAATGCAAAAGACTGTTTGAGACTTTAAAAAAATAATGATATCATGATAACGAAATGAAAAATATTTTCTGAAGCACCTTAACGACTTTACAAAATGTGTTTTGATTTAATAATAAGATCCAATGTTTAACTCACTAGTATGTAAGGACAAATGCTTTACGTCACTGTGATAGACAATACAAATTTATCTGAGAGAGACACCATAGACAATTATATGGAAATTTGTAAATTGTCATAATGTAAACGGCATGTTGCAGTTGCTCTCAGTGGGACGGACGCGGCTCGATTTCGTTGTTCTTTTATTGTGAGATTTTACCATAAGATTGATAACGTTGCGGTCTGCTAAGAAGTTTTATGTTGTAATTTTTTTTACTAATGACGATCACATCACACGTTGAGGCCAATATACATAATATTTATCTTTCTACAATATAGTTAGTAAAAAAAATATAAGTACTTAAACTGTATAGTATAGTATGTCTTTACATGCAATATGAGGATTTATTTCAGACAGCAGGAGTGACATTAATATTCTCTATGGTCCCTAATATTATAATTATTTTAAAATATAGGTATACTCTTTGTAACACTTTTTAACATAATATTTATTATTTAGATTTCCTATAAATAACATAAGTACAAAATTTTAATCACCTATATTCCTTTTTAGTCCCCTATTGTATATTATAAGGTAGTCCTATATATAACATTTCATATTTCTATACCGACCGACTGACTTTTTTTCTCTCAATGACAGTACACAATTCACTCTGCTTATAAAAAATAAATCTTATAGGTTATACCTACATAATATCATTAAAAATTTAATAGATAATAGAGACGTTCCCTGTTTAATCACTACGGCTTCTTAACACTTCCGAAAACGAAGTACCAGATGTAGATAACAAAATCAACATAATGACAACGGAATAAATTACAATTTAAAACAACAATCAAATTTAAATTCTTATTTTGAATTCCATAGTATCTATATTATATGCGAAATCGGGTGGCGAGCAATTCGTAAGTGTAATATCAAGTACAAAGACGATGTATGTGCAGAAGTTCGTTCTCGGCTCGATGCAGCGTTCGAGCGACTAGTAGTGCGTGTGTGCGTGCGTGTACGCATGCGTGCTTTCGTGTGTGTATACGTACGTGCATGTGTGTGCGTGTGTGCCCACAGCGGCAGTTGGTGGTGAGGCCGCGCGGCCAGACTCTCGCCTCTCGTGTCTCGCTGTTTTGTTTGTTGACACATTATGTATATTTGAATGAATCAAATTATAAGAGAATATGAATTTTAATACTTGAGTTTTTATTTTATTCTTTATTATTATGCCTAACTTAGCTCCATCTTTAGAGAGAATTGTAAGTTGTTTACCACCGTACCTCATTTCATATGTTTTGTATAGCCAAACTACTTGTTTAATACATGAAAGATTTTAGATAGTGTATCAAATTTAGTTTGAGATACAGTACCGTATCTCAAACTAAATTTCTTATGTCACAAGAGTCGGCAACACAAAAATGTTGCTGGTACATAGGATCCTAAACTGCAGCGATCATCAGAAGGTCTTTATGTTGATAACCAGTCTCGTCTCCTACCAAAAAATAAGAAAAACTTATGATTCACACTTTTATAGATAAATGTTTTGTTTTAAATATTTTAAAATTTATTACTGGGTCTATTAATTTTTTTCCGAACAGCAGTCCATCAAATATATTGACATATACTGGTTGCTGTTTTATTATCTAACATCACGCACAGTCACTTACAATGTAAGCAGAGAACAAAAATTATTTTCTAAAAATAACTCTTTAACATAAATGGGTCAATAAAAATAATAGATTTTATGTTTAAAACTATCTATTTACATATACACTACAAAATTACTAATTAATTAAATATATTTAAAGACAACATCCTTGAAGCTTTCGACAGTTTGTATCTCAAGTGTCACCGGACATTGAAGCCAGTTGGCTAGCAGCTCCTCAGTGTAGCCAAGTAGGAAATACATTTTCGTTGGAGACACAGCTCTTCGTATGATTGCTGCCACCCGTATATGATTAAACTGTCGTTTTATTATTACCTGTAAAGAGAACAAGCATTTACTAAAACCATTCATATAATCTATAGAATAGGATATATATACATCAAAAATTTAATTTAATAAATATTTGTCTGCCTGTTTGTTCTTGTCTTAATCTCTAAAATGGATGATTGATCTAATTGTAGAAATGGAAATTCCAGTTAAATTTATTAGGCCTAATAAACATGGAATATATAGAGTAGGAAGGCATGAAACCTGAAGTAATAATAATACATGAGTTAATAGTGTCGAAGGTTACTAGGGCCTTAGGCCTTAACCTGGGAAATCATCACTGCTATTATTTATTTATGTACAATTTGAGATTGAAGCAGTATTTTCTATTAGAGATCACATTTGAGGTTTCTCTCCAATTGATATTGTCTTTCACACAGTACTTGTATAATGTTGATAATATATATATATATATATAGTCAAAGTAAAATCATATAGGACATTGATACAGTTCTACTAGCATGAAACTATATTCTCTCTCTTTCTACTTTAGGCAAGAGTAGAATAGACAATAAATGAGGAATAAAATGAGAACAATAAATTCTCTATGGTTGTGTGTGACCAGCAGGAAGTTTTTGTTGTATATTATAGGTGTAATATTGTATAATTACATTATGCAAATAAAATACTAACTTCACTACAAACAAGACCATGCCATGTGCCAGTCATGAATCTTCGAATGAATTCATCTTCTACAGCTGTCTCAGATCTTCTAAGCCCATCCTTTAAACTAGCTGAAAAATAAGACATTAAAAAATTATGAACATTTTTCATGAATTCACACTATTCAGCACTCATACCTTCAAATTTATAAATTGATATGCAAAAGTATAAGTCAAAATCATTTAATATTATAGAATATTTTTTGCCACTTATGAATGTAATTTTATTTATCAGTCCAGATGCTACTTTATTTGAAGACTAACAAGCAACTAAACTATTCTTTTTTTGCAAATCTATCTAACTGACAAATATAGGGATAGAAATTGTTAATACCAGTAGTCCAATTCCTAGGAATATAAGGTAGAGCTCCTAACAAATCCACCAGTAAACAATCATAGTTAATTTCTGGCCAATTTGCCATTACCGGGCTGACTGAGCTGACTTTATGATCATACTCTACTGTGTCCCGCCAGCATATACCATTTGTGCAGGCAGTTATACTGCATGTAAAAAGTTTACTATAACAATGGAATTTTTACATACATGTATTCCAAGAATTCCACGACTTCCGATGAGCTATATAGTGTGGGGGGTTAGCCATTTCGTACGTAAGCGGCCTGTCTCTTTTCTTGGTTATGCGATATTTTCCTGACACAACTCGGCATAATGGTGTTGATGTATGTATTTGTGAGGCTAATGCTGGTGACAGAAGGCTGCTTAACGAGTTCTGCAACTGTTTAATAAATAATTTTCTTAACATTAACAAAAAATTTATATGAATTTATAGTAATAGATTGTCATGATGAGAAAAGACCTGCGCTAATCTTATAGAGGAATTCATTAGTCTTGTTAATAGCTATTATGCAACACAATAATGTATAAATGCAATTAATTGACCGATTTGTATCGGTTTCAACAGTTGTGATACATAGAAATAAATTTATTTATTTAGATTTATTACTTAACAAATGAAAATAAAGGTGCTAACAAATAGGTTACTTTTTTTGACACATTTGAATGACAGCGGATTGAATATGACTTTTTGACTGACAGACAGTTCTTTTCGACAAACATATCAAGAAGGCACAAAGAAGGTACAAAGCCATACAGGCTGAATGTCTTGTTGACAAAGTAACATTTTCATTTATTTATAAAAATTAAAAAACCATGCCAAAAGGTAAAAGGCATATAAAACAATTAATTTAATCTGCATGTTATACATATAAAGATCTCATCGCCATTTGTAATAAATAATAATAAACTATTGGAAACTCTTATTGGGGACTATATAAAGTAACGGAACCTAAAACAGGCATCTATTTGTAGATTGATGTAATGGAACTTTATATAGGACTAGTAGATATAAGAAATTAAATTGCCTAAAGCATTATCCCTAATACTTACTTATTTACGTTTCTCGATAACAATTTGATGGTAATTGTTCAATAAACATAAATCTTACTAACAATAACAGTAATTGCTTTTTTAATTGGTGATTACATAATCTCGTGTTTTGTTAATATAATGGGTAGCTTCACATTGAACTATAGACCTACTGCTTTTAAAAATAATGTTTTACTGGCAACATGCATTTTTGTTATTCTTTATTTCTTACTGCAGTGGTATGTACTTACTGAGCTTATATAGGGTGTAGTGTAAGAGTCATCGATGTCTAAGTATATCAACATAACTAATGTATACTACAAATTTATTATTTGTTCTCAATTTCATGTCAGAGGATTTTCCTTCCGGAAAACACTCATGCTGTTTCAAAAAAATATCCAACCAATGCTTTTCTTAAAAATAAAATGAGGATTTAAAATAAACTATATTACTAAAGGCTGGCCAAAATGCTACTGATACCCCTAGCTTCCATCGGCTAACCGATTCCCTAGAATAAGTCATAGAATAGAATTTACATAGATATTGTCATTTTTTGTATTAATTTTTTTTTTCGGACTACTTTAATGCTGTTGGCCGCAGCTGGCCTTTACAGCTTTACCGGACGATAGGGGGCGAGTGCAGATGGCACTTCAAACCCGCGGAAGGACTTATGGAGCGGCTGAAGGCCAACTCTCGCCCGACGGATACTACTTTAGTCTGAGGGCACTGTTAGGGGTTCGAACTTCGGCTCAGGCCGTCGTAAAATTGGTCCCCGTTTGAATTAGACGATCGGAGGGGTTTTGTATTAAATGCGTAAATTAATTATTATTTCTTAAAATTGTTTTAGCACTAAACGACGATATTAAAATAAAAAATAATATAGCGAACGAAATAATACAAAAGGTGCATAGTTTTACATTAAAATCATTACCAGAAACTTCTTACGACGACAAGATTAAAATTTTGAAGAAGCTCGAAAGTAAATTGCAAAAAACTGGAGATTCATTGGGTACTCGTGGTGATAAATATATTCGACTTATTATGCAAGGAATAAAAACAATTTTTTTAAATAACACAAAGAAGGAGAATAATAGTAATATATCTAATTGGGAAGTTGCCCGTAAGAATAATGATCAAAATACTGAAATTAACAGCAAAGGAAAAATAATAAAAGACATTGTTTACAGAATAGAATCACTGGCTAGAAAAACTTTAGAAAATGCTATATCAATTGATGATAAAAGAAAAATTATTGAAGAGATGAGTGAAAAGATTACAGATTTAGCTGAGAAAAAACATATTATGGTTCATGATAAACATGGTAATATTAAAACTTTCAATGACCTTATAATACAGGGAGTAAAATTAATGATGGAGAAAACTTTAGCGAATAATAGTAGACGAATGCATATTGATTTTGTTAATAGCTATAATGTAGATAGTAAGAAATCCATTAGTTCTGAAATTATTACGAAGAAAAATTATCTAAATGATGACTCAAGTACAACAACATTGAATTCAGGAACTAACCAATATTTAAATTCAAATGACTTAAACAACAGTTTGTCTTGTGAACAAGAAGTAGACAAAGCATGTTCTAAAGTAAAAACTATTAACCAATTGAAATGTGCCATCGAAGATAACTTTATAACTGTAGATAAACTTTGTAATGGAGTTTTCGATTGTGGAGACAGATCTGATGAATATAACTGTGTAGCACAAGGTAGGTACATTATATTCGTAGCACGTAAAATCATAGTGAAACGGTATGTATTAAATTATTATTTTCATTCTTATAATAATAAATTGTTTGTAGTATTTATAAGTACAATATTATAATTTATAAGTACTTGTAAATAACAATTTATTATAAATAAAAATAATATTAATACAAAAATGTGGACAAGCAGCTGAAATGATATTGATTATAGAGTCACATTAAAATTGCTTCGTTTTCTAGCTGCTGAAAAGGTACAGAGCGCAACCATTATAATATTGGAAATTCAATCTAAGGTTTTAAGAACATGTGTAAATACAGAAGTAGATAATGTTATTCTAAGAAAACAAAATGATGTTTTGAGCGATGTTCTAAAAAGTCAATTGACCTTTATACAAAAATATTCGAGTACAAAAAAACTAGAGGAAATGCAAGGAAATAATGTAATTAAAAAGACAGTAAATGAAGTAGCCACGGTTTTAAGTACTCTATCTTCAGCTCTTGAAGGTTCAATATGTCCACGGAATTATAGTCGTCGCAACGCTGGTACCTCAGAAAGATACACAGGTTTAGTAAGTGAAAATGTAGATGAGCCTGATCTTGGAATGCCTTTGAAGTATTGTACTTGCGATAAAGGATTTTGCGCCAATAACACTTGCACTGCTATTTGTCGACGTGTATGTTGGGAAAAATATATACTGGGCCGATTTGGATGTCAAGCAGTCGATGAAAACTCAAGTGTCCCATTAGACTTTCTTTGCGATGGCAAACTTGATTGCTATGACGAAACAGATGAATTGGGATGCATATTTGGTAAGTACTAGTATATCGGTACACTTTATATATAATTTAGGTAATAATAAATATATATTTATTCACTCATTTGTATTTTCAGGAGTAACATATGCAAAATTTGAATCAGTGGATATATACAATACAATACTTAAAATTATAGCGACTAAGGCGGTATCTGAAAAATATGCTGCAGTTCGGAATTCATTGTTGTCGTTACATGCCTCTACTGAGAAGCTACAAAAACTCACAGTAAAACTTAAACCCGACATATTGTCAATAAAAGCAGCCAGAGAATCTAGTTTTGAAATATTAACTTCGATTTATATTGATATTGTAAATAAAACTGCCGTACATTCTCAAGATATAGACGAAGCCCATGAGTTTTTAATGTCATTGAATGAGAAATTGATAACTGCTTTAAAACGTTCGAATACAGGCAACGAGCGAATTTTAGCAACGAATGGTTGCTTTTGTAAGAATGGCCGCTGTGCTTTGCCTGAATGTTCCAAAAAATGTTCACGGGCTTGTTCCGCTGAACCAAAGTTAACAAGGTATTATTGTAAAGAAGAGTCGAAAAATAGTTTTGTACCCATCGATAGTATTTGTGATGGGAGAAATCATTGTCCAAATGGAGATGATGAAACACATTGCAAAAAAGGTAAATATGTAAATTCCTTGTCTAAAAATATTATTTTCTCTCCATTCGAGTTTGGAGACACATAAATAATAATCACGGTAATCGTAATGCCCCAGTGTAAAATATCAGTAACATGTTTTTAACCTTTAAGAAATATGTTCATAATATAGACAATTAATGACATGACTTCAAAATAATCTATATCAATATTAGGTACTTAGTGGCTTACAACTTAGATATAAAGCGCAAAGGTCGTAAGTTCGAACTAAAACTTTCTGCCTCTATTTATATTTCTGATTGACACTTCATGGATGGAGACATCAATAACAATGTAGTTTAACTATTTTTAACTATATGTACCTACTCATAGGCATGTCAAGTGTAACTTTGATATTTTACAATATTTTTTTGTAAAAACATATCCCACAATCCACAATTAACATTATTAACTTTTATATTTAGACGTATGTCGCAAACATCACTTATTATTACTGCAAAAGAGTCTCGAGGGAGTGGACGCGAAGCATAAAGGAACTGCTTTGGGTGAAATTCTCAACTCCTGGAAAATAAAGGTGAGGCTTTTCTGAAGTTATCGTAACTTAATTATTAAAAAATGACAATATATGAGTAGGTTAAGATGTATAAGGTCTAAGATTCGAGAAAAGACATATGTACTTTCATTGAATACTTAATAACAATTATGCACTTTAATGAAAAGTTTTGGTTATCTTCCCTCATTTGATATTATAATATATTAATAACGTAATATAAATTATTAATATATGTATGTATTTTGTATTGATATATTATCTATTTCTATCTTTATAGTGCGCCACCTACATTTCCTTTACTTAAAGCTTTAATCTCCCAGGTAGTCTGTAAGAGATTGCTTTAAGCGCTAGATTGCTTTAGGCCGCCTGTTGGTTAGCATCGATATATTCAATTCTTTTTTTGTATTTTTTTCTGTGCACAATAAAGAGTTATATTATTATTACTCTAAAGAATTTAAACCGCATATGTAGGATACCTTTATTTTGGAACTATGGGATTGTCTGGTATAAACAGATACCTGTAAGCTGGTGTAAGTTGTTTATTTTAATGATATCCTGCAGGGGACTGCCACTCTGAAAATTGCTGAGAATAATGGTCGACCTACAATTAATATATTAAGAGACGTCGTAGGAGATATTCTGCGTGATTTGGTAGCAACTTACGCTTCAGTAGACGAGTTCAGGAGAACCAATGGAGATGAGAAATCTAATAATAATACATATAAAGATTTCTTCAAGATATCCCAACAAGTTATAGACGTATTAAAGGAGTGTGCAAAATAAAGGATGGGCTTTATTAATTTCCTAAAATGAGATGCGGTTGCCTATTTTATAAGACTACCGCGATTGACTGACTGCAAATATAATAAAATAACGGATTTAGGCATCAGTCAGGTTGTAATGATTGCCAACCTATCCAATATCCACTGCTAAACAATTACCTCACATGTTAATGTTACTTCACAAAGTTCATACTCGGTGTTTTTTTTATTATTTCCACCTGATATTTTGTACACCATCATGTTGTCTCCGATTCACCTATTTTTAACGGCTGCTGTATTCCAGTATAAAGTAATTTTAATTGGAATAGCAAACAAGCTGATGGATTTTTATTTAATGTTAGACATAGACACCTATATAAGTAAGAAATGTAAATAATCTGTCCTTTAAAAAAATCTGTTGAATTTCTTGCAAGTTCTTCTCAATTGAATCTATATACTGAACTGAACGGTAGGGAAGAAAATATAATACAAAACATTTTACGTTCATAAATGATTTTTAATTTCATTATATGTACGTTATATGTACATATTATTGTATATTCTTCTCAATCTACATCCTACAACAAACATCGCTTACAAAGCAAAGCTATAGATAATTTATGATGTCACGTGTATTAGATACGCCTACATCTGTACTGATAACAGATAAGGCAGGTGTTTCACAGTTCACGTCAGAAGCGACACGTCGAGTGAACGCATCAGTCTTTGTTTATCGATACAAAATGGCCGGTAAGTTATTGTCTATGATTAATTTATTTCTAATATTATTCTACTAATATTATAAACGCAAAAGTTTGTGAGTATGGATGGATGTTTGTTACTCTTTCACGCAAAAACTACTGAACAGATTTTGATGAAACTTTACAGTAATATAGCTTATATATCAGAATAACATAGGCATTAATTTAAAAAGCAATTATGTAAATTGGGCGAAATATAACGATAAGTGCGATGCAGACGAAGTTGCGCGGGTCAGCTAGTATTAAATATTGCAATTGCTATTCTAATTTGTACTTTAATGTAAGGAAGAATTTATTAATTTATTCCATTACACTAAATATTTTAAAAGTATCAAAAGAAGTTTCCCCTGTCTGTACGATGATGTTTTTTAAATTCAAGAATAAGTTCTATATGTAGGTACCTATAATACATGTAAGACATGTACATCCGTAAGAAACTGTAGCGGGCAACTAGTAAATATATATCTTAAAATAAACAAAAATGTATATGTTGTTTTGCACGGCCCCGGTGCAACCTTGGGTGAAATCATTTGCTTACTCAGTGATTAAGAATTGAAAACAGTTCTCGATATTTCTGTACATTTGTATATAAGTATGTAGGTTTTATGACAAATTTTCATTGCAATCATTTTTATTTTCTTGTCTTCTCAGTGCTATCGGAAGTAGATAATGTGTGTACATTTTTGTGTATTTATGTTACGCGATTTTAATATTAAAAAATAATTTAAATTATTATATTAAATGAATATGAAATTATGGTGATGATGTTGATGTTGGTTTCATATGAATTTTGTACCTACGGTTTGATAATTTATATATTTTAATGTAAGAAATGATATTGGCCATTACTATATAATTAACTAAGTCTCTTCTATTATACTCTCCAATACCAATGGTTGATGTAGTTAATATGATATTAATGACACTGGTATTCTTGTGGTCATCTTTCAACTGCTAGGTATTCTCAACATCTTTTCGATGCTTTGCGCATTTTGTCCAAGAACCTGGCAGTCCTGTGTCCGTCCGGGTGCTTATAACTTTGTGACAAATCAATCAAATTAAAATATCTTTATTCATGAAGGTCTATTACAGACTCGTATGATAAATCAAGTCTACCGTCAGGTCGGAGTGCTTACGAACTAAGAAGAACTGACAAGAAACTCAGCATTTATTCTTTTCAAATCAGTTTGTGCATTATTTATTACAGAAATACAGATACATTTATCAATTAGGAAGAATATAGTGTAATATATAGTACTTTATCCTACCTACCTTAGCTGATAGTCAATTTATTCTGCTTTTGCATATTTGTTAAAAGAAAATAATCTAAACTATGAAGGGAGTGGTCTAAAAATATATGAATATATAAACTATATTACTCTGGAAATGTATTCCTTTCAAAAAGTAAAAGAATTTCTGAAATCTGTTATGTGGTCCGGTAAATTAGTAAGCAAACGGCCGCTTTCATGATCCTGGAATTCGTAGCAGTAGAAATAGAAATAATCTTTATTCAAATAAACTCATTACAAGCACTTTTGAATAGTCATATTTTGATTCTACCACTCATTCGGAATGCAGATTCATCACAAGAAGAAAGAGCAAGAAACTTGTGAGTTGCTCTTTTAAATATAGTTGTTTTTTTATATAATAATTATAGTATAACAAGTAAGAGGCATGCGATAATCAACATAGAAATCGCTACGCACTCATTATTAGTGTAATCAGATAATATTGTCAGTGCTTTGGATTTTAAATTTTTTATAAAAACATTATTGTCGTTAACGAATTCTTCAATTTTATAGTAAGCTTTGCAAAGGAAGTATTTTATATGACATTAAAATCTTTTTTCAGGCAGATTTATAACAGACTCTGGTATTTTGTTGTAAAACCTTCCGCAATTGCCATAATTATAATTAGACTTGTCATAAGTGTCTGTAATGGACCTACATGAATAAATATATTTTGAATTTGAAGTTGTAGCCACATTACGTACACGAATCCTCAGAACGGTGAGGTCACTCCGTGGACACTGTGCTTGGCTAGCTACTATGGTAGTCCCGGCTCTACACGTCAACGATCCAACCGCAAGGCTAAATGCAGAAATAGAGCTCATCATACAATACGAATATTCATAAGTACAGACCTATAGACGAAAATAATCATCTAGGCCATTTGTTTTAGCTCCAGATGGTATTCGTTGGGTGAAAGCATGCTTGAGTCAAAACTGCGTACCCCCGGGCGCTCTACTGGTGGGCTTCGATGCTGACAAAGAAGAGATTTACGCTGCACGAGCGGAACACGAAGGCGATATAATACCAGCTAAATTTATACCCGCCAAGAATGCATGCTACATCGCTTACGATGGAGAGGAAGTGGCTAAAGATCAATTTGAAGTAAGTTTACTTATTTTGTAATTAACTTCACTAGTTAATACATTTTTCTGTATAACAGAAATGACACAAATGTGATGTTCAACACACCTAATAGCAATAGCAATCGTTTTCTATGTCATAGATAGCACCTATGCCAGGATTCACAACCATAAAACACTTGGTGTATGAAGAATAGAAAAGTCTGATATAATCTCGTACATTAGCACATTTTGGCTCATTTTGGTAACTCAAAATCACGTACAAACTTGTATGAGGGTCAAAATGTACTAAAGGCAAAAAATGACGTATATACGAAGATCTTGTACGGTCGAAACAGATAGTAGACAGTAAAATATCATCTCGAAGATTATACAACCGTGCTTTCGTATTGCAGGTATTAGTGCCCATGGAACTGTGCTGGCAAGAGGGATACGATGGAGCGGTGCCCCCCAACGCAGTGAAGGCTGGTTCTGCCGCTGATGGGGAAGTGCTGTACTTCGGCAGGGTTTGCCAAAACGGACATTTAGTGCCTGGCAAGGTAAATCCATTGAATTTTTATTGAAAGTGTGCCTAATTCTAAAAATTTTTTTAAACTATGCTTTCAACATATATTAATTCAATAAATAATCTGATTATAAGTTGTAACTGACCCCTATATACATGAAAGAACTCCATGCGGTTTCCTCTGTGATAAATTACTAATGTTAACTCACCTGACCTCATGCTCATCTTATCATACTCCACTGATGCCCCCGAAAAACCATTAGGCATGTGTACCAATCCATTAGCAACCATTCAAAAATACCTCTGACTACCCCATCTGGGATAAGTTTCGTTATAGTTAATAATAAAGTAAAAATAAATAACCCTGTCTTATTAACATATTAACATCATGTTAGCCACAACATCTTCCCCGTGGAATTGTAACTTTTTTTAATAATACTAAAATTTTATTTAATTACTATGGTATGGTATATACTACCATAGTATATACCATACCATATATATATACTATGGTACTAGTACTATATTATGGTAATCTCTGAAAGATGACCAAGAACAAACAGACAGACTGAAAATTTTAAAATTATAGTTTTTAATTTAATGAAAAGTAGTTAATTTGAAATTACAAACATACACTTCAATTATATTTATTTGTATTCGTATAGATAAATATTTGTTTATTATTTTACCAGGTACACCCCTCGCACGGTTCATGTTATTACAGTTTTGATGGTGAAGAGAGAGTCACCAAGGAGTACGAATGTCTCGTTATAAGCTAGACTCAACTGACTGAAAACATAACAATGTTGTATAAGTATAAAACATGTGGTATCTATATAAAATTGTATAGATAATACAAGTTGTATAGATTAAGTCTGTTATTTATTTTTAATTAATAATATTGTAACGGATTTCGAAATTAAAATGACACGGATATTTGAATAAAATAAAAAAGTTGAACACAACGCTGCCAGTATCTTGGGTAGGTACATTGTCTCGATGCGTATCGCGTTGGATTACAATGGTTATTTTTTTTTATGAAATTTAATTATTATTTATTACTATAGAAAACCATGACATAGCTTAAAAATATAAACACAGCACTTACAAGTAATAACCCTAAATATCTCGATTTAATTGCAGTTTGTTCCTTTTAATGATATTCTACAAACAACGAAAATTGTTAAAAACTGTTTAGGTTGTGAACAAATTGTAACTTAACAAGCTTTTAACAAATAGGTAATGTCAATTTTTTAATATTACAAAATAAAGATATACTTATTTTGTTCTTGTATATCAAGTACCTATTCCTTCTAAATAAACGAATAGCAATTCAATTCCTTCTCAATAAAGTGTTGAGTTAACTAGTCTTTTATTTCACAAGAGTTCCACAAAAATCGCCTCCTATTGTAAACCGTTTTAAAGTAAAATGAAACATCAAACATCTATTCCGAATTTATTAACGAAAAATACAGTTACTTCAAGAACTTTATATTATAGTTGCTTGTAAATGAGCAGGGCAGTAATGCAGTAATAATAGACTTTTTAATATTATACTTTTATTTAATGACCTGATGATTAGTCTTAAGACAAGGAATGTTATGTATATAATAATATGGTAGCTAGAAAAATCAGTGACAGAATTTTTTTAAAAACTTCTTTTATTTTATTTTATTGAAGATATTGGAACTGTGTACCCGCTGTTCGGTGCACTAACCGTTTAATATGGCGGGGCACCAGTGTAGGATAATGTGATAAGAAGGAAGTCAGGGCAGTCAGCCCTTTGTCGCGATTCATCAGTAATTATCAGGGACAACTTGGATGTCGACCATTGCTAACGATGTGGCCAGTAATCGAAGTAAAAAGAAGAAGTTAACTGAATGTTGGTTGAAACATTATAAGTTGCATCACAGAGCTGTCACATCTGTATTAAGCCAGGTCCCAGGCTGAAGATCGCTTGCTTAATAATAAAGTGTATGGAAATAGGTTTTATTTAGAAAATCAGCTTTACTAGATTTAGCATTAAATTCAATTTTCTTAAACATTTTTTTAAATTAGGTATTTGAAGATCATTTTTCAGTACGCTATGTACTTATGTCAATATTTGTCCTTACATTTGGCGTCACAAAATACAATACAACGCCCGTAATGTTCATATATTGCCATACATGTTGCTTTTCTATTCTACCAGGTAAGTAAAATCATGCAATATGACAATCCATAGAAAATTATGAATGTAACTAATGTAGGTTACATTAATAAAAATGTAAATTACACGAAATTTGTATATTCATAGAGCTTGATTATTCATTAGATTTCTTTTAAACGTAATAAAAAAATGAAAATTAGAACAAAGACGGTAACCTTAATTTTGGAAAATTGTTACCGTCATTTACATGTCAACAAGGATCAGCACCACAACACCACAATCATAAAGTACATTGAGGTGGACGTGGTACTCTTTCTTTTTCCCTTACATGCTGTGTTTTCCCTCTAAACTCTACCTCTATCTGCAGGTGAGATCTTCATGAGAAGTACTACTTTCAAATTAAAAAAAATATAATCGCTTCCCAAAAATAGCTTCTAAGGTGATATCTGAGGGTGAGTATGATGATGAGGTGATCTGATACCTGAAAAAAAATACAGTCGAATTTAGAACCTCCTCCTTTTTGAAGTCGGTTGTAAATATATTTGCCCTATATTACTTATTTCTGATTCTTAAACTATTAAGTCTACAAAAACATATTAATTACTAATAATTTTGTATTATCATTTAATTTAACACACATCTAGTTTTATTTGGAAATACATCATTATTTTGTGATTTTTGCTGATAATTATATTTAGATAGATAACAAGAAAACATTGAGTATGAAATCATTTCAACGATAACTGTATTTTTTCCAAAACATATCTACTGGCATTGGCGAAAAGATTTTATTTACTTCGATTAAGAAGATTTAACCAATACCAAGTAATTTATTGAGAGTTAATGAAAAGAACACTCGAACGTTTCCAGTATATATGGATTGAGAGATCCGTAAATAATTTTATCCGTCCTTTAAATATTATTTTAATATGAAAACAAAAACCTTTTACAAAAATTGCGAGGACGGAGGAGTATAAAATTTCGCACAATTCGTTGAAGCTAATTTGTAGTATCTGACTATCCAAACGGGAGCAATAGTCATAAAAGTATTATATTTTATTTATTGAGTCATTTTATAATAATATAATATTTCAATATAATAGTCTTGCAATGTATGACACAGGGATAGATAAACATACTCCATAAACATGATGATAATGATAAACACAACAACATATAATCTAGCATATCAGCTACAAAACTTAGAAATATAAATTGTAAATATAATATAACGCAACCTATGAAACTTAAAAATTACCAAAGATGACGAAGAAAGTGTTGCAGTTTTAAAATTACTAATTTACTATGTTTAGGTACCAATCTATTACATCTAAATAACGTTATCAATTATCAACTGTATTTTGATTATTCGTTACTAACGTATCTACCGACACATACCTCACTTCATGGAATGTGATTAATTATTTAGTTTATTAACAGGAAAAAATATTTAAAATTGCTGTTTACTATGTATTCATACATTCTTCCAAAAATGACGAATAGTGAAATGTATGAAAAAATACTATGACAGTTTTATTTATTGAAATAAATATACCTAAGTACATACAATAATAATAACCCTGAACAATTAACACAGCGCCATCTACTTCCACTGTGCTTACAGCCTGTGTCATGGGTACTAGACAACTGATATAAATACTTAGATTTATTTTTACTATATCATATACATATAATACTCCCAGGCCGATATAAACAATCATACTGATGAATACAAATGTTTGCGCCTATCGAAACTCGAACTGATGGAAAGCAGTAGATATGCAAAGATCACCGAGGCCGTCAACCTATGTACTTAGTATAACAGAAAATTTCCAATATCCCCCTTACTACAAGAATTGATCTGATAGTGAGATAACATATCATACTATCACATTAATTATCTACTGCATGTGGTGCATAGAAGAAGATAAACATATACCTACGGTACATATCTATGTCTTTTATAATTTGGCGCTATCATTATTTACGCGTAAAAATAAGAAAATCACGAGATCATACGTTTTATTAAAATAAGATTTATAAAAGTAGCCTGTTACTCCACATAACATTAGCTATCTGCGGGTGTAAGTCTCGTAAAAATCAGTCTAGCCGTTTAAGAGATTAGCACAAAAAATAGAGATCTGTATGCCTGCTTGTTTTTGTTAATCTCTGAAACGGCAGGACTGATTTTACGGAACTTTCATTCGTACGTAGCTAATGTTATGAGGATAGGGTAATTTAATTTAATTTGTAAATAACTTACAATTCCACGGGGATGCTTAGATAAAAATAATCCGGACAATCATTTTTTAATCTGAGTAACGTTTGTACTTTCATATGCATTTAGTGAAAAGCTATTAATTTTAAATCACAAACAGACAAATTCATTTTTATATATTTGTATAGATTATCCTCCGTTTCCATTAATTTCACTACTATCTCTCAGCCTTGAAACACATCATAAAAAGTAAGTAGGCTAAAATAGGTACTCTGGACAAAGTCTATCTCAAATCTCAATACATAATTATGTGACACATTAAATAACACACACAACAAATAAATTTAAAATTGCATCAGCAACATGTTTAAGAATTGTAAGTATCTAGTCAAGGAACTTTTATCTTATAACCAAAGACAAATGTCGCGTTCTGTAATGTTCTGGTAATTGTCTGAATCACTACAGGTAAACATTGACACTATACCGTATCATTAAGTACTTCCCAACGAGGCCTGACAGAGATAAAGCTAGTTAAACTTAGCATAAAACCAGCTGTAATCTGTTTAGTTAAATCTCTACTAATAAAATAAATGCGAAAGTCTATCCGTCTCTTTGCCTGTTGTAAACTTTTAACAACTAAACGGCTAAACGAATCTTAATGAAATTTCACGTTATGATAGATAGATATCTTTTATCTTTAAAAAGCAGGCGAAATCGCAGATAATAGCTAATTATTTGACTAATTTAAATTGCCCACTAAGCAATTTACCAAAATTATTGACCAACTTCAGATAGATTTCTCGCTTTCGATATAACATTTTTATTACGTAAATGCTTTGAAAAACAAGCTGTCGGCTTATATGATGGTAGTGGCAACCATAGCCTATAGACATGAAGCACTACTTCTGCATATTTTCATAGTTATAAGCGACTACAACTTTATTTTTTGTATTAGTATATAGAGATAGAATACTTGCAAATATTAATTACCGAATATGAAGTTATGTACATATACTATTTTGAAATATCCTAGTTAAGTTCGTATTTATATATGCTTTAGCATGGAGTAGACATTTTATATTGAAGTGCTAATTTTTGATGTAGGTATTTGTTTCGCAGCTTGGACTAACGCATTCTCCTTTATAGTATCTAATAATTTACAATTTCCTTTTATGTACTTACTTATTCACAACTAGGTTGAATAGCGTTTTATTTATTAACATTTTATTGCCCCAGAAATATAATATAAAGAACACAAATTACAGTAATAAGGTAGAACCGCCGATCTTATTACATATACAACCTCTTCCAGACCACATCTGGGTTGTTTTTGATATTACCTACTTATTTAAAATTTGAAATTGTTGATATTTTGCTCTAAAGATTATTCTGGACGGCTACTTCAAAATATATATTTCCTTTTCTTCTTTTTACAACATGTTGGTGTAACCTCTAGTGATGCTAGCGTTCATATATTATATTAATAGGCTGGTAGGATGCTTGTTTACTAAAAATCACAGATAATATAATGAAATATTGTCTGTATTATCTCCCTGTCGTATCTATATTTCTTCCACCAAATAGCTTAGACTCACAACTGTACATGTAGCTGCTTCCTGTTGAAGAGTGGCATGGTAATCATGTAAAATATTAGGTATACTGATTCATAACATTTTAGTCTTTGGAAGTGGTAACAAAGGTGAAATAGGTACCTAGGAGGATCCTTGCAGTCCATTCTTTAGTGGCCTTTCTATCGAAAGTAGCGGATTCTTTGCTTATTAATTGGGACATCCACTTATTTTGTGTTGCGGGTGAATGATACGATGTTGTTAGTAGAGACGATTGCAATAAACTGACAATATATTCATAAAAATAATGATCTTATATACTACAAATAACAATAGGAAAATGTAAGGTGGGGTGACATTCCAAATTCGAAGCTCAGATAATTGATATTAAAAAATACAATACTATCCCTTATATAAATTACACTCTCTTCAACCAGCAGGTAAAGGACAGTTTAGTTCTCTTCCATTGTTTGCATTCATGGATCATTGTATTCTTTGATCACATGTACAGTTTTTACTAGGCGAGAGGACATAAATTCATAATTAATATAGAAACCTGTTAATTTATCACGTTGAACGCACTAATGTTCATATTGATAAATGATAGTACATAAGGTGTGTGCCTATGCGTCATTGTGTCAGTGTATTTTTCGAACCCAAGTGTTACAGACGCAGTCAACATGAGAGGTGAGTTTGATAATGAAGATAATAATGATAACATCGCCACCAATAACATTCTAGATCATACGTCACGTGTTTATATCTATTGAAATACTTACAAATTTACTAAAAATAAATCTAATATTTGAAATGTCCTAAAATTAATACGTGTCAGAATTTTCAGGTTAATTTTTCTTTGTGTAAAAATAAATAATGATTTCATTACAAATTGAATTATTTATTTTTACACAATCATTATTTATTGTGTCAATATAGTAATGTTACTATTATGTACTATATGTAACGTAGATACCCATATATAAATTGCAACATGTTTTAAGTATTCATAGATTTATATAAAAGCCGAATGCTGCATATATCATGATATATTCTTACCTTACTCTTAACCTGCTTTAAGACAACATTATTTAGGTTTTATATGAAGATATCAATAGTACATATGACGCGTTCTTGATTATTTTAACTAGAGCCTCCTGTCTACTTATTTAGTTTGTATTTTTAATTAATTTTTAACATGCAGTTTCAATGTTATATAATTCAGTAACCTCTTTCACAAAAGATATATAATTATCTTCACTAAGGCTTTCAGCATACCTGTAGTATAGTTGTTTACAAACCTGTGTAACTGAAATACTACGTATATTATGTATTGGTTGCAGCTAATAGAGAAAATTATCACTCATGAGTGGAATTGTCGTCACGTCGGAAGTGAAAAGAATGGGTTGTTATCAGATTGATCGTTAGCTTCTTTGTAATTCTAGTACATAAAGATATATATCAAAATGCAAGTGTTGTAATTTTACAATATATACCTACCAAGAGTTTTACTGACTAGAGAACGGCTCTTAAGTTAAGAATGATTGAACCTAAAATACCGGCTTGCAGACTTCGTGATTCATATTTCAATCATAATATGCGTTACTAATTATGATATTAATTTATATGTTTGCTGCTATGGTGATACGAGTTACTGCATATGTACATATAAGAATGATCATAAGGCTATTTATCTTCTTTTAATGATATATTAAAACTTAATTTAATGATTAAATAGACATTTAAAACTCTACGTGTTGGATAACTACTTAAGGTTTAAAGTTTTATACCTATACTAAATGAAAAACAATATAACTAAAAACAAAATGTACAAATAAAAGATAGGGTAGGTAGCTACCTAGATAGGTACTATAGGTAGCTAGATAGCTATGTGACTACGGTGGACTGACCTAAAGAATAATCTTTTTATCTTATCATTGGGTGCAAGAGTGGATCATATTCGAAAATAAAATAAAGTATTTGCACGGATTTACACGTATATATATGTACCTATCTGCTATAAGTAACATGCAAGTTTACTATGCACTCCACGCTGAATATCAATATGAATCCAATCGATTTTTGTTAATTGTATTCGTTTGAATTATAATGAATACCAAATAGAATAAATCTACAAATTGTTGTAGATTTAACGGACATTAGTCCGTTGGTTTTTTCTTAGAACAACATATGGAATTCATAAATTGTTAGTGTATAATTGAAGAGTAAAAAAGTGTTTCTGCACACTTTTATCGCAAATGGCGCTATCCAATATCATTGAATTGGAATTATTTACCTGAATAGATCGGAAAGTAGTGTACTTAGTCATTAATCTAAATAATATAAGCTACTACTCCAACTTTTATCTTTACCTAGTATAAAATGAAGTCGCTTCCGCTTTCTGTTCGTTAGATCTTTTAAACTAAAAGTAACGGATTTAATACTGTTTAATAGATATAGTGATTCAAGAAGAAGGTTGATACGAGTGTACATGTCTATATAATACATGTACACCTGTATCAACCTTATATATGTACATATGTACACCCGTGCGAAGACGGGGTGGGGGTAGCTAGTTATTTATAAATTCTTATTCCGTAACTTGAAATGATAAATGACATCAGTTGAAAAGTGACAATCTATGGACTTATCCTTCCCAGATATCAATATACTCAGGTAACTTGTTAATCTTGAGACATCTTATGTCCTCCTGGTGAAGAAAACATTTTATATTTTATCATAAAAAATTCTAAAGAATAATTTAATTGGTGAACAATGTTTTTTTCATAAGGGAGTTTGTCAGAAACTTTTAATTGAACGATTGAATTGTCCTTAACTGAAAAATTGTTTTTCCTGTTATTAGAAGCCGGCTATTATCACTAAAACAGATATACACCTGTGTTATCTCACTATCTTTATGTTAAGGTATTGTATATTTATATAATATCATATCTTTAATCATAAATATAATACTTCTAATAAACAGGTTACCTGTTGATACAAAGAAAGTAGAATAGAAAAATTAAATAATGTACCTTCAGAATTATAATTTATGATTTAGGGATAAATAAAGGTAAAGATAGACCGGGAAAGACCAAAGCACAGCTACATCAAGAAAATTAAGGACAAAATTGGAGTCGTGTTGTATCAACATTTAAAGACCATGGTAGAAGATCGTATAAAGTGACAAGAGCTCCACCGATAAAACCCTGGTTTTTAAATTATGAGTCAATGAATGAATACCTTCAGACTGTTAATCCAGAAAGGATTACCTGTGGCTATTTTTTCTAAGAGTCAGTAATACAAAATTAGTAAACAAAGTTTATTGCTGACGGCCGGATTTGAACTCGAAACCCCTCGGTCGAAGCCTTGGTAGTAAACGACTATGCCAGAAACTCTCATACGGATACTGTCATTCAAGTAATTCAGTTTTGTAAGATAAACAGAATTTAAATTGTAAATAGTTTTAACTTCCTATAAGTATAATTGAATACTGTATAAATTTATATGTACTGTATATTATAAGGTATTTTTCAAATACTGTTTAACAAATTTATATTGGACACAGATCAACCAAAAGTATAGACTGAAACTATAATAATATACCAATACCATACCGTACTTTGAAATAAATAGACGTATTTTTTTCACCAAAAACATAATCGTCTAGTTTCAACAAAATGTGTTTGTTTAGAGCAGACAACAATATATATTTAAAAAAATCCTATATATAATTACTGAAATGAAATGATGAATGAAATGAAAATATTCCGTCTACGCTTTTTTGTTGGTTATAGTATTCAAAATACCAATTAAATAAATTCACTTGTAATTATTTAACAAAAACAATGATATCTCCAGGACGACCCTATCCTGGTTATGGGATGCAGCCGCCGCCGATGTATGGCTACCCGCCGACCATTAACATCAACATGTATCCTCATCCAGGGTATCCTCAACCCGGGTATCCCCATCCCTATCCCCCCCACCTATTCTATCCCCCAGGGGAGCCGGTCCAAGTGGTGGAAGAGCCATCAGATATCGTGCCTGAATTACCTGGTGAAACTGTCGAGTTACCGTGGAGTAAGTTTCGAATCAATTAGGTTTGAATGAGTTAACGCCTAATTAAAACAAACTACATAGAACATGTATAGTAGAGAATCATATTTTATATTGTATAAAAATCAATTGTTCAAGAAATAGATACCTGAAAATTATTCAAACACTCTTAAGAAAAATACATACACTTGATAGGTTATCATTTTCAGTAATATGTATTCAATACTTTTTATAAAAATGAATAAGATATTCAACATTACACTCATATTTATATATATTCTCTGTGCAGTTGGTAACAAACAAAAAATAGAATAACTGTTCCAAATTATTTACAATCACAAAGTCGTTACAAATTACTCACTTAATTATCTAATCAATAATCCGGGACAAATATTTTATCTTACTGATTATGAGCTAAAAATATGGATTACCACACAAATTCTACAAATAATTCTATTATATAGTACATACCTATAGTTAATCTTTTCAATTTTAAAATTCCACTATGAGAGTATCGTAATAAAGGCAGCCCTACACGAGGAGGGCACGTTTACACATCACATTACAACCTGCACAGCAACTGGTTATAGTACTACGACTAATCAAGTTGGTTATTATTAAAGAAAGAGTAATCTTTTAAACGCCTATATAATGACTAGGTACAATTACATTTTGACAGGCGTTAACTCTGGCTTAAGATATTCTGGGTGTATTTTGTCCACCGGTTTTGGGCCAATCCTCTCTCTAGTCTACCTATCATTATCCCATCTATTTAAATCCTTAATCTATTATCCTACATTCCAGCCAGGCTTTCATTTATATTATGTAACTTATTATGATTTAAAACACGAATGGAAAGACAATCACTAATCTAATGTAATATCTTCTATATTTCAGTCATTCAGCATTAAAAGGAAATTTAGTTTGTTTATGTCTAATTTATATATTTTAGAGTATATTTCCCAAATAGGATTTATAATTAACGCGTACAAATTTAAAAATTCAAGTATAAATATAATATTAACAGTACTTGCACTACAATTAATATTCTTTTTTACTTCAATGTTTCAGTTTTTGTATTTTTATTCTTTGAATGTTGTTGTATTTGATTAGTGATTGTGCTTATGATTTTATATTTATTTTGTATCTTCATACATTTGTATATATTTGCCTTTGCATGAGTAAAATTTTAGCATAATATATTTTGTACTTTTATATCAATATCAAGATCCTAGTTATAATTTTTATGTTTTCGCTATATATTTTCACAGCGCATATTATTTGACAATACACCAAATATGACTGGTTGTTGTTATATATGTATAATTTAATATATTCATCACATCATAAAGTTTCATAAATTTCAAATGTTTTTAATTTGCAGGTACATACAAATGGGTGCCGGCTTGTTTGTCGCAGAACAGCATTCCACCTGGCGCACTCAGAGTCGGCACAGATGTGGATGAAGCCGAAATATACGCGGGTAGAGCACACCATGAGGGAGAAATCGTGCCTGCGAAGGTCATACCGTCAAAGAACGCTTGCTACATCGCTTTTAACGGTGAAGAGATTCTAAAGGATCAGTTTGAGGTACTATTTAATTCAGTGACCGTTTGAAACTGACTCGAGTTATATCTTAAATAGAATGTGGCATAAAAGAATTCTTATTAGTATCGTAGGTATCCACCATAAATCTTACTAATTACAGTTTATATTTTTGTACATTTATGCCACGCTTAAACGGACGAATAAATTCCAATGTTTTTTAGTTACATTACACAGTTAGATCTGAATTTTTAATGTTGTAATTCACATATCCTACTTTTATTGAACGCGTAACGTAAACCTGTATATAACACACACAATACATGTGTATAATTGGTCTAAAGTAAGTTCAGGCTTTATTATGGCTATAATCAATGTCTTACGGATATAAATAATTGTAATTTCAGGTGCTGGTACCATCTATGTTCTCGTGGCAATTCTCGTCTGGTGGAGAAGTGCCGCCTGGTGCTGTCGAAGCTGGAGTCACTGCCGATGGCGAGAAGTTATACTTTGGCAGAGTCACACACGACGGAGGAGTTACTCCCGGCAAGGTATTGTTTATGTACATACCTGGAATAACAATCCCTTGTTTGCCATTCAAACCTACTAAATATTTGCATAATGTGTGGATAATACATAAGGTGTCAAATGCAAACAAACAGTACAAAGGCTGCAATTCCTTATTGAATTGCTAAAGCAATTTGTTGTAGGTACGAGAAAAGATGTAGACTTTGTAATAGTAATGGCAAACAAGTTAACTGCCCGCCTATCCGTCGCCTACATGCATGAACAGCACTGATATTACGCTATCATGTAACTTATGAAATGAAATAAAAAAACATTTATGTATGAACGTTAAGTTTATTGTATTAATATTTTTTCCGTACCGTACAATTAAGTTAGTTCACTTAAATGTAACGCCTCTTGTTCTGTAATCTCACTGTCTTATCTCGACCGTCAACCGAAAAAATCTTACAAAACAAGCTGCTTGACGGCTGTAATAGGTGAGACTAAGGCACCCAACGGAAGACTTCTTGGTAACTGCAGCGTAAATTTTTTGCGCAATTTTAATTGACTATCTTTTTTTTAAGAAATACATTATGAGTAAGGAGTCAAGTCAAGGAGTAAGAGGAGGCATAATTATATATTATAGAAATTTTCATATCAATATTTTCTATTACAGATCCACCCAAGTCACGGCTCATGTTACTACGCATTTGACGGCGAAGAGAAAGCCTCTCCAGAATATGAGTGCCTGGTCCTTGTTTAAATTAAGTACAGTAATAGTTAATAGGCAAATCCAAAATATTAATTGTAATTAGAGATTTTATAATTTAAATATTTTTAGTTTACTAGTTATTTTATTATTTATACACAGAAGACATAAAAGGATGATTGTCACACCGGTGCAATAGAGTTAATAATAACAATGAGTCTTGTAATTCCATAAAATTTACAAAATGCAACGTTATTGTTAATTACAACAAGGTGTCATCAATTCATTCATTATAATAATATTGATATATGTATTTAGGAACATCTTATGCGGTGTGATATCATTTGGAACTTGTCGATTTCCTTAACTTGTGATAATATGTTCAATCGCTGTTTTACTTATTTTTTGAAAAATTAGTAAGCACGTTGTTATCATACCGTTTTAGTCATTTACCAATAATTTCTATGTATTTCCTATTTATAGATCTAAATCTATACGATTTAGATATTGATATTTTTTTTATTTATATTTAAATACACTTGTTGTTCGTGACAAAAAAAATGTTCGATTAAATATCTCTAGATACATAGAAATTCCTGTTATTGTATCGTAATGAAAAAAATACAAATGTATATATTTTATGTTCAATATTTATTTAGCTGTTTATATTATATATTTTAAAGTATTAAAATGTTAATTCTTTCACATGGTTTATATTGTTTGATTATTTATTTCATTTCGAGACAAGTGTTAGTAAGATAACATTATTTTTTACAATTAATCTTTTATTTCTATTACCTATTAAGAATGTTGTTGCAGGCTGCAAAATATAAAAACAATTTTATTAGGCATTCATACTACAATTTACAAATTAGTATCAACAATGGCCATATTAGTATGCTAACCGTTGTCTATTGTAAAAATCAGCGCACTGTGCCGAGCAATTAAATTTAAAAAAACCGACTCACTTTTTAAAACGATTAAATATCATCATTCGAAGAAAGAAGTAAGACAGTAGTAGTATCTTTCTGATGAACTTTGACACTCAATATTATAGTCAGGCAGTTCAAAATTCGACAAAGGTTTTAGTCATACACATGAATAAAACAAAATAAATGTATATTGTTGTTATTAAGGACCGGCTTATTTTTAAAATCATACTATCTGTCCCGACAAAAGTTATTTTGCTATACAAATTAATATCGCTATCAAAAATAGCGGTCGATGGTAGAAGGCTGAAAAGGCTGAAGGCTTTAGGGTTATATGTATTTTAATGATTCATAAAAAAATGTATGTAATGTATGTAAATTAATTAATAAGGTTTTATTTGGGGTGGGCCACCCATATCATTTTCTGATATAAAAAATAGATAACAACTTACTCTCAGATCTACCTAGTATACATATAAATATTTTAACAAAATCAGTTCAGGTTAGGTTAGGATTCCATCGCGGACAAACTACATGATTTTTTTATATATTAAGATTACAGTTAAGTAACAGACCTTCCTTGATACCTTGTATTATATGTATGATCAATTCTTTGAACTGCCTGTATCCGCTCTATCTGCGTAGAGAGGTTTTAGCTACATATTTTTGATCCTTTTCTTTGGTATATTTCTATAAACAAGCTATCACACTTCGTGAATAGAGGAACTGTTGTATTTATAAAATAGGATTTTAGGACTAAAAACATGGATAACCTGTGTGAAAGATGATAGGGATGATGGAGTGCAATGATATTTAGAAAAAAAACTGATAATATTGCATGTAGAAATTGGTAAGTGGATCGATCGATGGTAGTGTCGATGCACTGCCTGTATGTACATATATGTAAGAAAAACAGTAACATGAAACGTTAACACATACCGTAATATATGATTGTGATAATTCATTATAGACTATTGTCGACTCACAGTAAGAGATAATACCCGTATTCAAAACACTGATACGAGTACAAACAATTAATAGTATATTGCAACACGAAACTAAACTCGTACGTTTTCAAACAAGAGTAAGTGTTTCATAATAAACATTGAGATTTACTGTACAGAGTGTTCTAAATAATAAAAAATAAAGATATATGTAGATACTGCGGCCGTGGAGCATATTCTATGTTAGTGGCTAATAATGTTGCTATCTATATGTGAAAATTTGATTAAAATCGGTCCAATATTTTGTAAGTTTATCTTAACAAACATATACAAATTAAATATTTACTCTTTATAATTTTATTAAATGTTAACCCTTAAAAAAGAGAGTACATTTACATCCCTTGAACTTCTCTGTACTCGTTGCAGTATAGCAATTTATTGTAATAATATAAATCTTAGAAAAATTCACGCAGCGCCATCTAGTCCCAAGCTAAACATTCTGTCTATGAGTACTAGACAAGTGATATAAATACATAAATACTTTTTTATTTGTAAATACATCCATATTATAGAAACAGACCGAAACAAACGACCATACTCATAAATACAAATGTTCATACTGTGCGAATCGAACCCGCGACAAATTCATGAGGAATCGACTACGACGGTTTACAGACATTGCAAGGAGATCTACCCGACCTTATTGCTAGCAATTGGCCCACTAGTGCCCATTATTAATACTTACTGTTTTTTGTATGAACAGTGGGACAACAATATTGAAATTACCGAGTACCGGATATATAATTATGTCTCTACAACAATAGCAATGTGTAAGGACACGGATAATACCGTGCCTTGTGTCAGTATATGCTGTTAATATCCATAGGTCATGGTTAATAATAATAATAATAATAATAATAGCCATCACTTTTCAAATTTTTACATTATTATAATACTACTATCCTGCAAAACTCCAGTCGGGGTTTGTCTGCAGGCACATAGTACTCTCTTATCTACTTACTAAATAGGTACATGTTTATATATATATATATATATATATATATATATATATATATAAAACATATGTAAAATAATAATAATAATCTTTATTTGTCTCAAATAATAACTAATACAATTAGTGCTTATAATAAAATTTAAAAGTAATGAACGAGACAAAGCGGTCTATTACTGACAGGGGACAGTGAGTTCACCCTCTCTGCTTTTTTACCTTTTTTGCTTTTTTTGCCGCTTTTTTGCCTTTACCAGTAAATTAATTCAATAACAGATTGACGACAACGATAGCACTTAAGTTTTAAACTACTGCTAACAGAGTAAACATCAAAATTGACAATAATTGAATAAGATTACAAACTAATAAAATTTGACTATAACAAAATTAAATGTATTAAAAATGAAATGGATTTGTTTCGATTTTCACGATTTTGATGGATTTGTTTCTGGGAAAAGTGGTGGAATTAAATATTATTATATTATTATTATATCACTTGTCTAGTACCCATATCACAAGCTCTGCTTAACTAGATGGCGTTGTGTTAATTCTCCTGAGATATTATTATTATTACATCAGTTCTACAAACAACAAAATACAAAAGATTGATTAGTTTTTGAGATAAAATTCCGGCCGTAATACAATATATCTTCAAGTCAATTTTTATTAAAGTCCGTCATAGATAGAGTGATACTATCACGTTTATAATATGAACTAGTGTATTGATACAAAAACATAACAATTGTTACCGTATAAATAAAAAAAACGTAAGATATATATGTCATGTCATTTATGTAATAAATCCAGCACGATTTATAAATAATTATAGACATAAGTTTTATTGATTAATATTATAAACACGAAAGTTTGTGAATATGGATGGATGTTTGTTACTCTTTCACGCAAAAACTGCCGAACGGATTTTGAAGAAACTTTACAGTAATATAGCATATACATCAAAATAACATATAGGCTATAAATTTCACACGGACGAAGCCACGGGCACAGCTACTCTTCTATAATTGAATAATGCAAAGCATATTCTTTCATTTTGTCTATCTATTTAATTATATGCATAAATTATAGAAACAAACAAACTTATCGACCTGTATTTTTATGGATCACATTACAAAGGTGCGCACGCGCATCGCCTACATAACCCCCAGTTCGCGACTCATTTTCGCGCAAACTCCACTGAGAGTGAGACGTCTTTCAACTAAATTAAATTAATTCTAAATTAAAAAATCTATCGACGCTTAGTGATCTAACAAAAATTTATTTATTCAACTTTTGAATAGTTTTACAGGAGTGATCGACCATGAAGGCCTTAGTTTGTTTTGTTGTTTTCAGTAAGTGTCACTATATTTATTATTATTTAATTTAATTATCACCATCATAACAAATCATTCGTACTCGTATAGTTGGTGGCTTTAGGTTAGATGTACAATATTCGTCTTAAAATATTGTTTAATAAGACACAGACAAAAGACTCAAAAGGAGAGATGTGACCCATCTGTGATGTAGAGAGGGCTCCCATCTCTCTTTATGAGACTTGTGTATAAACATCTAATATTTTTAATTCGGGTTTTCGAGATATATTTGCGCTTTAATTTCGTAATCTTGGCTTTTAGTACATTCAAGGGATGGAAGGAGTTGTTGCATATTGTATTTTACTTTATAATAACGATCTCGATGGTATAGTGGTTACCTTATTACCTTAGTTCCGCTAGTCACGGGTTCGAATCCTCGCACTGTACAAACATTTGAATGCATGAGTATAATGTAAAAAAATATGATATCATATTTTTGTGTCTTTGTTTGGTTGTGCACGCTAATCTGCAACCGCAGTTTTCAAACATATGTTGCAGCAAGCTTTCAGTTTAGCAGTTGTTTTGTATCAATCAATACGCAAAAAATTATAATTTATTTTCTGTTTTTTCATATATTTGTGTATATTTCTTATAAATCAGCATACGATCGCGGCCACAGGTAATGTTATATACAAATACAACCTCGAAATCTATCCAAGGTAAGCTTAAAGGGCTTGGGCTAATGTCACATTACTATGCATAATATCTAGACCAACAGTAATCGCTCTTTATGCAGGCATAACTGTTGTAAATGATTAATGTTGTCACAACAACACTCATTGTTATCAAATTGCAACAATGTCGAATAATTTTCTAAAAAATCATTAGTATTTTCTACTACAGTTAATGCATATTGTTTCAATCATCAGTCAATCAGTTATCTCAGTCTTTATCTAACCACTGTTGGGGGCTGTTAAGATTTTAAAAGGAATATCTATTAATTAATCAACTCTTAAAATGAATTAAACTAGGGACGGTTCACACAGCGCCTATCTAGTGTAAAACTAAGCAGAGGTTGTGTTTTGGGTAGTAGATTGATATAAATACGTCACACATTTTTTGTATACCGATATAAACATTCATGAATACAAATGTGCGAGGAATCAAACCCGTGTACATTGAAAGTCAGGCAGAGCGATACACCGCTAGACCACCAAGGCCGTCAATATGTAATTCTATTTCGGCTCTTAAACATTTTTTTAAACGTTGATTACTTAACACTTTTTAAATGAATGAATATGGAAGTATACACCTATCTGCGATAACGGTATTTGTTATACACGAAAATAAGAAACTGGTTGCCTAAAAAAGAATGAATAGCCTATAATAATCTTCTCTATCTAGACTACATGCGGTATGCAAGGTGCCGCTAACAACTGTTTTTTTTACACTACGATGCTGGCAAACAAGCATACGGCCCATCTGATGATAACGGTTACGGTGGCCTACGGATCCATGAAACACCACGTGCGCATTATCGAACCTTAATCTTGAAAAACCCCATGCTGTAGTCTCTCGAGAAAACTTCAGCAAATTGTTCATACCACAATCAAAGTGCACACACGAGGAAGCTGCTCTGAAGTCGCTGGTCCAGGTGACGGCTCCAGGTGTCAATGCCGATGTCTATGTAATTTAAATTAATGCGTGCGTGTCAATCGCAATAACACTCTGCCGATTTCTGTTCATGGTCTGCAGAGTAACAAACGTATTACGTAACGAACGAATGTCTGATGATATTTCTGTATATAAATAATGGTTATCATTTTCAGTCGAGAATTTTTTATACCAATACCTAAAAAATAGCTGTACTTTATTCTTTCAGTTATAGGATCAGTTCACCCTGACATGTCCGGGGAATGCGATCTGGCTGGATTCTATCTCGAGTTGGGCTGCACTCCAATACCGAAGGTGGACAACTCAACAACATGTCCGGATGCTTTCCAATGCCCCGATCTACATCCAGACCCGACAATGTGTTACTACAGGTAACTATTTTGATATAGTCACATTTCTTCCTTAGTTTATTGAGCATACATCGGTACGGATCTGTGACAACCACAGAATAGAGAACTACATACTTCCCTGTTCAGTGCTGATAACATTCAAGATCTAACCACTAGAAACTTTATTTCTCTATAATCTCTATAAAGTATAGCATTACTTTATTCAAAGTCAAAATTATATATTCATATATGTAATTTTTTGCTCAAAATTTATAATAATAATAATGACATAATAATAACAACCTTGGACTATTAATACAACGCCTTCTACTCCCAAATTAAGCAGTACTTGTACTCCTAAACAGATGATAGAAATATTTAAATACATTTTTTTTGTAAATACATAGACACATAGTGTACATAGAAAATACCCCGATTCATACAAGTTATCATATGTATAAATACTTGTATAGTGCCAGAATCGAACCTAAACCAGCTAGACCGAGGGCAAGGTATTATTACGCATGATTAGGTATAGACAAAAATGTAAGATTCTTTTTTAATTTTAGGCAGCTAAGTATGTTACAGATATACATCAACGATAGCTCACAAAACCCCTTTTATATTTTTATTAGGGTATAGGCTTTAGACATTCTGCATACAAAAGCTTCATATGAAAAATATGCGAGATTAGACATCGGACCCCTATCACAAAAGAAAGTTCCCTTCAACCCGATTCCCAAGATATTCGAGACGACAATCCGAATAGCGAGATGACTGATTGATGTACTTTAAAGACAGAAAAATAAGTTTATTTTCCTTATAAACAGCAACATCGAACGACCTCGTGTTTTAGTGAATGTGGGTGGTTTTTACAAAACAAATGAACAGCAAAAAGTAGGCTGGAGGTTGACTCTGCGACCTCTGTTGTACGACATCAATCAACCTTGGCATTGGTTCTTGTTAATTTGAATAATTCAATAAGGGCATTATAATTACTATGTCCTTTTTCGGTTTTGATATTTAATCTAGTATAACAATCAGATGACATTAGAATCTATGACCGTGACTATGAGCTAGACTACTCAGAATTATTAGCAGGTATTTTTGTATAACACCTACTAACATTCATTTCATCATTCATTAGGTTATAGAATTAAGATTTTAATGAAATTTTAGGACACTTTTTTAATTGAACAAATATTTAACAGAAGATCACTTCCTCGTTGCTAAAATAAATTAATTCAATTATTTACATACTTCTTTTACTCTAATAATAAATTAATTACATCCTGCCATTACATATTGTTCATACAAGTGAAATTTAGCTCTTTTTAACATGCTGGTTAAGCAGCTTGCTATAGTCTTCATTTCGAATTTTATTGTCACAAGTCTATGTATTTGTTTTGTTCCTCTTGTCCGTACTTACGATATCCTGGTGTTGACAGAAATTATTTTTTCAAGGGGAGCTGCATATGGCGACAGATCATCAATACCCCAGAATTTGATCAACAACCCGTGCTCGCAGTCGTGCAGTTGTACTGTCTCGGGGGAGCCACGCTTCGAGTGCGCGGCCGTCGACTGCGTGGAGACCTTCGATAGTGATCTCAAACAGCAGTGCATCGACACATTTGATTTGGACTCGTGTTGTAGCACGGGTAATGTTTGTGGTGAGTTTCATTTGTTACATTTTTATGTAATTGGCGTAGCAAACGAGCTGACTTAATAGTAAACGGCAACAGTTGCCTATGTACATAACAAACCACAGATATTACGTCATTGTGTGTTGCCCATGAAACTCCTCATACCTGTGACCACATCCCTAGCAATGTACCATGTTACATTGATCTCTAAGCAGTCTCCTTTATAAATCAACGGGGTTAATTCCTACTACCAACTATATGCCACTATGGGCTCACGGACCTGACTTCTTACGTATCCTATCATCCTCCACTAGTATCCCTCTAGTAGACTTATTGCAGGCGGGTGCACTTTTTTTAATGGATGACAATGAAACGGTGCACTCGTCTGCGCTAACGGACACTGGCGAGGCAGCAGTAGAGGATAATAAGATGAGGTCAGTTAACCCATCGTGATGAAATCACGTTATTGAACCGCGTGGTCCTAGTTTGTTACTGACAATCCCCTTTTCCCCCCAGGCTTGTGCACTATTCTATTATTAGAAGTGTTACCGAAGGCAGCCTTTTTGATGGTTTTTTTTATATATTTTTTTATTTTACATTTAGACGTTGTTATATACTAATTGTTTTGTAATGGCATTTTCTGGGCCTCTTACGTTTTCTCTGCATGAATGGTTTAAAATGAGACTTTTAAACATTTAAAGTCCTCCGTTACAAGAAGATTAGAATATCATTGTTTAGCCTGTAATTACACTTCCTAATATCCCTTCAAGCGAAACATAATTCAAAGCAAGCTGTTTGACGCAAGAAACAAGTGACGACCCTAAACAATGTTTGCGGTATTGTGTATCTCATTACATCATAGATATTCAATACGCAAGTGTATGTACGTATCATAAATATTAACTGCACATCTGAACTTATATCAATATGATCTATTGTATTGTTTCGAATAGATTTAATTATACTATTAAAATCGAATTGAATTTCGAGATATTTAATCAAATCACGTGGACGCCATTAAACGTTCACTGTTTTTTGTTTATCGTCATAGTTTATCTGTATCTCTTTGTCTGTGTCCCTTTGTTCCACTTTATGAGTTTCTAGACTTTCCAATGTGTACTCGACTTTCTAGCTACAGTTTTGTTGCATTTTCCAATAGTTTAAAAAAGATTAATCTTTCTTCGAAACAATATTGCAACGACGAAACATTTAATATTTGTTTGTTTTTAATGATTTACTAAATAATAAAGTTAATTGATTTTAAAATTTAGCTGTATAAGATAATTGGTGCATTATCAGTGAAAGACATGTTATGTCATTTAAAAAAACTAACAGTTTAATATTTATACCCGTGCAAAGCCAGAGTCCGTTGTCAGGTTTACATAATTTTATTATTAGCTTCTGTTTTTATATACCAGAAATATATTATTATAATATAGGATTTTAATATGTATTATTTAATATTTTTTATTATCTGTTTTATATCTTTAATACAATAATAATTCCCTACATTCACACAGCGCCATCTAGTCCCAAGATAAGCAAAGCTTGTGTTATGCCACTAATATAAACACTTTTTTTTTTATAACTACGCACACACATATGTACATAGAGATACCCATAACGATACAAACTCATGAATACAAATGTTTGCACCGTGCGAGGAATCGCACCCGCGACCATCTGAAGTAAAGCAATGTGCTAAACCACTAGACCATCAAGGCCGTCATTGTGTATAATTATGTATCTACAATCTTATTTGAAAAATATATGGGCTGAGTTACTTGTCAGTTCTTCTCGGCTTAACTTTTCAAGAGATAAGGTAGATGTCATAAATAAAAAAGACATTTTGATTATCTTACAGGCAAAGATGCAATTGCCAGTCTGAAGACTTGCGAAGTGGATGGACAGACATACAGAGCCGGTGAAAGGTTCGAGCCAAAGAATACGAGAAAAACTTGCATATGTACAGGGGACTGGAATGGTTCAGTGGAGAATAATGCTTACTGCAGAGAAATCAACTGCGGTATAGAAATACACTATCAGGAGAAGATTTTGGATAACTGCGCACCAGTCTTCGTAGGAAATAGGCGGAGTTGTCCCATCGCTTTTCAATGTGGTAAGAAATATATGCCTATACTAGCTGTACCCGCGGTTTCACCCGCCTAAAATTTATAGCCTATATGTTATTTCTAATAAATAAGCTATATTACTGTAAAATTCCATCACAATCCGTTCAATAGTTTTTGGGTGAAAAAGTAACAAACATCCCTACTTTCGCAATTATAATATTATTAGGATTAGGATAGGATTAAGATTAAGATAAGATGATACGATTATTTATTTATATATATATTATTAAATTTATGAATTATACATATGTGTGTATACTTAATCAATTTCATAATTATTATTATTATCACTTATGTTAGATATATAGTAATCGTTCTATTTTTTTATGACCAGCAATATTAATTTATATGGTGAAACAATATTTGTCGGGTCAGAAATATATCTTATAAAGCAAGCTGAAATAGACGACTAAAATATAAAAATCGCCAATATTGATATTATGCTTAATTTGCTTTTCAGCAACACCTACGGCAAAAGTCATCCGTGGTTTGAATCTGCGTAATGTGAACTCACAATGCGTGTTCGGGAATATGACACTGGCCGTTGGAGATGAGGTAGCTGTAGATGAGACCTGTACCAAGTGCTCCTGTGAGGTGCCACCATTTGTATCGTGTACCAAGGCAAATTCATGTTAATTATAGCTAGATGCTTTTATTCTACATTTTTTTGGTCCTTAGAGCCGGATGTAGTAGGCATCCGGCTCAAAGGACCAAAAATGTAAGGGTTGATCCCTACACTTGGTTGATAAAATAATAATGTTGTTGATAATATACGAGAATGATTAAATAAATGACACGTCCCGTCGTCTGTACTTATTGATAACACTGATTTTTTACTAATTAGTAAAATGATACATTTGAAATACAGTGCGATCAGATTACTGGATAAGTTATTTATATAAACATATATTATTGTACAGTGTTCCGTCCAACGCATATAAATACACTGTGCAGGTTTCGTCGATGTTAAACTTTCCATAAGAACATGGAAATCAAAATATTAGAATATTTCTATATAGGTTCCTATATTAATCTGTTTTTTTACAAGTGACAGTGCAGAACATTTTATAGGACAATAAGATGTTTTGAGGTAGATCCGGACACATTCGATTTCTCCTAAAACTAAGCAATATTTTTACCGCTGACGACGCTACTTTAGTTAGCCCATCGGCTCCGTTCGGTTTTGTAATGGAATTGGATCAGTCGAATAAAGTGATAACAAATATTAAATTAATTTTTAAGTAGTATAATACTTGTTTTTTTAACTATCGAATGTTACCCCAAAAAACCTTATGTCATATATTGATCACTCAATTCACTCACTCACCTTTAGATGGTATCGGTTTAGTTCATGTACAATGCAAACATATGTATTCATGGTATTACTATTTGTATTGATCAGCGTGTTTCTTGTGAATGTATATATTTAAAAAAAATGTTAGATATATATTACCACTTGTACAGGCGTTGACCTTACAACTAGATAAACAAAGAAACTTTTAGAACTAGCTGTATAAGTTAATGATGTCCCTATGATATTATATAGACTTTATACAAGTGTATATAATAGTGTGTGAATAAGAAAAATCAAAATAAAAAAAAGTTGAATAGGCAAGTAAATATAGTTTATTTAACTTAATAAAACCTGATATTTTATATTCTAAAAATAAAAGCAATTAGTCTGAATCAATTACTGATACATAGAAAGCATTTTTATATAAAAAAGACAAAACTTTTCTATGTATATAAAGTAAAATATAAACCTTATACTTAATTATTTTTATTTCATATGTAATAAGAATCATATTTACATTATGTACACATTATAATCTCAGCCTTCATAACTATTTTATAAAAAAATTATGACTAAATAAAGCTAGCACGGCCTTTTTTTATTAAGTACTTAATTGAAATACTTAACTAATTACAATTATATTAAATGCATAATTAAGTAATAGGAAACATTCTTAAAATATTACGATGTAAATAACTAAATACTAAAAAAAGTTATGAGTCATAAAACATACCGATAAAGAGTGATAACTATGAGTTATATTAATATAATAAAAAAATATTATTAAAAAGCATGAGTCAGATTATTGTTTAAATACAACATTCATTAAAGTATATTATTATTAAATTTAAAATACAACATAATTAAAAAATACACAAAAAAATATGCCTACAAATTATTACGTACTTTAATTAATAATATACCTAATTAAACCTAATTGGTAATTAATTAGTTTATTTACTGTACTTGTTTGTAAATGAGTTTTGTATCCTAAATATTAGATCTAATTACGTAATCAATGTCTTTACCATTGTAAAATGTAGACATTTCAGTATTTGTAAAAATGTAAAATTATGAGTAAAAAGTTAGAACACATCACATTTCTTTGATTGAGTATTAACTTAATTATTATAGAACACTTTGTAGTTAAACTTGTATAATTTTAGACTTATTACATAAAGTTTAAAGTATAACGAAATCTCTCTTGAGAAGAAATTTCGATAGGTGGGTGCTAACGTATAAATTCAGACCAAGGAACACATTCTAGGGTCAACACATAAAACATATAATTTTATATAAACAAATGACGCTAAAGATTATTTTTGTAACAAAGGTGCGTAAGTATTACTTAAATATAAACCTAATATGTAAAAAATAGGTTCATAACCGCTAACATATTTATTACTTTGAGAAACAGGTATATAAAAATATATGTAGATATTGCTTTGAAATAATAATATATGACAAATGATATACTTTACCTGATTCTTAAATTTACTACTTCTCTATGATGCGGTATAGTAAATTAATTTAATATTGATATTTAAATTCGGATTTCATCTGAGCTAAACTGACAAAAGACTCCATAGTAATAATCGTAAGCCCTCATTAATTGACTCAATAAACATCAATTTTAAAATACAAAGTATTATTATGTATATTGTTAACCGGGTTTTAACACGGATTTTATGGTAAATAAAGATATTTACCTCTCTCAACAGCGCTGTTGCTCTAATCAGTATGGCTAGTGCACTCTAGTCGAAATGTCGCGAGAGGTAAATGCCTTTATTTACCATAACATTCGTGAAGACCCGGTTAACAATATAAATAATATAGGTACATTAAACACGAAAGTTAAAAAATTAAGTATTGATATGTAAGCGTATCTATATAAAACAAGCCAATCCAAGTTCGACCCTAAACATCTGATTCGGCCTGCCGATGTCCCTCACACCAACATCCAGTAATGGTAGACGAGCAGCTTTATCCGTGTCAAATTGCACTATTGTTTTCGCCCATTCCTTTTTCTTGTACTGTTGAAATATAACTTATATAGACATCCATTATCACTTTTCATGGAAGGGGATTGTTCGTATTACGGAATAATATCTCCATTGCTAGCAAAGTACCAGGTCAGGTTGACCTCTAAAACTATCGTTATAAATTCATGGTGAATTTACCGCGATCGTACGCCCATCTTATCATCAGCCATTGGTGCCACGCCAGCGTAAACCGTTAGCGCAGGCGGGTGCACCATTCCATTATCCATAAGACTACCTAGGCTGTCTATCGGTTTAGTACACTGCTTCACTTCCGATAGTCGCGGGTTCGATTCCTCGCACAGTGCTATCATTTGTATTTATGAGCATTAATAATGCTGTTCAGTCAGAGTATTTTCTATGTATATTATGTATGTTTTTACAAAAAAATTAAGTAATAATAATTTGTCTAGTACCCATAACACAAGGTCTGCTTAGTTTCATTCAGCTTAGTCCACGGTTATTGTAATATTATAATATTAGTATGAAATAAGTTACCTGACATTCATCCAGTAGAGCCTTGTATCTTAATCTGTTATTGGCTTTAGGCAATATCTCAGCATCGTTGTATGCCAGCAATTTAATGCCCCGTCGGTAGTTGTTCATGGCAGGGTCAAAATAGCCGACTGTGTTGTAGCAATGGAAGGTCACATTCTGTACAGCCCTCGCCGACATAAGCTGGAGGTATGTAAGTTGAGAATGATCGGCTTTGTATGTGATCTGAAAGAGGAATAGATAATAAAAAATTTGTTCTATTCCTAAAGTAGGTACATATTTGCATATTTGTAGATTACAAATAAAAGAAGAAACATTAATTCTAGAAAGAATGTCTCATAAAAAGTGGCAGCAGGCAGCGCTGTTTAAGTATTTTTATACAACTGTAAACAATCCATGTAACTTCATGGAAAGTGATACGTAAGACAAAAATCAGATAACTGTTAGCTGCCTTTACACGACACGTTCTTTTACGCGCCATCAGGAGCGTAAAAGAAGCGTAATCGTAAGTAATTGCATTTAACTATTTTTTGTAGTCACTCTTTCACTCGTGATTGCGGGTTTAAATTTTATTTTTTATTCCACAGATTATATTTTCTCAAGACTCGTTTAAAATTTATAATTTACAATACTTTTATAATTATGTCTTTTGCCCGTAGTCCGCCATTTGGCAGAATGATAAATGGATGATTATAAAACGGCGCTAAAGCACGCATAATTGAAGGACGCGAGAATGCTCGAGCGCAGTCTTTCTCATTCTCTATATATATGGTAATTTTTTCTCGTGATATTTACTCGTGAATGAGCGTACGTGTAAATACAGCTATTATAAAATGTAAAACCTATGTTCTACATTTTTACACTTAGTTTTGGTTGTGCGTAACAGTCAGATCAAAAAATTGTATTAGTACACATTATAGTTACCGTGAATCCTTCTTCCATTTCGCTAAGCCAGGCCTCTTTCTCTTTACTCTTGTAAGCAATGTCTTGAGACTGCATAGGTTTCGGGAAGATACAGCTTCCTCCGGTACCCATATCACAATGGACTAGGATAGCATCGTTAATATCTCCGCCATTGGGATCAATCCAATATTGTCCTGCATTAAATTTAATGTAATCACAGCAATTGTATTTTAAAATAATTATATAATAAGCCTATCAAGAAAAATAGTAAATACATAATAACATAAACGCAGAACACAGACAAGCAGAACGCATATACACACATAAATATTGTGGTCAGTGGTGGCACATTAATGGCTTACTATGATAATGATATGGTATTTTGAATGGAAAATAATATGCAATACAATACAATAGATAGCCTTATATATTTCTCTGTACTAAGTATTTTGTATTACTTTTTAAGTACATCAAGCAATACTTAAAAATCTTGGATGAATTTAATCAATATTTAAAATTACTCCCTAGATTTGCTCATGATGGTTCCAAAATAACAACTAATACAGGATACTTACCACTTTCAAAGTCAGGATGATGATATTTAATATCCCCACACGTTTTTGCTGGTGCTTCCTTGGTACCGTCCGGGCGTAGAAATTTATCTAAAGATACTTTAAGCCTCTCATATGCTTTCATTACTATTTCCTTGCGTTCAGCTGGTGTCATATCATCTTTGAAGAATCGTGCCGGCATAGAGTTAGGATCATCGCCTAATGGATCTGGACCTTTGACTGAACCTTGAAATATATTAAATTAGTCTAATTAATGGAGTTAAACAACAACATATTGTAGTACGTTATTTTTGAAATACGAAAATAAGTAAGTTGCAATATTAATAAAAAGTAGAACATCGTTATTGCAACTAATTAGGTATCTAAATGTTTAGTACACGTTAATTAATTATTATATATAAATTATAAATACCTTGTTGAAGCATAGCCGCGAGTGCAGCCGCATCATAAGCCAATCCTTCTCCCGCTGGACCAGGCGGGCCTGGAGGACCAGCCGGTCCGGGAGGTCCATGACGACCGGTGTCACCAGCAGGTCCACGGGGACCAGACGGCCCGATAGGGCCCTGGGGTCCAGGATTACCATCACGACCAGGGGCACCTTTTAAAAGCGAGCAAAATTTCAGTTAAAGAATAGAGTTAATATATTCTATAAACTTAATTCACTTAATTCCGCATAATCGTATGGAACTTAAATATAACCCTCTTATTAAAACAAACTACCTCTTGATCCAGGTTCACCATCCTTTCCTGGTGGTCCCATAGTTCCAGGTAGACCTCTTTCACCCTGTCTTCCAGGTGCTCCTAACATGCCTGGTAGACCGGGCAAGCCTGCATGACCTTTGGCACCATCCGTTCCTGCTTCGCCTCGTTCTCCTTTTGCTCCGTCTAAGCCAGGCAAACCCTGCTTGCCTATAGGTCCTTGTGGGCCATCTACACCAGGAGGTCCTACTTCTCCTCTCGACCCACGTTCACCTGCTGGCCCAGGAGGGCCCGCCGGACCAGCTGGACCCTGTTATGTAAGTATGCAGTACTGACTTATTTGTATCGAACAATAATTGATAAATATTGATTTAGTTTTTACATTCACGTCTGTAATTCTATGTACACTAGTTAAATTAAATCTACTGTATTTTGTTATGTATTATGTTGCTTTGTAACTGATTTTACCTAATTGTCATTTAACTAAAGTTAGTAATTCGTTTTATGGTAATTGCGTAAGGTTTTACAACAACATACCACAGTCTGTTATAAATCTGCCTGAAAAAAAGATTTAAATGTCATATAAAACACTTTCTTTGTAAAAAATCTTATTATAAAATTGAAGAGTTCGTTAACGATAATAATGGTTTTATAAAAAAACTTAAAGTCCGTAGCACTGACTTATGTTTTTGAACACTCACTTGTAATCCTGGTAGTCCAGATGGACCCGAAGGTCCTGGTTGTCCTGTAGGTCCTTTATCTCCAGGTCGGCCAGGAAGTCCTGATTGTCCTTGTTTGCCTGGTCGTCCCTCAGGGCCTGGTTCGCCCATAGGTCCTTGTGGACCTTGTAACCCAGGGCTGCCTGCATGTCCTGGGGCACCATCTGAACCAGGTTTCCCGGGAGCACCTGTCTCACCCTACAATGATTATAAATAAAAGACATAAATAGTGCAATGTAATATTAAAATGAAAGTTTTACAAGTTATTTAAAGGATATTGAAACAGATTATAAACATAAAAACACGTTTTAAATACATTTATAGTACCTGTGGACCGCGAAGTCCTTGAGAGCCGGGCGGCCCAACAACACCAGGTAAACCAATTGGCCCTCTCTCCCCAGAAGGACCTGGAGGTCCACTAGATCCTTGTAGTCCAGGTTCACCTTCACTGCCTCTCTCGCCTTTAGGTCCTTCAGGCCCCGCCGGACCTGTGAGGCCCACAACTCCAGGTGGCCCGGGTCTGCCGGAGTCTCCAATAGCGCCTTTAGCTCCTGGTATTCCTGGTGCACCGGCTGGTCCCGTACTTCCTTGTGGGCCCTGTTAATGAGCGTTTCGTATATATTTTTTCTTGTTTTCTATATAATTATATAATATATACACTATTATAAATGTTACACATTATTACCGATGGTCCAATATCTCCCGGTCTCCCGGGAAGGCCAGAGCGACCAGCTTCTCCTTTATGTCCTTGTTCACCCCTGGTTCCTTTTGCTCCAGGCTGTCCAGGTAAACCACGCAAACCTTGTTCTCCTTGTAATCCTTAAAATATTCAATCAAATTATTAATTTCGTTGTATTAACTAATAATATAATTTGTATTAGAAAATCAATATAAATTTTGTACAGTACCTGGACTGCCAGGAGATCCTTGCTGTCCTTTGGGTCCACCATAACCTCTTTCACCTTTTAAGCCTGGCATTCCTGTGAGGCCAGTTGGACCAGGAAGACCGGGGGCTCCTTGAGGGCCAGGCTGACCACGTTCACCTGGCGAGCCAGGTGCGCCTGCTTCACCAGGAATACCCGGTGTACCAGGTTCTCCTCTTTCCGCTGGCTCACCTGGGGGACCAGCTGGCCCTAAAGGACCCTGCGGGCCTTGTTCTCCTTGACGTCCTGCAAAAAATAAAGGTATGTTTTCCATTAGTCTCTTAATTAAATTAATAGCCAAATAATTATATAATAAAAGTACCAAACAAATTACTGAAACTCTTACGCTATATTACTGGATTACTTAGAAATTTATCAGAATAAGTGATAATGAAATGTCATATAAAAGAAACTTTACCTGGAGCGCCATCATTTCCTGGAGGACCAGCTGAACCTCTTTCTCCTTTTTCACCATGAGATCCTGTTTGCCCTCGTGGTCCAGGTAAACCCATTGCTCCAATTGGACCAGGATGACCCTTAGCACCTCTAAGACCCTCTGGACCCTAAAATTAGGATGATAATGTTACGTGTTGGGATGTACAATTGTACATAGTAATAGTTTTTATTTATTTTATTTATTTATTTATTTATTTATTTATTTATTTATACGACTTATGGAAATCACACTAAGATAAGCCAATTTTCTTTATAATGATTGATTACAATATCGGAATTGAATTGCATTTTATTCTGCACTGTAATAGAATTCTAATTAATATAATGGTATATATAACAATACTAACCGGTAAACCATCTGGACCTTGAGCACCAGCTTCACCTTTCTCTCCCGAAGCACCAGGCTGACCAGATACACCTCTTTCGCCAGGGAATCCTCTTTCTCCTCGAGGTCCTGAGGGACCTGGTGGACCAACAGGCCCCGAAACGCCAGGCTCTCCTTCTTTACCTGGTGGTCCTGGTACACCGGCTGTGCCAGGTAATCCCTATAACATAAATAGCAATGATTAAAATATAATTTAATTTCGTAAATAATTACATATCAGTCACTAATTCTTACCGGAAATCCTGTCGGCCCAGCTGGTCCTGTAGGACCTCTTTCTCCAGATGGACCAGAGGGTCCTTGTGGTCCTTGTATACCTGGTCCACCATCTCTACCAGCATCACCCTTAGGCCCTTGTGGTCCAGCTTGTCCAGGTTCACCATCTTTTCCTGATTCGCCCTAAAAATTTATTAATCATAAAAAATTCTTTATAATTCAAAATACCTTAACCCTAAATTTATTACAAAGCATGCAAAAGGAAGGCTTAAAGTTGTAACTTTTTTAAATACTCATTTGTATAGCAGGAAATCAATTCAGAATCTTCATTTATAATACTTACTTGTAATCCTCTTTCTCCAGGGCTTCCCATAAGTCCAGGGGGTCCTTGTAAACCTTGGGCTCCTTGCTCACCAGGCCTACCATCTGCTCCGGCGATTCCTCTTTCACCTTGGGGACCAGTTTTCCCTGGAATACCAGGTCTACCAATGATACCTCTAGGTCCCGATAAACCTTGTGGGCCAGACCTGCCAGGATCTCCGGCACTTCCTTTTGGTCCAGGCAAGCCAACACCGCCTCTTTCTCCAGGTTGCCCTTTGGAACCCATAGGACCATCTGCGCCAGGCAAACCTCTCATTCCTTGCAAACCTCGTTCACCTTGGGGTCCAATATTTCCAGCTGGACCTCTAAGGCCCCTCTTTCCTCGTTTCCCTTCTGGTCCAATACTACCAGGTAAACCTCTAGGGCCGGAAGCACCAGGCTCGCCTCGTACGCCAGCATCTCCTTTGGAACCTCTTTCACCCGGTTGACCCTAAAAAAGTATTCATTTAGTGCAATAATTATTATATCAACAAAAATTGCCGGCCTCGGTGATTTAGCATTTAGCACACCGCTTATTATGAACGTCACGAATTTGATTCCTGGTATGACACATTCATGTTCATGAACTTTTGAATTGGATTGAGTATTTTTAATGTATATTGTGTACATATGTATTTACAAAAGAACTTATTTAAATATTTCTACCAGTTATCTAGTTAAGTAACATAAGCTCTGCTTAGCTTGGAACTACATGAGGATGTGTGAGTTTATACTATTATTATTATAAATACTTGAGGCTTAAATTCAATATTTATAAATTAACATAAATTAGTCAGATTCAAGAAATTACCGGCATTCCTTTTGTTCCAGGCACACCAGGATCTCCAGCAAGACCTGGAGTCCCTCTAGGTCCGGGAAATCCTTGAGGTCCCGTCGCTCCATGTGGACCTTGCACGCCTTTCTCACCTGGTGTACCATCTCGTCCTGGTATACCTGGAGTTCCAACTTCACCGGGTTGTCCTGGGCGACCAGATTCTCCTCTTGGTCCTTGTAAGCCCTGGCTACCTTTAGGGCCTGCTAGACCTTGCTCGCCTTTGATACCAGGAGATCCAGGGAAACCTGGGGCGCCCGTTTTTCCGACATTTCCCTTAAAGAATATTTATAAACTTTAGGTTTTAGTCGAAATTTGTAATAGTCTCAGTAGTAAATGTCTTGTTTCTTTATCATCTTTATTAAAAATAAAAACATAAAAAAATTCCTAACGAATTTGAGGTAACCATATAATATAAGAAAAATTATACGATAAACCTATCCTCCAAACTGCTTTTTTAATAGTTATGGTTGTACAATATTATATCAACGTACTCTTTAAGAACGAATGACTTTACAAGTTTTTGGTTTTTTATTGATACTGCCTAGAAAGTACTATAATGTGTACGAGTTTCGTGTCTCGTATATATTGCAATGTTGATCTGTGCTTACCATAAGCCCCGGCGGACCTGCAGGACCATCAGCACCGCGCATCCCAGGCGGGCCAGGTGGTCCTTCGCGTCCTCGCTCACCACGACCGCCGATTGGTCCCTATTCAAATTTTAGGTCTTATTATTATATAGATATACATTAAATACTAGCCCCATTCCGACTCTGCACTGATATTTCAATAGATGTAGTTGATTTACGCAAAAACTTGACGAAATTTCAGGAATCACTCTGTTGATAGTAAAAAATATCGCAAACATATGGACAGACGCAACTTTTTTATAATAGATATATAATAGCGCACCTACTTCGCACGGGCATTTCAATTAATTGACACCTTATCCTTAAAGATATAGCTTAAGCCATACGCCTCCCAAAATTAAGCGTATATTCCTAATTTTAGGAGGCGTATCGCTTAGAGCCATATTCAGACACTAAGGTATGCTACCTTCATCTATAAAAAGTAAAAATGCTATTAACGTATTTTAGTTATTAAACTACGTGCTTTAATTACTTCAATAACTAAACTAGATATAATAAATTATTTGTAAGTAAAGACAAAAAAAATAAAACTAAAAATTAAATAAATTTTTAAACAGTAATAAAACCCTACAATTAAAATAAAATTGTACACATTAGGTAAACAACAAAAAACACTTGATATGTGAGCGTCACTTTCGAGTAGGTGGGTCACCTTGACTACCATATCAGAAACAGAATTGTGAATTAATAACTAGGTACTAACCATAGGCCCTGCTGGACCCATCGGTCCAGGAAGTCCAGTTGGTCCCTTTTCCCCTGGTTGTCCCTGATCGCCCTTAGCGCCATCTTTCCCATCAAAACCTCGATGACCCTTCAGCCCTTGAATGCCCGGTACTCCAGGAGCTCCTCTGGGGCCGGTCTGGCCTACCGCACCTGCTGGACCTGGTTCTCCATCTTCACCAGCGGAACCCTATTCACAATGAATTACTTCAGTATGAAAATTTACTTAAGATTTTACAGTAATTTTATACGGCGGCCTTATTGGTCTAGCGATTAAACAGACTGTCTTATTTCCGATGGTCGCGGTTTCGATTCCTCGCATGGTGTAAATGAGTATTATTGCGTGTTTTCTAAATATATTATGTATGTATTTACAAAAATGTATATATGTATTTATATCAGTTATCTGATACCCATAACACAAGCTCTGCTTGGAGAGAGAGAGATTCTTGGAGAATTTGTCAAGATGGGCTAACAGACCTGACTTCGTGCTCATGTTGTCATCCTCCATTGGTGCCCCGACAGAGTATACCGTTAACGCAGATGGAGGTGTCATTGCATTGTCAACAATAAAAAAAATAAGAAGAATAATACATCTTTTCCTGGAAGACCCGGCGGTCCTCTCTCGCCTGGGGATCCCTGCTGGCCTGACAGTCCTGGTTCACCAGGCTCTCCACGTGGTCCTTGAAAACCTTGCGGGCCGGGCGGGCCTTGGGGTCCTAGGGTAATAAAATATTTATATACTTGTTTATAAAAATAAAAAAAAAATAGGTCCACGAAATAACAAATTACGTCAAAAAATAAAAAAGAAATAGGCGGTGGGTTCACCATCTTTGAGAAGTATGAAAAATAGATGTTAGCCGATAAGTTTATAGGTTATTCACCTGGTATTCCTCTGATTCCTGGTGCACCCACAGAAGCCTGCATGTACTGATAGGGATCAAAGGCAGGCCCTTTGTCACCACCTGCGGTAGCCGCTAATTGTGCTAGATATGCGTTTACCTATAAAACAGATATAAATAAAATATATTTTAGGATAGTATTGGACAGAAAAGTATAAATATTTTCATGACAAAATAACTGTACTGTACAATTATATTGTGTATAAGCCGCAAGGATATGAAAGTACCCATGGTAACGAACAAGTTTTGATCACAAACTTTCCCTAAAACAATATGTTTTTTTTATTAAAAAGTTGTCTTTTTAAAAATATAATAATAACATATAGAGAATATTTTCTTCAAATAATTATTAGATTCAGAATTCGTTATTAAACTACAATTCAATGATATAAAATTCACTTGTAAGAGTTGTGGACATTCTGATATGTCTGGAAGAGATTGCTTTAAGCCATAAGGCCTTTTTCATTTTAACACAAACATGTATTTTTTTCTTTTTGTAAATATTTTTCTGTGCACACTAAATAGTGATATTATTATTAAACATTCTAATTACATGCTAATTTATGTGAAGTTAAATAGAATACATAAGAAGATGCTGACGTACTGGCCATATAGTTTTATATTTCATATTCACATTGTATTTTCTCTTAAGAATTCATTCTTGTATACCGAACGATTTAGTACCTAATTATATAACAGACAACAACAAGAAGTGTTGTGGAAAGGAGTCAAAAGTAGATTACTCACATCAGGCATTGGTCCAGCAGGTCCGGGAATACCAGGAGCCCCGGGGACTCCATTAACACCAGGAGCTCCGGGTGGTCCTGACGGCCCATCATCACCGGGCCGGCCAGGTACTCCTCTCGTAGGAGTTCCAGGAACAGAGTGGTGTGTTGGCCTGGCTAAAAATTAAAAGAATTCCATCCAAATCTTTCAATCCTTTAAACATTCACATTGTATTTTCAGGCAGTTATCTATATTAAATAGACGTATCCATTTTTTATGACGTATAAACTTTTGACCTCTATAGTGTAGCGACTTAACAATCAGTCACAGTACCTATTGGTCACGTCATCACTATGAACGGCTAATCATATACCAAACATAATGTAATAATTTCCTAGGAACAAATCACACAGCGCCATCTAGACCCAAAGTAAGCAGAGCTTGCATTATAGGTACTAAACAACAGATAAATACATAACAACTGTATTATTTTTTTGTAAATACATACAATATATACGTAGAAAACACCCAGACCGATACAAACAATCAAACTCATGAATACAAATGTTTATACCGTTAGAGCACTCGAAACCCTGTCCATAGGAAGTAGCTAGACCGCCGAGGCCGTCATAGCGTATAAGGATATGCTGCCGATATGCTACTGCCTGAAAACCAGCGCTGTAGATGCACCTCATTGAGGTTGTACTTATATCAGCAACATCTAAGGCAGCTGCTATTACCAACTGTCTGTGTTATTTTTTTATTTATATTGTGTATTAATAGTAAATTGTTGTGTAGTGTTGGCAATAAATGAATAGAATAGAATAGAAAATAATTTATTCAAATAAACTTACATTGAAGCACTTTTGAATAGTCATTACATTTTTTTAATCTACCGCTCGTTCGGAAAGCTGTCTCATCACAAGAAGAACGAGCAAAAAACTTGCGTGTTGCAAATTGAAATTATATATCTATCTATATTCATAAGTAAAAATATATACCTGATAAACATTCAGGTATTATAGAGCAATTCACTCTGCCAGCGTAGCACTGGCATAGCGTGCAGTTGTCCCGTTTCCAGTTTTCCCCTTCGGTCCACACGCGGCCTATGTCGATACACCTCGACGGCGGTGAAGGAACTGTCAAAAAAATTACAAATAAAAATACCAATACAAATAAATTCTCATATATAAAGTTGTTCGAAAACCATGTGTAGTATATATGTAACACTAGTTGTACAATTGTATATAAAAACAAAATTGTAACTGGCAGTCTATAAATGTGCGTTGCCATGTCAGTAAAAAATAATAAAAAAAATAACAAATTTGTTGTATTTTTATTTAATAAAAAATAATTTTAAATGTAACAACCATCCGTTAAATCCTCGGCCCTGGCACTACTAGTGTTAAATCCTGCTTTAACACGCTAGTGTGTAGTGTAGTGTAGTGTAGTAGTAGAGAGTTAATTCAACTATCGTCTACCATCGAGCGCACACGGTCCATAAATACTCGGTTCAAATACCGAGTATTTATGGACCGTGTGCGCTCGATGGTAGCAGGGAGCGAGCCTACCGTCTCTCATATTCATATTTGTTTTGATTATCTGTGTTTCCTTCACCAGAGAGGCAGTTCGAAATATAAATTGGTTCAAAGGTTTTTTTTATTTGATGTCTGCTATAACAATTTTTCCTAAGGACTTCATATAAGTTGTATGTAAAGAAAACAGTCGCTGACGGTGAAGACTGCATTAAAAAAAAAGTGAAATATATAGAACAATATATTTTTTTTTAAATATATCTATATTTATATATAAACTAATAAAATTTTAACGACGCACCTCTTTATCTTATTTACTGATAGATTTGAAACTCACGACTTTTGGATGTAAATGAGGCGTTAATGTCACATATTAATGCCATATAAGTAATAGATTAAACTAACCTCTCGTTGTAGGGCCTGGAGGTCTGCGATTGGGGGGTGAGACTGGAACAAATTAACAGTTTTTTACCTTGCATAAAAATCCTAATCAGTTACATTCATCACAAAGTTTAAGTTATATCTCTTGCAATACTTTGCAAAGCTATTCAATTTTATGTACTAGTTTTACAAAATAATACATGCACAATCATTTGCATAACCTACAGATAGACAAACTGACTGTCAAACAAAAATTCTAAAAACCGGCTTTTCTTGCTCTAATAATGATCCACTAAATTAGTTTCTTTAATATCTATGATATACAGACATTAATCTGTTATAAAGTCTAATGTAGTTTATGAATAGAAATAGCTAAAAGCAACTCACCTGTTGATCCCCTGAAGTCCCGTGCGGCTATTATAGCTGTAAAAGAAAAAAAATACAATTAATCAAATTTTTTTATTGACTCAGAATGGCAAACAAGCGACCCACCTGATGGTAAACAGTAACCGTCGTCTATATACAAGAACAACTCCACGGACATTACGTTATCATGTGACGTCTGTGATGAGTGGTATTCATAAATTGTTATTCCGCAGGACTAAAATGTTATGTCTCCATATTCTGTAATTTCACTGCCTTCAACTGTAACAGCTTACAAAGCAAATTCTACTTCTAGAACTCGAAAAATATTTGCTTTAAGTTAAGCTTCGAAAAAATTCTTAAGTTTAGCTTCGAAAAAATGCTAAATAACATTTCGTTAAGAACACTTAAGATCACAGTATTATTTTTGTATGTAAAATCTTAGTGGTATTTTTGTTCTCTAAAAACCACAATTTGAACCTCCGAACCGTTATTACCGGTAGTCACGGAGTCGCCTACTATTACCGGACTCACGGAGAGTCTACTGCGACTCTGTCGGCCTATCCTATTTACATTTTATTAAAACATCTATTGGATTGTTAAACTGGATTTTGTATAATTTGACGGCCTCGGTGGTCTAGGACTTTTGGCTTTATTTCTATGGTCGCCGGTTCAATTCCCCACCCGATGCAAATATTTGTATTTATGAGTATGGTTGTTTGTATCGGTTTATGTATTTACACAGTATATATCACAAAGGGTTTACTATCAGCAGTCAAACATACCGTTGTCGTCTTCATCGAAAGGGTTGTAGTCGTCGTAGTTGAGATCCGCCTCCTGGGCCTGAGGCAGTTCCTCGACATCAACACGTGGTGTCCCGTCGAGTTCCTTGCACGCAGCTGGCAACACTAGCAATGCCAGCCACGCGGCTCTGGTATACCACCACATGCCGCCTGTTCAAAAATTATGTATTATATCTACTTTTTTATACTACGATGGTGGCAAACAAGCTTACGATGCATCAGATGGTAAATAGTTACTGAAGCCATTGGACGCTAAAGACACCAGGGGCGCTGCCGACCCTTAAGAAGCCTTAATATACCCTTCTTGAACAATCTCATGCTGTAGTCTCGTGAGAAAACCTCAACAGGCATTTCATTCCATAATCTAAGTGTACGCGGGAGGAAGCTCCACTGAAACCGCACTATCCGAGACCACTTAGGTTCTAGCATGTGGGGATGAATTCCTTGTCGATGGCGAGTGGGTAGGTGGTAAAAGGTAGCCGTAGGCATCATGTCGAACAATTCCTCATAACACAGTCCTTTATATAGAAATCTCGCCTCAAGTGGTGCGATACTGCCAGAGAGATCGGGATCATCGACATTACTCATAGCACATCTCTGAACCGAGTCAAAAGCTGGTATCCAGGCGCACATCTATACACGCACCCACACACACATACTAGCGGTCTGTCCTAACTTCGCCTGGTTTCAAAGTAACACCGTTAATAAAAGTATTCTTTATTTTTGAAGAAATAATTGAAGAAAAACATTTTAATTTATATACTTAAGTAAAAAAAAGTCTAAAATTATTATTACTTAGCAATAGAGCTTGTTGCTTTGCAATGAAAAGCAGATAGGAACAATTTATTTATTACTCTTAATTGCACATATAAAACATTAAAACATACAAAATTTATAAAGTAGGTACTTGTTGTACCCGCGACTTGTCCGCGTGGAAATTTACTTTTATTGTTCTAACATAAAATATTTTTTCTAAAATAAAAGTAGCCTAAGTGACTCCTTATTAATACAGCTACCTGCCAAAAAAGTTTCGTCTAAATCGGTCAGGCCATTTCAGACATTAGCCGGAACAAACAGACAGACAGACAAAAATTGTAAAACATGTTATTTTGTTAAATAGTAAAAAATATTGTTTTGTTTTATGTAGCGTATTTATATTAATATGCATGTAGTAAAAAACGGTTATTTCAATATTACAAACAGACACTCCAATTATATTTATATATGTATAGATGAAGGTACAAAAGGGGCTTTATCACTTAAGATTATCTCTTCCAGATAACTATTTGTGTACAAAGTTTCATTAAATCCGATCAGTCATTTAAGATGTGACAAACATGTTTGTATGTATAATAAATACATTTTCAACAATTTCAATCTGTATTTGTAATATTGGTATGATTGGAATGACCGACTAAAGAAGTGAGCTAATAGGAACAACAGAGGCAGAAGGTATGTAACTGTATATATTTCTAAATAGTCGACTAACTATTAACTAAAGATGTCATGAGCAATGGATGCTCTCGGCCCAGTAACCTTATCGTACCTATACTAGAGATGTGCTACAGTTATCGATTCCCTCAGCCGGCTACTGCCAAGCAGCCGGCTCCCGGCCGGCCGGTAAACGAACGACGCTGGGGTGGCACACCCCAGCAGTACGCCCGGGCAAAGAGCATATGCTCGAAGCTCGCACCCGGCGGTCCGTAAGGACCAGCGGACCACCTAGTCATCAGTTATCAATAATTTTTGTACTGATATTAACAAAATGGATAACTAAAGTTCGTATGGTTTTTACTCTATATTGAGAAAAAATTAGAAAATTGTTTAGAAAAAGTATATTAAATATTTAAGATAGCATCAAACACAAAAAAAAATTATAACTTGAAATACTTATTTGAAAAACATATATAAAACATTGTATTTAGAAGTTTGCAAGAATTATGTAGATAAATTTTAAATTCTGGATTACGATAGAGTCGAAATTAAAAATTATTTAACTCAATTGAAAATTGCGTGGAACGCCATATGTCAATATAAAATAAAACAATTCATGTTACAAGCTCATAAATATAATGTAAAACTAAAAACTGCTTTCGTTTCGGTGTCAAACACATTTTTATACCATTTATTTTGGAAACCATTTAATTAAAAAAAAAGTTTTGTTTTGTATATGTATGATAAATTATTAATATATATCGATAAATGTACATATATCGATATGCGAATAGTCCGTTCGTTGCACGTGCCTACAATCCCATTTGTCTGTATACAGATGACAGTACCAATTGGCTACTGTAATAATTAATTTTAGCAACCGAGGAAATGTTGTGTGAATGAACCAATTTGTATATTTAACCATTGTCTATGATCATAGGAGGCCATTGGCCACTTTCGCTCGTTGTGATTTCGGGAACAGCTGTCATTTTGAATTGGTATGCGTTACTCGTTTAATTTTATTTATAGAGACACGGCATAGCAACAATGACGATTTTATTAACACTGTAACTCGACCTCAAACATAGTATATATTAAGATATAAAATGGAAATTTTGACACTTGATTATTTTTTTAGTCACATTTAAACCTTGTAATTAAGTCATGACTTGGAAGGAGCTTCGAAAATTGTATTTGACGCAAGCGGTTTAGCGCGCCGCATTATTTACCGATTCTCACTGGTTCGATTCCTCGCACAATACATATATTTGGATTCCTGATTATGATTATTTTTATTGGTCTGGGTATTACCTACTTATTTTATGTATGTATTTATAAAATAAATGTATATTTATATACATTTTTTCAATCTATATATCAGTAATCCAGTATACCCATAACATAAGCTCTGCTTATCTTGAGACTGTCACTGTGTGAATTGCCAAGGGTTATTATTATCATTATTTTGCCGGTAACGCCGGGAAACTATTCTATTAATACATTAACTCGAATTAAAAACTACGGAACGGATTTTGATGAAACTTTACAGTAATACATCATCATATATCAGAATAACACATAGACTGTAATTTAAAAAGATAATATGTAAATTGGTGGAAATGTAATAATAAATGTGAAAAGTAAGTGTGATGCAGACAAGTTCGCGAGGCAGCTAGTAACTTTAATATGTTACGTTTTTAAATCGTTGGAGATACTGTAAATATAATATGATGTGCAGGTAAAAGTCAATGCAAAACAAGAGATGCTGATAGAATCATAACTTCAGTATTACTCTATCAGATTTACTAATATATTTTTTTAGAAAAAATATTTTTATTTCATCCCGATTGACATAGGTGAGACAAAATTACAGAATTAATCTTTTAATTTTTCGTTGAAAGTATTGGTATCTTACACGATCAATAAAATTATTCAACACCGTTGTGAGTAATTAATACGAAAATATTTATATACTTATCGATTATAAAATATCTGTGAACATTTTGAAGTCGGTTGAAACTCAGAAGTTTTTATATATTTAGATTTCATATAAGTACGTGAAGTACCACTTATATGAAATCTTAGTAAAAAAAAACTACTTAAGTGTGTACCCGGGTGTTTGTTCGTTTTAGTAATAGTAGCCTAATGACTAAAATAGAATTCTTACAACTTTGAAGTATTGATATTCGACTCCTAACTATCTGTCTGTACGTGACAGTGCGTCAAAGTGCGTATCCGCAATCTTCGAGTGATTTACATGAAAATATTTGAAATGTATTAAAAGATAATTACTGTTACAAAAATTATAAAAAAAATATGTTTTTTATTGAATCGCAATTAGGAATAATAATTATTTATTAACGTTATTATTATACAGGCCAGAATATAGATCTTAAGAACAACAAGTAATGCATTTTTTTTTAAATAGATGTAACAACACTTTACATTCACCGACGTGACAAAGTTAACTTTAAATGATATTCTTTAATAAAGTTATAAATTTTCTATAATTTTTACTATCTTTGGGAAACACTGTAGTGACGTAAAATTGAAAAAGTTTGTCCGAAAATCCAATTGTAATCTTGTCTATTTAAAAAGAATGGTTCATGAGGCAATTGTAAAATTGACAGGAGTTTTTTTTTTTAAATAGACGAGAGATAATAAATTACTTTTTCGTAATTCAGTTACCTACTGAGGGAATAAAACGGGGTTTCAATATTATTCTTATAAAATAATAGGCATAAATAGGCATTAGACTTTATACTTCTGAATAGATATACATATTTGATGATTTTTAGAAAAAATACTGCAGAACGGTTTTTCGAAATTAAAGTTATTCTTATTTAATATATAAAATTTGTCTTGTGTTCATCTTGTTTTATTATATTTAAACCCTAATTCTGTATATATGTAGTAAATTTGTAATTTTTAATTTTTATAGTGTTCAATCCTACAGACTTATAAGACATATCTGTAAGCTCTCTGGGATCAGCTAATTTAGTCTCTATTCCTTTATAATGTAACTGGAAAATTAGAAATTCAAATTCAGCCTATTAAATGTAGAGGATTCTCATAGATATTTATTCTACGCTTTGATTCTTTAAAAAACTGATATTGAACCGAAATTAATTCATTTTAACATTGAAAATATATACATTCAAAATGATAAACGATTGTATAATAATTTTGAATGTATATATTTTACACATTTATTCATAATATAAAATTAATACATATAATTTAAAATAATTGCAATAACCATTTAATAACTAATAATAATTTCCCATCTAAAGTAATTTATATGTCATAACTTGCAATTTCAATTGACCAAATAAATCGATGATGTACCATATAATAATAGAAATCAATGCTAATAATAATATTTATAAGCTCACCTCGGTGTCCAGTCGTGGTGGTGAGGGTTGCACGGCCGCCCGTGCCGCGACGAATGCGCACCCGCCCGCCCGATATGGCAATATATGCGCGCACGCTGACCTGTTGCCTACACTCCACGAATGCAGGGCCGGTCAAATTAACCAACATATATGGTTTTTTTTTATACTACTATGGTGGCAAACAAGCGTACGGCCTATCTATTGATAAATGGTTACCATAGCCTATGAACGCCTGAAACACCAGGCTTGCGCAATGGCGACCTTTAAGAAACCTTAATATACCCTTCTTGAAATATCCCATACTGTAGTCTAGTGAGGAAACCTTGGTGGGTAATTCAATCCACAATCTAAGTGTACAAGGGAGGAGGCTCCTTTATTATACGATATTGTATGGTATTGTACTGTATTGTGTAGAGAGAAATTCAAAGAGGCAAATATTCTCCCTAATTCAACATTCATAACATTAATACTAGATTTAAAGATACTTGATGTTTCTAAGTATCGTTTAGAAAAAACAATGTGTATTTTATGGAAATGGGTATAAAAATTTACAATAATATACCAAAAGGATATACTGGAATTACCCTTAAATAAATTCAAAACATCTATTAAGTCATATTTACTCAGCAAAGCCTATTACTCACTAAACGATTCCTCGAATGACGAGCATGCATGGCAATAGTTGTTAATGCACAGAATTTTAATTAAATACCAGATATAGTAAGTAAAGCTTTAAAAAAATAGAAATACTGTTAGGTTGGTTGCTTGTTCTTCTCAACTGAATATATACTGAACTGGACGGTAGCGAAAATATTATAATACACAAAAATTGACGTTCATAGACGGCTAAAATGTCCTATATAAATGAATGATTTTTGATATGATTTAGCATGAACGTAATAACGTAATAACTGTGGTGATGCTCATATACATCACATACATATAAGGACGGTTAACATTTGTCATCAGATGGGCCGTTTGTGTGTCTATCCAGTTCCATAAAAAAAAAGAAAAAAATATGTCAGGTTATCTGTAAAAATAAAAAAATATAAAACCCCATGCAGCCCGCATGCGTAAACAGTTGGTCATATCATTTTCAGTCAATATCTGGGACGCGATCTAATGGGTATGATGTGTGGTACAGCAATCGGCATCATAACGCACCAATTCTTAAAGTAAACGACCACTTTTTAATTGTGCGGGTCAACCAACGCACGAGTAACTATCAATGTGATCACTAGGCGCCATTGTCAATTTTAAATATTAATTTAATATATACAATAATCGTTGTCATAGAATTTTTTAGTTTACTTTTTTAATACGACCATATATTGTAGGGCTTTGGCAGACACTAATATTTACCTAAAATATATTATGCTTTAATACTAAACATTAAGAATATGGTACTTAAAAGAATATACCAGTTAAGTTTCTTGTCAGTTCTCAACTAAAGTAGTTATCCAAACTGAACGGTATGGCGTACCGTATCTATAGACACTTTTTACAAAGAAATAAGATGTGAATTTTGTTTATTTGTTTGTAATAATAAATAATATAATATTAACAAGATCTGTGGTGAGTTTATCTAACTACAGATCTTATTAATATTGTAACACGAAAGTTTTTGTATATAGGTAATGAATAGATGGATGTTTATTACTCTTCTGGAACTACGCAACGGATTTCGATGAAACTTTAGAGTAATATAGCTATATTACTGTAATTTCGAATACATCAGAATAACACATATGCTATAAATTATTCATGCGAGTGAAACCGAGGGCACAGCTATAGTAGTTAGTTATATTCGTCGCAGGTAACGCTGCGGGATTTAACTTAGTGTCGTATAAGGCAGTTTTCTAAATAAAATTCTGCTCTAAATATAAAACAAGAGACAACAGACTCTTTAAGAACACGACGTCATAATACAAAATAGACTTTAAACTGGCACTTCAAAAACAACAGATCACATATCGTGTTGCCTGTACAAAATATACGATATTTTTCTTTTTAAATTGTTTCAATTTAATTGCTATACCCATAGGTATCACTTTATCTATTCCATATAAAATAGTATAACAATAAAAAAGTTTAAAGTACATAAATCGAGTTAATTCAAATTCTTTTTAATTTGAAGTTTTTACTTAGAAATACATCTTTTATCTAGATGTTTTTTACATCTATTATACATCATTTATGTACTTTAAAAGTTTCTGCTTTTAGCGAATTCTTACAACTAATAAATGAGATTCTCCGGAATCCGGTGTAATGAAATAAAGAAAAAAGGTCCCAATTGGCTTTCATTTTGTGAAGCTTTACGCGAAAGAGCAATATGTTCGCCCTTGACTAGGATATTATGTTAAAATATCTGCTACAAAAACGAGCATACATCATCATATACCAACATATTTTAATGTGTATGTTTTTTTATTAATGATATTGGAATGGTGGACCCGACTAGCGTTACGAGATTAGGTTTACGCTGGCGAGGCACCAGTAGAGAATGATAAGATGAGCATGAGGTCAGGTCCTGAAATTAAATGCAAATTCCTGATGGCAAATTTATCAGGAATTTATAATGATAGTTTCTAGGAGGAATCGCGTGGAGGTCAACCTGATGTGGTTCATTGCTAGTAATGGAGTCATTAGTCCACATTACTAACAATCCCCTTTCCTCACATCCGTATGTAGGTATACATATTAATGGGTGTTTTTTGAATGGTAGGTATACCGCAGACTGTTCTAACGGTGTATACTAATACTAGTATTAAATGATTGTATTAGATGATTGTATGAGGATTATCATCCCAGAGTTATACTCGAACGGGTGATGGTTGTGGGGATTGGTCTGTTCAGGTTACGAACACTAATTAGACAATTTGCTTTTGACAAAATTGTAATAGCATATGCTGGTGGTCACTCTATTCTCCCTAATTTGAATTTAAAAATTAATTATTATATAGTATATATATAATTGTAAACAATATTTGAAAATAATACAAGCTGAGTTTCTTGTCAGTTCTTCTCATCTCAAAAGCATTCCGAAATATATTGTGTTTATAGCAGATTTAATATATCATAAGACTCTAATAGACCTACATGAATAAAAATGTTTTATATTTGATATCATCAAGTCGCGTTAGCGCACTGTGGCAAAATCATGACGACTTACGTTATAGGTACGTGATTCCAACATGATTCCATAGGTACAGTAGATGTACCCATGGAATAGTACATCTTCATGGAAATATTTATGATTCCCTAACTATAAGTACCCAATCTAAGGTAGACGGTAGATTTGACATATCATAAGAGTCTGTAATAGACCTACATGAATAAAGATATTTTGAATTTGAATTTGAATTTGAATTTAAGGTCTCACGAGTTTCGAGATAATTACATATTACATGAATGTATCCATCCAAATACGTCCTCTTCCTCTACATACATTTCTTTTTATAATATTTATATATAAATAAACAACTACCTAAAATTATACATTCAGGAATGTTACTCAGTAAATAGAAAAATTCTATTATATTCTTCAGACGGCTAAAAGCTATTTATTTTCATTTCACATTACTTATTCCTAGAAATGTACGAGTTAGCAGCAATAAAGTTGCGCAAAGAATTTTCATTGCCTTGAAAAAGGGATTTTTTGTAATTAGGTAGATATATTTACTTTATATAATGCAATAAAATGGTTGCCAGTTTATTACCCATAAATTTATGAGTAGGTTATAAATCCGTAGAATATCCGTACCATAAATAAAAAAATATCAAAAAGTTTGTATCAGTAATCCAAGTGTTTTCTATATGTGAGTGTGTATGGATGGATGGATGTTTGTTACTCTTTCACGCAAAAACTACTAAAGGGATTTTGATAAAACTTTACAGTATTATAACTTATACATTAGAATAGCATATAGGCTGCAATTTAAAAAGATATGTAATTGGCCCTAATAAAATGATAAATATGAAGTGTGATGCAGACGAAGTTACGCAGATCAGCTAGTATTTACAAAAAAATGTATCTAAGTATTTATATCGGTTGTCTAGTACCCATAACACAAACTCTGCTTAGTATGGTGAGTTTTGTCCAGGCTTACTATTATTGAATTATGCTTATTTATCAATGTAAAGTCATTTAAATAAAGCGCACCATATCATCTGTCAATTAAGTGAATTACTATTTTCAACATATAGTTATTGATGACAATAACCTAAATGCAAATGGATGTAGGTATAGACGCAAAGCACGCGTCCTTCAAAGGGCGCAATAACATACAATTGGCCCCAATGCGATTCACTGAACTAGTGAACCAATTCAGTACACTGCCAGCTTGCAATGTTGATTGATTAATCATATATTGTGACATCATCACGTCATTGTATCTATGACAGATGATAATTTAATCAAATCACGCGTAGGTACGTACTATTTATACGGAGATTTTTTAAAACATAAACTTAGGTTTTAACGTATATTATTATTCGTAACGTACAGTTACATAATACATAATATACTAGCTGTACCTACAGTAGCTGTAGCTACAGTACATAATATACTAACTGTACCCGCGACTTCGTCTGCATAAAATAGCGACCTTGACATTTACGTTACATTTTAGCCGTTTTTGCAAAATTTTTCATTGCTACTCCGCTCCTAGTGGTTATAGCATGATGTTATATAGTCGATAGCTTTCTTCGATAAATGGGCCGGTCATATAACGGAAAAAAAACAAAATAGAATATGTAGTATCAGAGAGTACCATTAAAAAATTATTTTAGTTATAAATATTAACTAAATATGTTAACACACAACATAACTCACATGACAAATAATTTTTATATATATTCCATAGAAAATTGGATGGAAAATATATAAAAATTATTTGTCATATGAGTTATGTTGTATGTTAACATATTTTTTTTTTTATTTATTGCACCAATATTAAAAGCAGATACATAACAAATATCTAACATAGACCAATAGGTAATATTTTATTCCTATATACATTTTTTTTACTTAATATTTTTTTGGTATGAGAGTAAAACCTATTTTTTAATAACTCATGAAATGTGAAGCTGCCTTTCTCCTTGGTAGTTTTTTACTTAGAATTACATACATTATTACGCTATAAGCGAGATACGCAATACAATTTGTAACTTAATTATAGACATATTTATATCTTGAATTTGTACCACAGTCATACTATACTACCTTAAGTTTTAGTTATAGTAAGATCCAAACCTGTACCATATAGCATGCAAATAAATAAATAATACCTACTTATTATTATAGCTTGTTTGAATTTTTATTAGTTATTTCTATGGAAATTATATAGCCAAACATACATTTACCAATTAATTACACAGTTATAATATAAGTATTGAAGTTTCAACATATACTTCTTTCAGAATGATCATCATTGTCTATCTGTCTCATAAGCAATTGTTCGGTACAATAATAATAATAATAATATCTAATCTCAGGACAATTCGCACAGCGCCATCTAGACCCAAGTTAAGCTAGCTAAAGCTTGTGTTATGGGTACTAGATAACTGGTACATATACATAGATATACATAGAAAACACAGACCGATACAAACAATCATACTCATGAATACAAATGTTTGTGCCGCGATGCCGTGCGAGGAATCGAACCCGCGACCATTGATCGTAAAGCGGTGTGCTAGACCGCTAGACCACCGAGGTCGTCAATGCGGATAGCTATTTATTTCTAAAACAAATTCCCGTCAATATTCCACATGACAACAACAAATTCACGCGTGTTAGCTGTAATTGCAGCGTCCTTTACTCCCGACTCCGGAGGCCGGTTTCAAGTGTTCCATATTTTGAAAATAATCTATATCAGGACACGTGTCATCTATACTATCTGACCTATATATGTAGGGAGAATATAGAATATGTCTTCTTGTTTGCAATTGTCTTCACATAAGAAAATTAAAATTTATATTAACATTACTATTTTATTACTTTATTTTACTGCTTTTTGTATTTAACAGTAATAATTTGTCTTATTATAATAAATATTAGAAATAGAAATAATCTTCATTCAAATAATCTTTATTTATACGTATAATTAGTAAAAATCACGGGATCTTACCACGTTTTATATTTATTTGCTGAGTTCCCGATATTTCGGCAGTGTTTCAACCACCATGATCACGGGTAAACTGTTTACCCGTAAATATAAAATGTGGTAAGATCCCGTGATTTTTACTAATTATACGTATAAATAATGACCGCGTCAAATTTAAAGCAGTATAAAACTTTATGTAGTTTAAGTAATTTACTTCATATTTTTTAATCTACCGCTCATTTGGAACGCGGACTCATTACAAGAAGAGTGAACGGGAAATTTGATTTTTTGCTCATTTAAATTAAATGTTGTTTAGAATTACATTTTTAAGAATTTTGTATTACATGGTAAATCATATGTACCTACATATATGGAAAACCGCCGTCTATTTTAGCTATTATAAAATATTTATAATGTCAGCAAAATCAAAATACAAATATATATGTAATGTGTATTTAGTACCAATAAAGCAGCCATAACTCAGATCATTGTGTTTTATTTATTATCTAACTAGCTACTTGCCAGGCTTCGCATGGGCGTACAGTGTACATGTATTATACACATAAACCTTCCTCTTGAATCATTCTATCTATTCCTAAACTCAGCATATAATCCGTTGCGTAGTTTAAAAGATCTAAGGTAACAGACAGAAGAAGCTACTTCATTTTATACTATGTAAAGATACGTATCTACAAATCATTAATATATCAGAAATAAATATTGCTAATCGCACAGTATTTATAACTGAAATAAAATATAGTGCTTGACACTAATATCTGAGATGGGTGTTCCTTTCACTAAACGACAAATCGCTCATTCAACTATGAAATAACTACTCTCAAATATTGACAGCGTAATATATAGGATGTCATGGAGTCCGTAAAATTCCAGAAGTAGTGGAAGTTTCCGTCTTCAGAATTAGTTAGATATAAGTGTTAACAAAAACTACTACATTTATAACAAATCTTTTAATATTATTAACGCGAAAGTTTGTGGGTATGGATAGATAGATGGAATGATGGATGTACATATTTACTCTGTCACGCAAAAACTACTCAACGGATTTTGATAAAACTTTTCAGTATTCCATCAGAATAACACATAGACTATATACATAATTTCCGCGAGAGAGAAACCGCGAGCACAGCTAGTATGTAATAAATGACGACTTATATTGAACTTACGGTTTCGGCGGTATACCGGTTTAGCACACTTCAAATGGTCGCGAGTTTGATTCCTCGCATGACGCAAACGTTTGTATTAATGAGTGTTTGTATTGATCTGTGTGTTTTTATATATGTATGTTTAGTATGTATATACAAAAAATGTGTACAATTTTATTAAAACTAATCTTTTGTTACTAATAAAAACGGATGTTTTAGTGTAGTACTATTAATATACAAATGGGAAATACAACGCTACTCAATACATCGCTGGCTAATAAAATTAACTGCACCACAGGTATCAATCAATTAGCTCTTTGTCATATAGAATCTGCTATTTACCCTCAATTATATTCAATAGTACAGAGCAATTAACACTATATTTTATAAATTGATCCCGCCCTTATTAATTGAAAAATTAGTATAATATACAGTTCATAGTTTCTGTACTACAAGTATATAAAATAAAATTGTAACTGGCAGCCTATAAATATGTAACTAAAAAAAATAAGAAAGAACAAAATTAAAATTAAGTGGCTCTTTTATTATAGTGAATACAACTAAAAATAAAAAATGTCAATTGATACAAAACTCGGCCCATATCTGAAACTTTTTTTATTTGAAAGAGTACACTTTCAACTAAAAAAAGTTTATTTCATATATCTATAACTGATGAAGTTATGAAGTAACAAACATAAAAAAAAATATAGCCGCATTAAGAACAACCTTCTTTTTTGGAGTCGGTTAAAAATATATCACTGATCACTGGTTAACTCTTCTGATAAATAATTTAAATTGAATCTGAATTCTTAAACATTAATTTCTCGGACGTCTTACAAGGTACAGATTTTTATCAACGCAAACTTTCTACGCCTGACGCGCCTTTTTAAATAAAATCAGTTGCTAAAAATTTGCAGCATATTTATGTTTTATCCCTTAACTGATATAGTATGTTTTTTATTGATGATAATGGAATGCTCCCGCCTTTGCTTTGGTTTAGCTTCGCTAAAGGTCAGTTAGCTCATGAAAACTCCACTAGGAATTTATCACGATGGTTTCCAGGGGGAACCGCGCGGAGGTCAACCTGACATGACACATTGCTAGCAATAAGATCATCAATCAACACTACTAACAATCCCGTTCCTGAGATAGTATTTAAATTATATCATATTTGTAATATCATAATGAAAGCCTCAAGATTCTATTTATAGTACAGGAGTTTGTTAATGAAAATTTGCAATCGTTGTAGCAATTATAATATTGTCACTCTACATTTTTGGAGCTGCATTATCTACAGAATATTAAATAGATCCACACGCCCTAAGCGGCAGAATACAGTTGCCGCGCGAAAGCCTTACGCGACAAACGTCCTTTGAGCGAAAGGAAAATCGGAAAGTAACCTTAATTTAAAAGAAAATTAATCAAGTGAAATCATTTGGTAGTAAAATTTATAGCTGTACCGAGCCGTCAGTCGTAGATCTGTCTTGAGAATTAAAAAGTAATTAAGACTGTCAGTCTTTCTGATATTAATTAAGATTTGAATTAAGAATGTACGGGTGGTTGCTCGAAAGTGTGCAACATTTTATTATAGTAAGTATCTTTATATAAATTTCTTAAAATTAAGTTTCGAGAGCGTTGTGTCCGAGTAGTTTACTACCTTTGATTACGCTCAAAAGGTTGTCAGTTCGAATCTCGCCAAAACCAAACCTGGCAAAACCAAAAATAATAAATTGACACAATTTATATTTTGTCAATTTATTCATTATATTTCTGACTACCTCTGCGGGGGTGGAGCGGGACGGTGAGAGGTGGGTAAGGGGATTGTTGCCTAATAACCCCATTGCTACCAATCTACCATGTCAGGTTGACCTCCACGTGGTCCACTCTAGAAACCATCGTGATATATTCATGGTGAACTTTCCTGACATCATGCTCGTCTTATCGTCCTTCACAAGTGCCCTGCCAGCTTAAACCAGGCGGGTGCACCATTCCATTATCGTCCATAAAACTTACTCTCCGGCGAAGGAAAAACCGATTTCAAAATGTTTTATTCACCACAACATTGACAGTTAACAATGGCTCTGAATACCCTATCTGAGCTAACAATCGTGGCGATATTATTGTTTTTACAAATATAAAAGATTGTCAATCTCTGCTCTAAGAAAATTTTGTTGGAGAGCAAAACATTACAAGAAAGCACCATCACCTTAATTGTTTAGTCCTCAGGAGTATATTTTATATATTATTATATTATATTTTTCACAATATATTTTGTGGTGTCCGGTTTCTTTTTCATGCTCTTATCAATGCGTTGACATTATGTTTTTATATAATGCCTCCTATTGGTTTAAATACTGATTTAGCTAACAATTTGCGAAAACATGTTCATATAATAACCTAGGACAATTAACACAGAGCCATGTACACCCAAGCTAACAGAGCTTGTGTTATGAGTACCAAGCAACTGACACAAATCTTTATATACATTTTTTTCTAAATGTAACATTTAGAAAATACTCATGAATACAAATGTTACTATTTAGTTTTACCGTACAAGAAATCGAACCCGTGACCATCGGAAGTAAAAGGTGGTGTAATAAACCGCTAGACCATTAAGGCCGTTAATATGCACAGATCATATCAAAACTTACGTGGTCTCTCCTGGAAACCATCGTAGGTAACCATTGACCAGGTGTTCATGGTGAACCCATCAGACCATATATTGAACTGTCATTATTTTATATGCAGTTATATTTATTTTTCTATATAGTATTTAGTTTTATAATAGTAATTTCATCAACTTTTCTATTTATATATATATTATGTAATATGTTTTGTTATTATCTACTAAATTCGATTCAGATTGTCTTTTGTATAACAAATACCCGTACGTCATTATATATACATTAAAAATAATTCGTGAAGAACTATCTCACTTACATATTCATACATATGAGAAGGGACAAGACTACCGCCATTTCATCTTGTATTGATATTATTTTGCTGAGAAAATTCTAGAATAAATAAAAATAAAATTGATTTTTATTTTTAGCGGCAGCGGACGTTGATCATATATGTATATAACACACATTTTTATTATAATTTAGGAATAACTTACGAATTTAATTTTTCCACTTATAGATATCTGTATTATCAGATAATATTAAGGTCTAGAATATAATAGAGAAATAATCTTTAATCAAATAAACTTAATATAAGCAGTTTTGTACAGTCATATTTTTTATTCTATCACTCATTCAGAACGCAGACTGATCACAAAAAGAATGCGCAAGAAACCTACGTGTTGCTTTTTTGAATATGTGTATATACTTTATTCTTTAAAAGTAAATAAAAATCGTTAATTGTTTCGAACTGGAAGTACGAATAATAATAAAATAGTATGAATTAATTCATAAGCATATAAATGTGGATGCTATTTTTGTAGATACTTATTTGAAATTTGTTTATCATGTTCTATTATATAACTTCAGAATCCACATAACAAATTGCAAATACTACATGAAATTGAACCTGAATTTATCGTGACTCCACGCAATTAATTTGAAATAATGTGAATACGAACGTAATAATGGCCCATCTATTTGACATCGGTGTATATTACATTACAAATGTGTAGTATGAAGGGCTCTACTTACGTCATCGCTAAAATACTTATGTATCTATACATATAACGAAATATCTAGAAAGCTGGCAAATTCAATTTAATTAACTGCCCTATACTTACTATAGATATAGTATACCGCCTGTTCCGCTCTGTTGATTGTTACTGTTAATACGTCATTCTGTCAATCACATCTATTTATATGTATTGATAAAAGCCCACCAATTTTAATGTTCTAAAGGTTTAGCAAACTGCTTAATCATAATAATAATCGTGAGCTCAATTACTGCAAATTGGAAAAAAAATATTTATAATCAGTTGCGCCCGCTGTTTCCCCGCGTTAAATTTCAATAAAAGATACATCTGATGCGTAAGCTATATTACTGTAACGTTTCCGAAAAAGAAAATCCACAAGCACAGCTAGTGTATTAACCGGTATTAAACCGACAGGTATATGTAGACTTCGTAGAAAGCTCCGACTTAGATTTATGAGACGGACTAGATGTGAATAGTTTCAGTTTTCGCGCGACATGAAAACTTGAACTATTCGGACCAAAATCCTGTTATCTATTTAATTATCCACTATGTGTTGGTTAAGTTAAAATTAAGTTTATTAAGTAATATAACTCTCGTTTTACATAATTTAGTTTATTTATTTACAGCTTGAAAAGGTTATACTAACATGACATAAAATTCTGTCCCTAATTAAAGTTGTGTTACATACAATAGTAAAACTGTCTTTTAGTTTTTTTTAATATTCTTCTTTATATACTAAATTATTTAAATTGAAATATATGTGAAATAACTATGAAACTGTATTATAAATGCCCTATTGATAATTTGCGAGAGAATATAAAAATTCTTTAAAAAGACACATTCTTCTTCAGACATACTGATTTTTTGTGTTCATTGTTAATCATTTTACTTTATTCTATACATCTTTATTTGTCTGTAATTAACTTTTAATGCAATATACTATCCACGTGTACCCACAACCAAATATAAATCCATATTTATAGTGACCTCGAAGTGATAGTGTAGAACGAGTTGCGAGAGAGTTTTCCTGGTAACAATAAACGAATAGATGTGAGGGAAAAAATATGTCTACACTTAATATTTCTTCTACACTGAACATGGGACGCCCTTTAGTAATGGGACACGGATACGCGGAATATTGTTATCTTATTCGTATTACCACAGATAATATAATATTACATAGTATTACTGTGGTATTATATTATGTTATTTTTATGTTAGACATTTTATATTATTTTTAAATCTTATTACTAATAATTTTCTTCCGTAAAGTTAGTGTGATTATGTGCTTCTTTGTTAAGGATAATGTAGTGAGCTATACTCGCATTTTAATTATTTGATGAAGGTACTCTTATTGCAATGATATTATATTAATTATTTCATGTACTACTTGAAACCTTATTTGTTATAAACTCTATGTATAGGGAATCCTTATGATTCCCATTTTTATCAATGTTTATTTCTATTGTATGTACTTTTATAGCTCAACGTACCTGCCTGGCAACTAAACATTTCTTAGGTTGTAAAGGAAAAAGTCGTATTCCTTTTTATGTCATGCCTATCCAGATTTTACTGCAAATCTACCTGGGACTTTTATATTAATACAAACTTACTACATTCTTTGATAACCATTTTAAATGTTCATGTCATCAATTCGCCGATTTTTAAACTTCTGCACTTCTCTTCTTGTCTTTTTACTTATAAAGCATTTGTTTTAGTCAAGTATGATTGATCGTCCTGAAGTATAGCATAATAGAAAACTATATGTATATTTTACACAATGTTAAATTTATTATTTTGTGTTGAATAAAATATAAATATGTCAATAACACAGAACAGTTATATATTCCTATTTGATTGCGTATTTTTTTTTTGTTAAATGCACTAGCATCAAGTTTGAGTGTAGGCTACCGTACCTATTATTCTATTAATCAAAAAACGAAAAGTCATAAACGTGTGTATAGTCTTGTCAAACAATGGATTTGAAACATTCAAGAGGGTGCGCGTACACGTCCCTTTGGGATTTAGGTCTTACTTCGTCGACAACTTGGAAACTTGAAATTATATTGCAAAGAGACAGAATAGAAGTGTATATTTATTGATGCTGCTACAAACTGTTTGGTTAGTGTACAATCCAATAATATTTAAAAAAATCGCCTGAGCCATTCCAGTGTATATTTTTTTTTTTTATTGGGTTGTTTGGGCTATTGTCAGATGTGTAGCACCTGTAGCACTGCGACCTACATAGATCTATTGTGCTCGCCCTTTTCAGAGTTCGCTACCTAGACCCGTCAGGGACAAGAATTGAAGGATATTCTTAGGAGCGATCGTTTTTATCTCCTCGGGAAAGAGTGTAAACTTTCCAAAGGAGATATTTCGTTTATGCATGAGTGGGCTACAACCACATAGGATGTGAAGCGGCGTTTCCTCTTCAGTTTGGCAGAATCTGCAGATACTTGTCGTGCATAGGCCTAGCTTAGCCATATGCTTGTTCAATTTGCAGTGTCCTGTGAGGGCCCTAGTCATCATGCATATGTTGTTTTTACATTGAGTAAAAACAACATATGCATGATGACTAATAAGCAGTAATCTATTGGAGTATTTGGTTGAGAAGCCCGATATTAGGTCTTTTGAATGTATTAATCCTGGCATTTCTTGCCAGTGATGCAGTGCTTCTCGTTTGGTTATTAATTTGAGATGTCCCAGTTTTAGGCAACGAGGCACACCACAGAAGGGTTCGGGGCCCAGTTGGACGGTTTTTGCCCCTAACTTTGCCAGATGGTCGGCATTCTCATTGTCTTCAATATTTGAATGCCCGGGGACCCATCTCAGTATAATATTATTTCTGCTTCCTACTTCATTTAGTAGCAGGATACAGTTTCTAATAAGTTTAGAACGGATTTCGTACGAGTTAAGTGCTAGTAGAGCAGCTTGACTGTCCGAATAAATGTATATGTTCTGATTGATGTAGTTGAGGCTTAGGATTACTTCCAGACATCTAATTAAGGCGTAAGTCTCTGCCTGAAAGATTGAGGCGTATTTTCCTAAGCCTATATAGTTGCAGATTTTGGGTTTTACACCACATATTCCACATCCTACAACATCTCCTATTTTAAACTAGACTAGGTCATGCTCTGAGTGAGACGGTGTATGGTTATTTTGCCATTCGTCTCTTCCAGATATTTCGATTTTGTAATATTGTACAAAGTTACACTCTGGTGCCATGTTGTCTTCAGGCATTCCCAGAATAGGATCACTCATAATCGAGTCTTGTATAGTTTTTATGGCCAGGGAATGCCAAGGTATCCTCCTTTGGGAACTTATTCTGAGCATATTGGCTTTCGTCGTTTCCTGTATAAATAAAGGAAGGGGCGTCAAGTCCAATAATGCGTCTAGAGCTGCTCCCGGCGTGGTGCTCATGGCTCCTGTAATAATCAGACAAGCAATTCTCTGTAGGCTGTTTAGCTTGGTGGCAGCTGTGGATTGGAGGGTTTTCCTCCACCAGATTGCACAGGCATAGGTGGTAAGCGGTCTCACCACTGCTGTGTAAAGCCATAGGGCAATTTTGGGGTTGATTCCCCATCTGGGCCCCGCTACCCGTCGGCTTATTCCTAGGGATGTTTTCGCCTTTTGAGTTATGTTGTCTATGTGTGTGTTCCATGTCAGTTTTTGGTCGAAGGTTACGCCCAGGTACGTGACTTCTGTGGAGCACTCTAATATTCTTCCCTTTACTTTAGGCATGACAAGTTTGTCAAGTTTCTTCCTTTTTGTAAACGGAACAATTACTGTTTTATCAGGATTTACTGATAATTCATTTTCCTTACACCATTTAACTATGATGTTTAGTGCTCTTTGGATGCGGTCTGATATTGTTGTTGCACAGAACCCTCTGACCATGACTACTAAATCGTCTGCGTAGCCTTGTACCTCAAATTGGTTTTTGGTCATAACATCAAAGAGCTGGTCTACCGTTAGTAGCCACAGCAGTGGCGATAAAACGCCTCCTTGAGGGCATCCTTTGGTAGGTCGGATTTCTAACGTACTGTTGTGAAGAGTAGTTTTAATGGTTCGATTTGAGAGCATTGCTTTGATCCATTGAGTGGTGGTTTCATCCACTTTCTTGCGGATGAGTCCCTGTGAGATGGTCTCTATGGGCGTGTTATCATAAGCACCCTCAATATCGAGAAATGCACATAGAGCTATTTGTTTGTCCTCAAAGGCCTTCTCGACCTTGTCGGTGAGTTCGAGCAAGGCGGTCTCTGTGGAATGTCCCTTGCGGTAGGTATGTTGATTCCTGTGCAGGGGAGCATTTTCGAGGATTGTAGCTCTAATGTGTTGGTCCAGAACCCTTTCCATGGTTTTTATTATGAAAGAGGTTAGGCTTATAGGTCTGTGAGACTTTGGCTGCGAGTAGTCTCTTCGACCGGTTTTCGGTACGTAGGTAACTTTGACCTTCGTTAATGGTTCTGGTATAAAACCCCAGGCAAAGCTGGCTCTAAATATTCTTACCAGATAGGGAGATAGGATGTCAAGCCCTTGTTGTAACAGGGCCGGGAAAATTCCATCTTCTCCCGATGATTTATATGGCTTGAAAGATTTTATAACCCATATAATTTGTTTTGGTCGAAAAATCCTCGCAGCTCTGTTCCACGCCTCATGGTTGGGCTTTTGTAGATGTGAGCTTGGAGGGTTCTCCTTATCTCTTGAGATATGAACCGAACCAGGGAAGTGGGTTGTAGATAGCAGCTGTAGAGTTTCTTCCTCTGATGTCGTATAGGTACCATTGGGCCTTTTCATAAGTCCAATTTGGTTATTTGGCGCCTTGGCAAGCATTTTGTGTAATCTGGATCCTTGGGGAGTGTGTAATAATAACAGTGTATAATACGTAGCTACTTCTATTTCCGTAGCTTACAGTATTTAGTAAGCTGTTTTGTCTAATTATATTATACTAACGGATTCGGCGTTCGGCATACACCATTAAAAATAACACACAAAATGCCATCCAAATCATCCAGCCATTTAAGAGTTAGGTGACAAACACTGGTATAGAAAATTATATACATATATTAACATAACACAATAACGTTAGGAGATCGTTGTCGCCATATAAGATGGACAGTCTTGTCGACGTATATTACGTTAAAACTATAACAAAGTTTGGCTGACCTTTACTTCGACGTTTGCGGACGAATTTCGCGTGTCGCACGTGACGCTCCAAGTTTGTCAGTCTTTGTTTTAATATTTCACCCGTATCATTTTATCGGTTGCAGTTGTGAGCAATCATTACATTAAAAAATTCTTTTGTTTTTACATTTGAACTTCTTACAACAAATGGCAATATCTTATAATAGACAACAAATCCCTATACTTATAGGGTTTTTTTGTCTATTATAAGATATTGCCATTTCCTGTAAAAAAAAGAAAGAATAGGGATAACTATTCTTTCTACATATAACTATTATGTATCTTAAAAGATATCAAATTGATAGCCGTATTTTCAATAATCTGTTAAGCAAATTTGCCTACATAACAAATGTCTAAAATCAACTAAATTTATTTTACTTTGTCTACATAGCAAGAATGCGGCGAAGAAATATGGGAGACCATATTACGAGAGGCAGGCGCGAGAAACACTGTGTTCAGTGCTACTCAGGTATCAATGCAATAATTTAATAATAATAAATATATCTTTAAAAATTACCATAGATATAAATAATCTTAATAAAATAATAATCTTAAAAAAACAATAAAATAATCTTTATTCAAATAAACTCAATACAAGCACATTTGAATAGTCATATTTTTTATTCTGCCACTCATTCGGAACGCAGATTCATCACAAGAAGAATGAGAAGGAACACACGTTGTGTTGCTCTTTTGAATAAATGTTTTTTTTTATACATATATGAATATAAGTACACAATAACAAGTAAGAGGCATGCCATAATCAACATAAAAACACTGAATCTTTAATGTAATCAGATAACATTGTCAGCGCTATAAATTTTAAGCTTTTTAATTATCGTTAACAAATTCATCAATTTTATAGTATGCTTTTTTACAAAGGAAGTGTTTTTTATTATTATTCTTTATTGTGTTATACTATTTAGTACATAGATACTACTACTACTGCTTCACTTATTTAGTTATTTTTGTCTATATTCAGCTATTTTACTAGCTGTATTCCAGTTTACAGAGTAGGAAGTCTTAACCACTTAGCAATAACAACAAGCATTACACAACGCAACGCAACGTAACTAACTATTAAATAATCTTAAAAAAACTATTCATTTTCAGCAATATCCTGATGCATTGATGTTACGCCTCGCCTGCGCCTTAGCTAGTCTATTTTCTGAAGACGCCAACAGTCCAACGACATCAACGCCTTGTAGTCCAACGCCAAAAAAACCATCATTCAAAGCTAAACCTACTTGGCGAAGTGCTTCTGTCCATACAGATAACAGAAATCAAACATTTAGATGTCCTTTCACAGCTACCAATGCTTTAACAGCCGTAACAAAGAAAGAGATAGATGCTTACAATTCATCGGAAGAAATATCACACGGTGTATCCAAATCTTCTGATAGAATCAATGAAGGGAAAGAACTAGAAATATGCAGTATTAAAGAAATAAAACACAATAGAAGGAGTTTAGCGATAAAGTTCGAAGATCATAGAGAGAAAAAGGAATTGAAAAATGAAAGTCCTGAATCAAACGAGCTTACAATAAGTCCAGGTGATACAGAAAATAAGCCAACTGAACCTGATAATGTAAAGAAGAGTTCTATAAAAAGATCAAGCTGTACTGGTACATTGGAGGCTTATAGACGAAGGGGTTCTGGGGCTCCTCGACTGAATAGTCTTGTGAGTGGAGACAAATTAAGTTCTATGAAGGAAAAATTCGCTACTCCTGAAAAAGTCATGCACTTTTTCGGCAGATGCTTTGTAAAATTCTTCAGTAACTATGGGTATGTATTAGTTAGTATAAAATCTACCATAGCATGGCTTTGACATCCTGATGGAGATTACGCTGGTCTTTCATCAAAAATATCATCATTTTTGGATTTTAAACTTATTGGAATTTATTTCAATTTTAAACAGAAATTTTAGAAATTTTATCATCAAGATCGTCTTCTATAAGCGGCGAGTATAATTTCTAAAGTCAATTATGTTAAGTAAAGTCAAAGTTGATTTTATTTGTTAAATTTGACTTTCTGATTTCACAATCTTCATGACTGAATAGATTACGACAGTAGTATTTAGACTTGTGTACAAATCTCGTCCTGTATTAATTTTGTCGTGAATAATTGTGGTCATATTTCAAGTATTTAATCATTAATATAGTGGAATAAGACTCAACAACATAATTTCCAATGAGAGAAGGCAGTAGCTCATATTATTTTCATATATAATACAAATTTTTATGCCGACTTTCCATTATCACACAGAATTGTAAAAGAGAAGCTGTATGTTTTAGAAATATAAATATTTCACGAAGTCAACGTTGTATTTTCTATCGCTAATACGACACTTGACGTCATGAGCACGTTCCTAAAAAGTTTCCGGGAACTTGTTACTAATACATAACATTTTATTTAGTCGACCGTGCCATAAAATAATATAAGTTGGATATTTAGAACTGGAGTTTCGTTTCAGTTAATATTTATGTTGACTTCAGTAAGACTTATTTTATCAGTATGTAAGTTTATAGATTCAGTAAGATTATAGACAATATTATTAAAAAAAGATCAATATTAATCAATTTAACCACATACGTTAAAAAGAGTAGAAGTGCGTGTGTGTGTTGCCATATTGATTCACCTTTGTCAATAGAAACTCTAGTTATAAATATATTATAGGTTACAATATAAATATACTATAACGCATATTATACATACCTACCTATGACTTTTACCCTAGTCTCCATAAAACAAATTTTACACGATACTGTAATTTTCTAGTGATTTTTGACATTTTTGGTAGACTACATTTTTAGTTGAGAACATTTATTTGAACAAGCTACATACAATTAAAAAGGCTTTAATTCGAGCTTGTGTAATTACGTTTAAACAGCATGATTATAATTTTTTTAACTCATCGGACGTTATAATTACTTTCTATAATAGGTCCACTGTTACATTTTCGAATAACTCACATGTTGCATAATATAATCTAACTCTTTCAAAAATCGCCGATATCTAGCCATTGTACTATTTGGCTCTTTAATAGTATAATCTTTAATAATACTATCGTTTTGCCCGTATGCAAACTTAGCCTAATCGTAATAATCCAATTAATGGGCAATAAAATGGCATACGCGCACTTGGAATTCGCAGCCTCAGTAATTGTTAACTCAATATCTATATATTTTTTTAATATCATCTCCAAAATCTAAAATAGTTCTATTCCCTTGTGTAGACAAGGAAATAGAACAGTAGAATTGTTGTAGTTGCAATGGAAGGTATTTGATTTATTTGGTAATAAAAAAAATATTAATATTATTGTAATAGATGATCGGTGGACTGTATGGGTGTCTAAATGATGAAAACACGTATAGAATATGATAGTAAAATATATTTAAATACAGTTGCGAACTGAAAGGACAATGAGAGAATAATACAGTAAAGTGAAGTATATGAAATAACATGACATAAAAAAGAACTCTTCAAAAATATAAATTTTATAATAATAAAAATGTCAAAAGAGTTTGTGGCGGTCGGTCGCCAACAATTATCGTAATTTGTTTTTAATTTCAATTTGGCACCACTGGAAAGTCTTATTCCAAAATTAAATTTATTATTGAGGTATCTTCAGGTCTGAGGACGATTTTGACTATTTATGACGTTCTCGTCCTGATTTACTATCGGAAACAGTAATAAAGCGGTTTTTAAGTCAAACGCGGCCATTTTTAAAATATGTCACAATTTATCTACGTTCTGTTCAAAATAAGCGATTTCAATTTAAATACACAATCAGCCAGTATATTATATCCCACTTAATAAGTCCCTAAATTATATTATATTTTCACTGAGCAACTATTACAGGTAAAAAAGGTCTTCATAAATTAACTACACGGCACAAAAATCACTACAATATTTATAGACCGCCATCATCCTTTATTTAATCTTTATTCTTCCATCTATGGATACTTTAATCAGTTTTTGGCACAGTTATGCGGTGAACCTCTATCTGTGGATATTGAACAATGAACTTTATTTTTGACCATAACAATATTTTGAGGATAGAACAAATTGTACCTCTTTCTTGTTTGCAACCCGAAGATCAGCAGAGTATTTCGTCTGGATTTGATTTATTGTAAGCAGCTTCTCTGTCACGATCGCCATGTGATGACAGGAATTGGTGGTGAGGTAACACGCACAGTAGGGTGGAACTTGTGTATTAGCTTGTTACATCTTGATTTACTCTAATTCTACACTAGTTAGATTAGTGACGTGATGTGACGTCAGATAAAGTGACTTATGTAACGTACTCTGGTACAATCTATTATACTACGTGCTGAAATGTATTACTATATCACATATGCAACTACTCTGTCACGGTCGCCATTTGCTTCGGTGTCCACTAAAAATCTATAGCCACTGACAGAATCGGTTATAGCTAGGCGGTTAGACGGATGAACAGCAAAGAGTTCCGCCTTCTTCTGTGCTGAGCCTAATTTTCCGACCCCTGTCTTTTGTGATTCCAGGGGCAAATATCTGTGGTGATAAAAACAATAGTCGTTAGTTTGTATATGTGATGACCGACCGCGCGAATTTGACCTAGATCGGTAATTGCTGCGTCTGTTCGTATGTCGCGAGCAATATTCGGGTAAAGCAGCAGTTTCTGATTGCAGCGTCGCGAGTTGTGAAATGACATCGGCAGTGACTATTGACTGCACTGTTGTAGATAGCATATTTTTGCTGAAATTGTCCAGCGTTTATAACCAGCAGGCCAGTTGTGCTTACTGGTGGTCAGTAGTATTACAAAGTTCCTTGTTGCGCAGTGTTACCGAGGATTCTGCCTCTTGAATTTCCGAATCGGAGAGACCCGCTTATGGGATGCCGGTGGAAATATGCAATCATTGGTGATGCGCAGGGGGCCGTCAGATAGAGATCTTCTTTATTCTCGTCGTTTTGCAAGGTATCGTCTCGGACTGGATCACGTCGGGCAGAACACGTTGGGGTCACCACTGTTGCGGAGTAATGCAACGATGTTGTCAGTTGGATCGATGTATATTACAGATGATAATGAACTAACAAAATGTACATGAAAATATTAATCTCATATACTAAATAACAATCGGAAAATGTAAGGTGGGGGTGACACAGTTTACGGCAGTGCTTAGTAAACAATATTTAGTTTGCCTTACTAGCCATAATTAATTGCAAATATTACATTGAAATACTTAGGTAACTTTATCCCATAATATACATAAACTCTGCTTTATTTATATTTTTTTATGTTCTTTACATGTTTTAACTGACAATTTTATGTTACCTCTTTCCACATTTCGACTTCGTGTTAAGAGCCGGTTAACAATATAAATAATATGCATTAACCACGAAAGTTTAAAAATCACAAACTCTTCATCTAGATGGTGCTAGACGGCGATGGTGTGAATTGTCCTAAGTCATCATCATTATTATTATGTTCATCCGTTACTATCCAGCCAGCGAAAATAGCACCATATTATCGTCAACCATAGAAAATACATGTGTACTTAATAATTAAATACCATCAGCTATGACACTATGATCCGTGCGACGGGACGGTACTTCTGCACGTTTCTGCAGTCTGTGGACAGTATTCACCAGCGCATGAGGTTCACCTTCCCACGCATGCGGTCACCAAACATGCAGCTCACACGGGCTCATAGGCATGGAGCCGAGCTCGTCTACAGCAGCGGGAGGACTGGCTTCACTCATTATCTAATGGGTAAGTACATTATTACACAACTCCATCTATCCCCGTCCAATTCACAGAGATCGAACGGAGTATGATTGTTTATATAGATCTGGGTATTTTATATATTTGTATCAGTTATCTATTTCCCATAACACAAGCTTTAGCTTACTTAACTTGGCTTTACATGGCACAGTGTGAATTGTCCTGAGATTATTATTAATATTATCATTAAAATAGTCAGAGATATGTGATATTAAGTTATAATAACTTAAGTATATAAGTTATATTTACTATATAATGTCACGAGCATTCTAAAATTTCCAGAGTACAGACATTAGTACATCTAGTCCTACAGTAAATAATTATGCGTTTCTAGGTCAACTGTATGAGATAGCAGAAGATATATTCGCCTTAAAGCTGAAGGTATCGATATTGAAGGAGAGCATGGATGGTAACTACTACGTCGCCGTGCTGCGGTTGGAATTTGACAACAGTGATTATGTAAGTACTACCACGCACTACCACACATTACGAGAACATGACTTAGCACTTTTTAAATGTGGTCGACTAATATGAGTAAGTCATGCTATCTGGGGTAAAGGGGATTGTTGATTATGTAGACTAATAACCCCATTGCTAGCAATAGTAGATTGCTCAGGTTTTGATGGTTTCCAACGAACCACTTGAAGGTGTTGACCTTGTTCCCGTTGGAATCCATCGTGAATACATAGTGAATTAACCACAATGGGCTAATGGACCTGTCATCTTACCATCCTTCATTGGTGCACCATTCCACCATTCCATTATCATCATAAATAATGCTCTTAAATTGGGTTCCCTATGGTATGGTTGAGCGCAGTGCTCACCCGTTATACTTATGAACAGTTGCTGCTTGTCGGGACTGGTGGGCTCTGAGAAATATGACTGTTTTATTTTGTTAACCAAGTAATAGTTACTTGGTTGTATGTACATTTGTCAACTTTACTGTTTGACACTTTTATTTACACAAAATTCTAAAAAATGTAATTGTGAACAACTTTTATTTAAAAGAGCAACACGCAAGTTACTTGCTCATTCTTCTTGTGATGGATCTGCTTTCCAAATGAGTGGTAGAATAAAAAAATATATAACTATTCAAAAATGCTCATATTAAGATTATCTTCGTTATCGACAACTGTCAACTAGTTTCATTGAGTCCCTCGACTTAGAACTAATTCGAATATGGCCAACACTAAAAATTTATTTATTTATATTATTGAATACCTCTTCTGTAATAAAACCCGTGAATCAATCATGCATTAACATTTACCACAACGTCAACAACAGACCCTGCCTCTGACTATCCCATATAAAATTTCAGTCGTAATTTTAAATTATTATATTTGATAAACAATGTAACGTTAAAGTAATGTCTATTTTCATAGATGTATGTTACGACATACACCTTATAGAGTAGCCAGAAGTAAATATCGTAAATATTGATCAATTTCTTCCCTAATGAGCAATCATATATCACCAAAAGTAGAGATTATTATTATTGTATCGTTTATTTTGCTTCAATCATACTTAGTTTCCATTAAGTCTTCCAAATTGACAGTGAAGCTAGCGGACTTTGTGTTGACGACATTATTCTGCCGAATCTAATTGGCTTTATTGTACAGAGGTAAATTGTTATTATAGAGCGTACCCAATTTTCTGTGGGTTCAATTCTGTTAATAAGCTATGAATATATTAACAGAAAGCATTTCTAACTCCGAATAGATATCTTGGCCAAATTGTGTTTGTAAACAGGGATCTATAAGTAAGTATCTACTTAATAAACATTTTCTAAGTAACCCATATATCTATCTAAGTAAAATTTGGTCTGTTTAAAATAGAAAATATTTTACCTTCTATTTTAGGAATTGTAACTATTTTTTTATGTACTTGAAATGGCAAAGCTAATGGTCATCACGTTATCATGTGACGCACGTGTGTTGCTATTCTGAAGGTCTAAAGTCTCAGGTAGATGGTGAGACAATGACCACTGGCTTAATGGTATTAATTGCAGTGTTACCATATCGGGCAAGTTTAATTCTAGCATTGTTATATTTACCAGAGCAGGCATGTGACGTGTTGTGACTTCATGGCTATCTACTGAGTATAATAACTTCATATTGATACTCTTACTTATACTTTTGTTATAATTATTCATATTTATATAGGTAAATAAATATGAATAATTATAAATATAACAAAAATAACAATATCTGAAAAATACTCAAAGTACGGAAATTTATTTAAAGGATTTGTAAAGAATTGAAATAATAACACTGAATTTACATTGTACAAGAACAGAACTGTAAATTCAAATTCAAATTTAGAACATACAGATATTTTTGATTAGTCAGTTACATCAGACTTTATACAATAGCTAGAGCATATGCATACGGTGAAAAGCTGTTAATTTGAAATTAGAATTTAACATCACGTCTTTTGCAATAAAATTTCATTTCATTTATTCTAACCGAAACATAAAAACATAAGTTACAACAGTATTCATCATTACCAAGGAGATTCCAAGATAGAACTTCTCTCTTCATGTGAAAGTACTTACCTAATAAATACTATTAAATGTTTTAGTACCTAGTAGATAAACCTACATTTCAATAAAAGCTCGAGGTTTTATTAGAGGAAAATTTATTCACTGTTCGTTTTGATTACGAAAGGTACTAGGTTCAAATTGCCATTTGCAGATACATTACCTGATGAAAATGCACTACTATTTTATAACAAGTGTAATAAAAACGTATCTATAATGAAAATGTATCGACTCAATTATGTAAATATAATGTAGTATATTAGTCAAGATATGTTGCTAACATATCTTATACATATACATATGTATTTCATAACTTAGCCACAATCTTGTTGGTAGAGCTCTATGTGATATTTGAATATAATAATTGAATATAATACATTTCTTATATTTCGCTGTGTATATTTGGATCCAACGCGACAGGGGCGACCCTATCGCCGATTCTCGTAGTAATTTGGTTTGTGATCAGTGTTTTCGTCACCAGTAAGTTAAAACCATTAGGTTGTAAGTCGAAGTAGTTAATATCTCTACGACGATCTCAGTTGTTAGTTATGTACATAATACATTTTAGTTAGGTAGCTACGTATTAAGGTAAACATAACTTTCTGTCTGTTCGCCTGTTTGATAGCATTTACGACTAAAAGGCCACTAATTACATTATTCCCTTTTGACAAAATGCAATAGCATATTGTAATGCACAATTCACATTCTTCCTAATTCAATTTAAAACAGTATCTATGTATAATTTTTAATCATATATAAACTCATTTGAAAGTAATAAGAACTGAGTTTATTGTCGGTTCTTCTTAGTTCGAAAGCCGAACTGACGGTAGATTTGAGTTATCCTACATGAATATAGATATTTTAATTTGATTTGGCTGAAATTTGATATGAATGTAGATTATACTGAATAGACTGTCATGAGGACGAACAAAAGATATCTTTTGTTTAAATAAATTATCTGGAAGAGAGCTAAATAGGTAAAGTATGTATATATTTTTTTGTATTATCTAAATTATAAACTACTGACCCGATAGAGGTTGTCTTAGAGAATGTACGACTGTCACCAAATGCGTAAAGTAATGGTTAAACTTTCTGAAATCTTCGTTAGATACGACTACAGAATATTAAACTGTTACAAACGTATAGTATGACCAAGTGAAATTAGAATTCAGTTATATATACACATAAATATATATAAATTACTTGCTTATTTCATGGGGTATTTTTATGTTATAGGTACAGTCGCTAATGTTCCGCAAATCCTTGCCGTGTCCGCTGCCTCCAGTTCCAGCCTCATTACTACTGCAATTATTTCCATTCGGAGTTCTTCTAGATAGAAGAATGAAAATACTTATGGCTGGAGAAAAGGTAAACCTACAAATATATCTGACAATTATGATGTACTTGCGACCGCCGCCACCCACACCCGACTTCGCTTCTTCTATTTAGATAAAACATATTGATATATATTGATCAATATGAATATAATATCTATTTATGTTAAAATATTGATAAAAAGTGAAAAGCATAACATAGAGCGAGTAATCGCGACTGAATTGAAACTTAAATTAATAGAAATGTCAAAATAGATACATATTAGTTCTGTAAATATTAAAGAGAGGGTTTTTTATATTTATACAATACTTACATAGAAGTCGTTCCTCTCTATGGCAGATTATAGCTCTTTGCAGCAAGGCGATTTGATGATTTGCTTTTAATATTAGAATTTGCGCTCGAAAGATAAAGCAGAATAGCGTCATTTGGAACAAAATATTTTTAATGTTAATCTGTGTAACATTTTTTAAAAGCACTATATATTTGCTAGCAACTGTTTGAATACATTCATTTTGAAACTTTTGTCCACATATGAAAGCGCGCCTTAAGTAAAAGTAAACAATTTTTCTTTTAAACTGTGCAAATTTTCATTATTATAACATACGTACATAGTTTACTCAGTTTTCAAGACCGTCTTTATAAGAATTGAAGCAAAACTGAGTCAACTCGTATAAAGCGTAGTGTTCACACAGCACTATGAGGTACAGTCCTCAAATGTAATTATGAGTCTTTATTTCAAAATATCACGATAACTTATAATTTTGAGTTTTAATATCACATTTAATATTCATTGATTAATTTCAGCTAGTCGAAGCGTGGGGAGGTCCGTGTAATCGTATTGAGAAGTCTCCCATTTCTGAGGTACTTCGTTTGAGAAAACCTAAAGTCTCATTCACATGGGATAAGGTAAGTAAATATTATCAATAAAAAGTCATTACAGTATATATATTTTCTATAAACTCGGTTATATAGACTTTTTTTATATTATTATCATCACTTATAACTTTTCTTACTGCTTATAATCAGCTTGATGTTTCGACTTTGATAGACATATTGAAGTGAAATTACAGAATATAGCCACCACACTTACTCTGAGTGTGAAACCTTGCTGTGTTTGTCTAGTAATGTTTTTTATTGTCCAAGGGGTCATTTATAAAAATGGGTGTACCCCAGGGTTCTATACTTGGCCCATTTCTTTTTCTTGTTTATATAAATGACTTACCATACCAGTTTCAAAACATACTTGACATAGTATTGTTTGCTGATGACACATCACTTATTTTCAAAGTGAAAAGAAATACAAAGGATTTTAATAATATAAATATTGCTCTTGAGGATGTTCTAAACTGGTTTACATCAAATAATCTAGCGCTTAATTCAATGAAAACAAAATGTGTTAAATTCTCTTTACCAAATGTAAAACAAGTAACGACAACTGTTAGTATGAATCATCATGTTTTGGACTTTGTTGATGAGACTTCGTTTCTTGGTATTGTAATAGATAATAAATTGCAGTGGGGTCCACATATATTCACACTAGCCAAAAGACTAAGCTCGGCTGCTGTTGCTATCAGAAAAATTAGACAGTTGACTGATACTGCAACAGCGAAACTAGTGTATTTTAGTTACTTCCATAGTATAATGTCGTATGGTATTATATTGTGGGGAAGAGCGGCTGATGTAGAATCAATTTTTATATTACAAAAAAGAGCAATTCGTTCAATATATAATTTACCGTGTCGCGAATCTCTTAGAGAACGCTTTAAAGAAACAGGTATTCTTACTGTTCCCTCTCAATATATATATGAAAATATTATGTATGTACGCAAAAACTTAAATTTATTTCCAAAAAATAGTCACTTACACGCTTTTAATACAAGGAATAAAAATAAATTAAATATGCCTAGTTATCGTCTCAAAAAAGTAAGTACATCTTTCATGGGACATTGTATACGTTTTTATAATAAATTGCCAGATAGTGTTTTAAATTTAAGTGAAGCCAAATTTAAGATACATGTAAAAAAAACACTTTGCTCTAAAGCTTATTATAAAATAAACGACTACTTAAATGACTACAATGTGTGGACTTAATCACAATTTTAACTTTTGTTATGAGGCATATAATTTTTCCCATTGACATGGATAATGTAATAACAATAAAGAAACTTATTATAAATTTTGTAATGACATATTGTAAATTAAATAATGTAAATTTAATATTGTAATGGGTGAAAACTGTGATCGGTACAGCCTATGCTGTAAATAATATAATTGACGTAGTGGAGTAACCTGAAACAGTCATGCTCGCTATAAAGTTCAAACTTGTGGCGGCGTGGTGGGCCGGGTCGATGTGCTCCCTCAAATATGGTTGAGTACAATGATGGCTGGCTCATACGTCATACTCGTGAACGGGTGCTGCTTGTGGGGACTGGTCTGTTCAGGTTGTGAACACTGATTAAATTTTTTGTTCTTTGCGATAGCATATGCTGGTGGTCACTCTATTCTCCCCAAATTTGAATTTTAATAACTGTATTTATCATAAACATGTTCCACTATTATTTGAAAAAAATTACGAGCTGAGTTTCTTGTCAGTTCTTCTCATCTCGATATCATTCCGAACTGACGGTAGATTTGACATATCATAAGAGTCTGTAATAGACCTACATGAATAAAGATATTTTGAATTTGAATTTGAATTTGAATTATGTATGTATTTACTTGGGATAAAATGAAGTTGTGTGAATTTTACCCAGTTATTATTATTATAGGTGACGGTTACCATTTTCTACCAGTTAGTTAGTTACGTTAAGTTATAATCATGTTTATTACGACATATGCAAGTAATTATTTTAGTACCTACCGCTTGGCCACAACTAGTGCAGTTTTTTCAATTAGTAAATTGGATACAATTTAAATAAATTCTTTAATTCTAACTAGTCTACTAATTGTAGGTAGTATGCATGCAAACGATGCTATTCGAGTTGGAACTCATGAGGTGGCGCGCCCGAGGAGCGGGAGAGTCCAGACGCGGAAGCCAGGGCGCGCGTTCCATCCTGCTCAAAGGACCAATTTATTTGCTGGAAGAAATAGACGCACTAGTCTTCTTATGTAGCCCTATGTTAGTAATATATTGTATTAATGTCTTCGTTACTACAATTAAATACCTAACTTTAAGTTTACTAGTTTAGTATTATAAACCGATTTATCTTCAGACACTCTTTTGTTCAAGATTGACCGGAGTAAAATTTGAATATACAAAATGTACATACAAAATTCAGCGATGATCTGTGTTTTTTCTGTATACGTATTTATAAATTTATATATCAGTGCCCAAAGCAATGCTTAATTTCATAACAATGAAAACATAATGTACAAATTATTTAATCGAAAAGATTTAATACCGAGATTGAATATACCATCACGACAATTATCCCTGCATGCTTATCCCAAGCATGGGTATTGGGAAATGACGTCATGGTTAATGCAACGCTTGACATATTTCATTTCCACAGTTATTCTGTAGAAGAACTTTCTTACAGTAGAAATTAAATGGAATTACAATTTGAACAAAAAGTTAATTTTCATACTAATCCATTTAGTAGTCATCCATTCGTCCATCCATCGTCACAAACTTTCGCGTTTATAATATTAGTAACATTAATAATTATTACTTCCAGCTTCAATGATCTGGACGAGCTACGTCAGGCGGGTTTGTTCGTAGCTGATTTAAACGGCCACGGTCTCTCCCAATGGATGCTTCTAGAAGGTTGGCAACACTTGTCCAGACTGGAACTGCTTTTCGAAAAGGCAGAGGACAGATCAATGTCGTTAGAGAAGTCATGTCGGCTCCTGGACCAGTGGAAGAAGAGGGGAGACCAACTGCTGTATTCGATGATGCCGAAAGCAATTGCAGATCATTTAAGAGCAGGGAAGGATCCCATGGCTGCTTGTCAGGTAACAATTGATAACAATATAGGTAATGTAAGAAACATTACCTTTATATTGGTACTAGTGATCGCCCAGTATCCGAAATTCGACTATAATGAAAAATACACAATGATCTTTGAACCATCAATAAACAATTACTTAAAAAAATATATACAAACACAATGTGTCATACACTTTAATAATGTTCTTACTTACAATTAAATTAATTATGGTCGAATTTCGACCATTGGCGACTACTAGTTATTGTATGGATAACCATTATGTATTATAACGTAATTTACTTATTAGATTCGCCCTCTCCTGTTCTCTAACTTTTGGCTTTGAACTCTTTAACTGCATTGACTGTTTTTAAATGGTCAACTTGTTTTTTCTTACACATTACATTGTTATCATTTGTATTGTAAAATTTAAAGTAACTCTGATAATGTCACTCTGCTCACACATAAATTCATAATGTGTATAATTTGCATAAGCTGTTGATTACCTAAACAAAATAAAAAAATATAAAATTGATATCATTACAAAATATAAAACAAAGTCGCTATCGATGCGTGTCGGTCCCTATGTATGCTTAAATCTTTAAAACTACGCAACGGATTATGAATTGTTTTTTTTTTAAATAGATAGAATGATTAAAAGAGGAAGATTTATATGTATTATACACCCGAGCGAAGCCGGGGCGAGTAGCTAGTATGATATAAAAAGATAATAAAGATAAAGATTGCGTATTGAAAAATGTCTTAAAGTAGATAATGTTTGATACAGGCGTTCGAATGGGTGACGGTAATATTTTGCGGCGTACAACTGGCGGCGGCCGGCACCCGGGCGGACGTGATGCAGACAGTGGCCTACATGAACGACATCTACTCCAGGATCGACAGGCTCCTCGACACGCACCGTGTTTACAAGGTATAGCATTGTCATCATCATCATCATTATCTTTTTTTAAATCAATGCGCTGCCTAATGGCATGCACTCCGCGGCGGTCAGTTCGAAAATTTGGAAAAAAAATAGCATCATCATTGTCGTGTTGTGATGTGTGATGTAATAAATGTTATTCTATTCTATAAAACTGCTCCTTATAAAACTTCACTAATTGCGTTTATAATGTACGCATGTTTTAGGAGCTTCTTTATATATCAAAAACAGGTGAAATTAGATCCACTTTACGAACAAGTATTTTTTAGGTGGAGACTGTAGGCACGGTGTACATGCTGGTCTCGGGAGCGCCCGAGCGTCGCCGCACTCATGCAGCATCCGCCGCCAGCGCCGCGCTCGCCATCGCCCGAGCACTACCCATGCTCACCCTAGGTATTATCTTATTAATATAAACGCGAAAGTTTATGAGTATAGATGGATGTTTATTACTCTTACACGCAAAAACTACTTTACAGTAATATAACTTATGAATCAGAATAACACATAAGCTATATTTTTTATCGTAATTTAACGTGGATGAAACCGCGGGCACAGCTAGTATACATATTTATTTTAATCCGATTGTTAAGTCCCTAGCATTACCTACCATTACACTTACGCTTTTACATGAGGGAATCAGCTTTCACCCAGGAAATAATGTGTGTGTAAATATAGACAAAGAATGTCAAAGAGAACGAGAGAGACCGCGCAAACTAGTCGAAATAAATCGACTAATTATTGTTTTCGGTGTAGTTCAAATAATTATTTGTTTTAATTATACGAAAAACACTTTTTATAGGAGTTCAATAGGAGTTGAAAATCTTCAAAATTGTCTCTCATAATTAATGGACCTCTTTTATTTGTTATATTATTATAAAAATATGTCTAGGCATACATTCGGGGCCGTGCGTGGCAGGCGTACTTGGACTACGTCTGCCCCGGTATTGTCTCGTCGGAGACTCCGTCAATACTGCCAGCAGAATGCAGACGACATCCGAGGTAAAACTTATCATTCAAAATTCCATAAGTCTGTAGAGATATGTACTATGGATATAATTCATAATATGTATAATAAGTAATTGTTTGCGTATTCGTTTTGGTGTCAATCAGATTCGAAATTACTACCATTGTATAAGTCGACATATTAAACACAGCCAAGATGTTTTACTTAATTAATTATAGGTACCTACTTAGTTTATGGGCGACAATGAAATGGTCCTTTCACTCATACTAACTGTATACGCTGGGGGAACATCAGTGGAAGATGACAAGATTAGAGTAAAACCAAGTCACTCCTTATAAGAGACAGTGCAGTCTTTTCCAGGAGGAATATGGAGGATATTCTTCTCCTTCCAATCTCCATTAGCACGTACAATAAATACTAGATAAGTAGACTTTGTACAATGTCATCTGGATGGTTTTATATATTTGTACCACTTAACAACTTGCTTTGTAGGCAATTTTTTTTGGTTGAAGGGTGATATAGCAGTGAACATAGGGAGATGTGGCAGTGAAAATGCTGTTAGCCCTCAGGAATAGCAAGGCAATGAGAAATATGCGGGCCATCCACGGGCTCAGAAACGTGGCGCCACAAAATCTTAGACCCTCTCTCAGAGGTTTCATCTCAGAGTTCAGTATTTTTTACACGAATTTGAGTCCTACAACCCCTTGTTAACTAGAAACTTACATAAAAAAATATTACAGCTTTCAACGTATGTAGTATTGTTCCAAATTCTTACCATATAAACAAATTTAGTATGTACTTAATACAATTATGCATTCACAAATCCAGCCAGGCAAAATCCAGGTGTCTGCGCAAACAGCGGCTGAACTCCCGGCCGGCAGGTTCAGGCTTAGACGACGAGGGCTCATTAAAGTTAAGGTATAAACAATAACAGTACTATCGCCACTTGTATTTTAATTTGTATTCAGTGGCACCCAAGCAACTTCAATTGTTTCCTGTAATGTACAAAAAAATATTCAGTGTTATTTTCTAGGTATATTTTTTTAAAACTGTGTGAAATTATAAAAGTGTTTTAAAGTAATAATGCTTTAAATCGTTGTCAACGGGACGTGTATTTAAACACTGTGAAATAATATTGACATAGATAATAATTATTACAAGCCTTTATAATATCTTCTTAGCAATTATTACTATTGAATATTGTTGCTAATAAAACTTTCTGGTGTAAACAACAACCTTAAACAAAATACATTTCCTTTATCGAATATATTCTTATAATCATATAGTAAAAATATAAATCTAATCTGGGAATAGATAGAAGTACTGGTTTTAAATTCTCTAATGGCCACTTGTCTCTGTTTCGCGCGGGTGTAGATAATATTTTTAAGATGTATTTTTTTAATAAATTACATCTCTTTTATATAAATACCTAGATAGGATCTTGGAAAAGCAAATAAGCTACTCAAAGTACTAATCCTGCGCAGACGCAGTCGCTGGTACCAGTTACTGTCTAATAATGATTGTATTCTATGTGTTAAGTTCTATATATTTTTATTTACTTCATCCAGGGTAAGGGGATGATGGAGACGTTCTGGTTGGAGGGTGAAATAGAAGAGGAGGAACCGGACGAGGCTCTGCAATTGTTCTCAGCGCTATGTGGAGACAATTAGGACATCATATTAATCATCTTAGTCTTCAGAAATTTAACTTAATAATGATGTAGTGAGATTGAAATCATGTATTATTACATACATAGAAATATTTGGTCTACTCTGGAAACTCGATTCTGATTCAATGACATTGACCTTTTTATAATTTTGATTTTTTATACTTCGATGGTGACAAATAAGCATACCTACGGCTCATCTGATGGTAAACGGTAACTTAGTATCTGAACTCCTGAAACACCAGATCACTTGCGCCTTAAGAAACCTTAATATACCACTGACGAAAAACCCCATGCTGTAGTGTCTCGAGAAAAATTCGACAGGTAGTTCATTCCACGATTAAGTGTAATCACTTCGATTGTGGAAATACACTAGTACAGGTAATAACTAAAGATTTCGTGGTCATTGTAAGACCTGATATTGTTATATATTAAATATTATATGTTAAAAGATCAATATAAAAATCTATTTACTTTTCTTATCTGTACCTGGTGTGTATGTCCTTTATCTCAAATAAAAGTTTTATCAAATCTAAAGTGGATTGGATCTATTGAGATTTGACTCTAGAGTAGACCTGTAGCTATGATTAGGGATTCAAATAAGCCTGTAGGGATCATTAGGGATTTAAATATGTAATGCAGTTGATTACAATTCTCATTAGATATAGATGCAATCTAGTTTTGTCTAATCTTACCACCAAGAGGGCCGTCAGCATTTTTGCTAGCCCATTTATATATATAAAAAAATGTAATTATTGAATTAGAATTGATTGGCTAAAATATAAGTTATTATAACAAAATAATAGTCAACAAACTATATAATAATTTAATATCAACAGACGAATTAAATTCGTGTTCTTTTTTCATTACAATATAGTGTATTTTGATGTTTTAAAATTAGATAATTCAAGTTGCAACATTAGCTGCTTATAATATTTACTATATTTATAAATTAATATTTTAACAGTTTCTTGTAGCATTGTATAATTATAGATTAGGAACGCATATAAAAAAATACTCCGTGATCATGAGAATAATAATAATAATGAATTACTTAGTCAGTATGACCCGTAACTCTGAAGAATTTCGAGAATATAAAATATAATAAAAACCCAGTACAATTCATGCAGTACCATCTAGTCCCAAGTTAAGCACAGCTTGTGTTATGGGTATAGACAACTGATACAAATACTTATATACACTTTTTTGTAAATGCATATATAATTAATATATGCATTTACAAAAAAATGTATATAATATACATAGAAAACTCCCAAACCAATGCAAACAATCATACTAATGAATACAAATGTTTGCATCATGTAAGGAATCGAACCCGCGACTATCGGAAATAAAGCAGTATACTGAACTGCTAGACCACCGAGGTTGTATAGGAGTATTATAATTATACAAGCCATAAGAAACTGCAGTGTTAAAATTTAGTGATTGCATTAGTGTAAAAATATCTATGTAATATAGCAAATATACTCTGATTTATATACTCATTGCCAACTAAAACAATATAATAAAATGCTTTGTTGGCACCAGTACAACTATTGTCAGATCGATCTTATATGTAATATTAACAAAATGTTACCTTAAAATATTCTTGTTTATAAATAAAATTGTTTGTGGTATAAGAGTCAATAAAATCAAACTGATTAATACTGATGACTGTGAATTAAAGAACGTATACACAATATAACTATATCCTTAAGCGTCATGTTTCTAATTTTTTTTTGTAAAAGCTACAGTACATTTGACTTAATATTAATGGGAAGGTTAAAAAAAATAACAAACAAACACAGAAAATGTATAAAATAGCAAAAGTAGGTATAGAATTAAAGATAACAATTTCTACACATACCACAATATGCATAAAAGATGAATGATGATGGATCCATATCAATCAAAAATAGAAAGGATCACTGAAAAACGAAAACTTTTTAACCGATCCCAAATGGAACAAAACCAGTCGACAAATAGAAGTGGTGCCACAATACATTCTACAAGACAATTTGATATTTGATTAAAATACATTAGAAAAAACAATATTTAGAAGCTACAACGTAAGTAATAATAAATAATTATAACATATTGTTGGTCACTATATGTCGATAGTGAGATGCCCTACACTATAATATCTAAAGGTTGGCACTATAACACTAGGACGGGTGGAGTTACTTACGAACAATTTCGTGAATACATCATAGGAATATATTATTATCATGTACATATATGTTACAATTGGGAATAATAAAGATACATTGAGAAATAACCCGTATGAATTATTTCAAATAAGTGTATAAATTTTAATATTAATATTATATACTATTCTAATATATTTTTACATGAAGAACTTATTACATCAATGAAATTATATGAGAACACAAAATTATTCGATTGCAAGTAAATAATTATCACCGCATATGTGCAATGACAATTCGTAATAACATATAAGTTAAGATATAAAGATAATATACAAAGTCACTAAAACTCTAATTACCAAAATTCACGTACAACTACAATAACAAATAAAATATATATTGTAAAAAAAATAACAAATCACAAAACTATAAATGTCCCTAGAAGAGAATAAAAGTATATCAAACAATTTATTGGTCCTCGAAAGTTTAAAGACACATTTAATACAAACAGAGAAAGATTTGTTGAATTAAATTTTAAAGCATATTGTGCACCAACGTGTAATACTGGCAACTTGTAACGAACACCTTGTAATCTAGGGCATATCAAAACAAAGATGGTGGGCTAAATAAATAATAAGCGTGGAAAATTGTAATCAATAGAAATCTTAAAAGTTTTACTAATAGAATACCATATATAAAAGAAATAGAATAAATAAAAGAAATGAAAATGAAATTAAAGAAATAGAAATAAATGAATGCGATATATAAAAGAACATTCGCCATTCTACTTATTGCTAATTTACAAAACACAGATGATATTTATGATGATAAAACTTATTAACAATTAAAGTAGCTGTGACCCAATAGATTTAATAAAGTAAAAAATTGCAAAAATTAAATTAAATACAAAACCCTTCGTATGAGAGCATTTTATAAAATTTTTAATAGATACTCCTGACATTAAAAATTTTAATTACAAGTAAGCTAATGTATCTAATAAAGCTTTATAATAATGAATAATCACTCTTTAATCATTAATTTTGGTTGTATATTAAATATGATCGATTGCTACTAAGGTTAGCAAACAAAGGCCTCCAAGCTATAACTACAACGCAACTTATGCTCTACAGAATAGTCGTACTTATGAATTTCTACTTCAGTAATTGAATCTATTTAAATACCACAATAATTCAAGCAATATGGTGAAAAACTCCATTAATAAACTTTTGTTAGTTTTAACGAGGCATCATCAGGCATTGAACAGAGTTCGGATATAGCTTGGAAGCCTAGTGTTGACTGTTTAGCGAACAAACTGCGTGAAAATGCGTTAGAACCTATTTTATTTTCTCAATTCTTTAAGGCATTAAAATAGGTTCTTATATTTTCAGCAAGATGAAGTCGTTATAATGCCGCGTACAGATTGGTGAGCACAAATTCGAGGTAGCTTGACGCAACATCTAAATAACTTTATACAAAAGTCAAAGAATCGATGTCCAAATCTCCAGGTCGTGAACGAGGACTCCAAAGCAAACTAGTAACAATGACACTTAATAATTGTTTATTAGACAGGAAAAGCTATGTTTTCGACCAAAAGATTCGGACAATTACCTGAACTTTAATTTTAATTTTCACTGTATACGTTTTAATTATAGAATTTTATAAAATGTAGATATTAGTTTCATTAATACTACATAATGTCCTAATTATTTAAATAGTAAAATTTTATATTCGCGTCATAATAAGTACTAAGTTTTGGAAATATCAAGTAAGTGAGGTATTCAGTCTTTCTAGTTTTATGCGATTCTAGTTAGTGGGCATACTGAATGCTTATTTACTAATAAAAACAATATCCAAAGGCATAAATTTAAACATAACAATAATGTACTCGTACAGTAACTTTATAACTTACTTCCGTATTAATATAGAAACACCAAACGTTTGATAGACCTATTTTATTTATTCAACTTTATTTTTTCCATAAATTCAATTGGATTAGATAATTTTTATTAATAAAATTGCATCCGTTCCCAACCTCTTACAAATAACATAGAGGCCAGGTTTACATTTAAAACCAAGTCATCTTTATATTAATAGTTAAATAGATTTATATTTAAAGATTAATATTCTGGCTTCTATGTATTGTTGAAATAATTATCACAATTCACACTATAGACTTATTGCAGTATTTAATACGCTTACATCTAAGGAATGTGGCTTAAGTCTATCATGTTAAACTGAAACTACTTTTTAAAGAGAGCTGTTACTTCCTCGATTGTCCTGTTCTTAGTTTCAGGCAATTTGAAGAAAGTGAATAGGAAGAATAATATCAATAGGATTGTATAAGGCAAGAATACGTAGTTACCCAACGCTTCAGACATTGGTATAAATGTTAAACCAACTACGAAGTTGGCGAACCAATTCACCAGGGCTCCCACACTTACAGCGGCGCTTCTAGCGCCCTGATTGAACAACTCTGATAAGATCATCCAAGGTATAGAACTAGGACCTACGCCGAAAAATGCTACATATAGGAATGTGAAAATAACAGCAAATGTGCTCATAGTTGAATTATTTTCGTACGTGAAGAAAGCGATCGTCATTAGAACGGAGAAAACAGTCATTCCACCGAGTCCAACCAACTGTAAGGTACGTCTCCCTAAACGATCCATTAAAGGTATCGACACCAAAGCCATTACGAATAAGACACTGCCAACTCCAATTGAGGCCAATCGTGCAACAGACAGCTCGAGACCGGCTGACTGAAAAATAGTTACAGAATAATAAAGAACTGCGTTAATGCCGCCCAATTGTTGGGATAAATGCATAACTATACCAATAAGTAGTGGAGTACGTAGAGACGAAGTTCTAAATAGATCCATAATTGAGAATTTATCTTCTTCCTTCGTAGCTTGATCTTCAATGTGCATATCATTAATTTCATCGTTAATTTGGTTTGTACCTCTTATTTTCGTTAATGCTGTTCTTGCTTTTTCTTCATCACGAACTGATAATAATAAATATCTAGGTGATTCCGGTGCGAAAGGCAACATGATGCACTGAAGTGCTGATGGTATGATAGCTAATCCTAGTAGCCACGGCCATCCTGAGTCGCTGCCTAATATACCATCGATGCCGAGAATCTGTCCTCCAACCATCCCAAAAGCAACAGCCAACTGGTTTACAGTACCGAAAGCACCTCGTAAATTCACAGGTGCTATTTCAGATACATACGTAGGAGAAGCGGTAGTCGCAAAACCACAGTTGATACCTATAATGAATCTTCCAATAATGAGCATTTCCACCGAGTATGCTACCTTACTAAAGCCCATAAAAACAGTACCGATGATGCCAATGAATGAGTTAATAAGCAGGGCATTCTTACGACCACGTGTTTCTACCAGCCAGCTTGCAAGTGGACATCCGATCATTCCTCCCACCGCAAATACGCTGACGATGACACTGAAGATGAGACTGGGGGAGAGGTCGTTCTGCTCTTGAATAAAGTTCTCGATGAATGTTCGCGGAGCGTTGATGACTCCCGTGTTGAACCCGAACTGCAGCATACCCAGGACGGCAGCGCTGACCGCGTACAGCAACGCACCTGTTGTACCACCCGCCATATTTGTGCGTTGTATTTCTGAAAAGAGATAATTTGCGTAATGACTACACAGGTCACCTTGAAATTCTGAAATTCACATGTGTTTTTGTATTGTTTTTTGTATTTTAATTGGTCTTATCATATTCATATACTTTAAATTTAATAAATGGGACCCAGAAGATTGAGCTTCATTTGTCGTTTATGATATAGCACTATAAACATTTTTCTAAACAAAGTAAGTATAAAATAGACAGTAACACTAAAATATCAAGAACGTAACAACGAGACAAGTTATTATCAAATGTAACCTTTATCTCTATCTAATTTCTGATAAGAAATGATATCTATTCAAAATGCCATTCTTATTATAATCTAGCGGTATACACGGATTTGCCAAAGTTACATTATAACATATCCCACTACTAAACTATACTTATTATAAACTAGCAAATAGACACAAGTTATTCTACGCGCACTTGCTTTTTTTTAAATATAATCTTTGATATTTTTAATCTTGGTATTAAAAAGCAATAGTGACCCAATTGAAATCGTATCACAACTTTCTAAAGATAAGAGAGAGATTTATTTATGTACTGTTTCATGAACGTTTCTATGGTACAATACGGGGAATTATTAGAAATGAGGAATATTCACTCTATTACTAATAATGTACCATGTTCGGTCGAGCCCTGGTAAGAACTGGAAACCTAATTAGTTAATTTGGGTGAATTCACCACGATAGGCTAACTAACATAAATGAAGTCAGGTTAGCCTGTCGTAGCTCATTCTTCAGTCTTTCAGTGGTGCGCCGCCAGGGTATACCGTTAGCACAGGCGGGTGCACTATTCCATTACTATCCATATATATACATAAAAAACCTAAAATTAAAAGCTAATAAGTATAAGTAACTACACAGCGAACAGAATTCACGATAAATGTTGAACACCGTGAAACAAAAGTAGATCTCAACATAATACATATACAAGACAATACTAAAAATCTACATAATACTATTTGACGAATAAAAGTGGTTCACCTTTATGTAGGTCACGTATTCAGCTGTACCGTGAAAACAAGTCTAAAGCTAGTTAAACTCTTTGCAAATATATTATAGAATAACATAAAATAATGTTAATAAACAAATTTGTACCATCTTGGATCTTGATCTAAACTGTTATTATATAGAGGAAAGAATTGATATTTTGTAGGTACGTGATAAATAAAGTAAGAAAATAAATATATTTTCACAATTCATTCACCTGTCAGCTTTGAAATTATAGAGCTGCTAGTACATTATCATAGCGTAAAATATAAGCTGTAATTTATTTAAAAACTTATGACTTCACTACAATTCTAGCACGTGCGAGGCTAGTTACAGATATAAATACAAGTATTAGTTGATTTCGAACTACGTGTACTTACAATATTTAACAAAAAAATTGTAACTTTGGTCATTTATTGGATCTAACTACAATTTGTTGTAGTAGAGTTCTAGACGAATCGTAACGACGACGTTCGATTGTTTAAGTTCGTTTTTAGCTTTCTTAAAGAGTTGATACAAATAACATAGAGGGTTAGTCAATGGTTTTGTAATAACATAGCATTAGTGAAATACTTATCTTATTTATTATCTTTACATATAATAATATAGTAAAATCGTGACGAGGCGATAACTGTGTACTTGTCTATCTGTTTGTGTATTAAAATTTGACGTAAAAAAAGCAGGAGGAATTAGTATTTTACTAATACTAATATTTTATAATAGGGGTAAAGATATAAGCTAAATACCTGAGAATTTTCTGAATACCCATGTCGTATACAATACGAAATCTCGAGCACCATTAGTATTTCATATAAAATGAGATTTTTATTTACTTCCTTGCTGTCCCGGCAAATTTTGTTTTGCCATATAAATTAAGAAAACAGACGTCGTAAAAGGGGTGAAAATACGAAGTTGTATGTATTTTTCAATGCTAAGCATACAAAGGTAAATCATAATAAAATAAAAATAAAATTGTCAAAAAAAATATTATTTAGAAGTGGGGTGTATGAAAAATAGATGTTTACTGATACTGAGGCCAATCCGATATGCACACAAAATTTCATAAAAATCGTAGTAGAGCCGTTTCAGAGGAGTATGATAACTAACATTGTGACACGAGAATTTTATATATTAGACTAGCATATCCGGCCACACGTTGCTATGACTAAAATTCTTGAATAAAATAATATTGCGACGATAATTTGAGATGTAAGCTATTCTCTTTCAAGTTGGATCAAATTGCACACAATGTGCAAATCAAATTTACAATCGGTTTACTAATTTAGGAGTCCATCGCGGACAAACAACGTGACACGTAATTTTTATATATAAAGATTACCAAATTACATATTGTATTATACAATATAGTCACAGTTACTTACACAGCGTATCTCTATATCTGTGCTCTAAATACTAGATGACATTTTTAAGATATCTCGTAATCGATATCTTAACAGTCATAAGTGTTAAGATGAAGTAACCTCTATAAAAGTGACATAAAATATGAAATATAATTTGAAAAGGTCCGGTGAAATGCCATACATTTTATTATACTTTGTAAGGCGTCATGAAATATGATTTCTAACCTTTATTGGGACGGTTCGGTCACTATAAAATATCAGTAGACCATGATTCAGGCCGTTGAATAATTTGATTCAAAACATATATATAGTTTCATTAATACAATTTCATCCACTTAAACTTTGGAAAGAGAGTATTTACAAAAAATAAAGTCGGTAGCGGATAAGTCAACAAAATAAAACAGTATAACAATAACCCAATAACAACACAGCGCCCTCTAGTCTTATAATAAGCAGAGTTTTTACTATGTTTACCACACTGATAGAAATACTTAAATATTTTTTTTATAAATACTTAATGAGCTAATTAACCTGACCTCATACTCATCTTATCTTTCTCCACTGGTAGCACCAGCGTAAACTGATAGCGCAGACGGGTGCACCATTCCATTATCATCCATGAAAATACATACACAGGAAACACCTAGTTCAGTACAAACAGTTTCTTTTGTTTTTGGTAATTATGGTCTGGTTGAATACGTATGTACGTACCATGCGAGGCGATCCCGCGAGCATTGGCGATGTACTAAAACGCTAGAACACCGAAGCCTAATTATAATAATTTTGTTTAATTTCTCTACTATTGGTGTATCTATTAAGGTTATAAACATTTCATAGGGCTCATTTGACTATATCGGGACGGTCAACACAAGCTCCGATCGATTAATTGCGTGATGATTGATGTCTTGTTTAGAGACAACACACGTGTTATGTAATATGAGTATTGGTAGATTAACTTAATAACAATTGAAGATTGTTTACTAAAAAGGAAGGCCATTAAGTCTCTACTATGATAAGTCAGTTAGTTGGTATGTGTGAGACAATATACATATTTTGCAGGAACCTAATATTTGCCGATATAGATTTGTATAGATGCATGTATCGTGGATATCTATATCTCTTCTAATTCTGCCGCTTTTTCTGTAAACTATGTTTCTGTTTAAAGAGTGAGTGTAACTACATTTCTGAGCTATTACACCTCAGAACCAATGATAGGACATGAGGAACACCATGGGCATTTGGGCACTTGACTACGTCATATTCCTATAGATATCCATACTCAAGTATATTAGCAACGAATACTCCTTTTCATGAAGGGCGTTTCAATTACATAAAATAGATAGAAAAAGTAGTTCAATTCAAATTGAATAGGCATCTGCAGTATCATAATTGCATACACAGACGGAAGAATTTATATATTATACACTTACATTAAAAATCATAAATAGTACTGCGTTTAAAATGAATGTCCTAGAATCATGCATAGCCAAATAGGCTTATCTAAATTTATGTGTAGGTACGTCTGTGACTAAATACCGTGTAGGAAAGTAAAAATAGTTGAAATATAGTCAATCATGAAAAAGAATGGAAATTAAATATCTTCACTGATGCCCTGAATTAAGGCTATATTATATATAAAATAAAATGTAGAGTCGCTGTGTAGATCAGGTCCAAATTTTTTATTTGTATTTATATTTGTTTGTTCTAATTGTTGAATAAAATATATTTGCTTTATAATTATAAATATTGGACTATGTGTAAGTGCCTGTAAATCTTAATTAACAATTAGAGAGAAACAGACGTCATCTACTCTTATAGTAAGTTTAATAATATATTTGTTCTTACCTACCAGGTAAACTGAACAAATCTTCATATAAAAGCTGCTGACCCCGCAGCATAGTTTAATCAATTTAATAGGTATGATAGATAGATATATTTACGATAGATAGTATGAAGAGTTCAAAATTTATTTTCTGATTACTTCAATTGGTTGGTGAATTTACGAGTGTTATTACCTACTTCGCTTCCGGCTTGTTTACCTACAAATTACGAAGAACCCTATATACCTATTAAACAAATAATATTGGGCAAAGATAGAACCCGTAAACATTGCACAGTGAGGTAGTGTAATTAAACCGGTACACCGTCAAGGTCATCTTGTAATTTAAGTAAACAAGCAATAGATATCAACGAGCCAGTAGTTTAATAAGCAACATATCAATGTAACTTATTAAAATAATATCTAGAAAGTTCTATCAAGCAGATGACAGGAAAAACTGCTAATATACACATAACTAGGAATACTTTCGAACTTTCACTTATACAATAAGAATGTGTCAACAAATGTAATGTATATGTACATATATGTCGAATAAAATCAATTTAAATTAAACAAAATAACAACAAAACAAAACAAACAAAATAAAAATATTTCACATACCTAAGGTAAGTTATTAACAGCGCTGTTAATTAACTTATCAGCACATATATTTTTGCACTCAGTAATTGAAAAATATATAAAATACGATACACAGATTGAGACACCCACTTCACAAGGAAAACGTGAACATTTTTCAATCGAATAAAAAGGAAAAACCGATTTGTGGCAAGAGTGTTTCGACGGCAACGGAGCGGAACGCACTGACGATGAAATCAAGGCTGACAACACGACGGTTGTTTGCGAAACTTGTAAAGGTGTCTATAAACTTAAGTAATGCGATAATTGTTGATTAAAACGTACACTTAAATAAATATACATACATACGACCCAGACTCATACAAACATGAACCCCCGACCATAAATTAAGTCGTGCAAAACTTAGTAAATTAATAAAACAACAAAATCAGTTGACATACCAAATATGTAGGCACCTTAATTGTTGTCAATCCAGTGGCGTAAGTAATGGACGAGCGATTACTTGCTACAGCTAAGTATTTATTATTGTTAAATGCATGTTTTGAATTATGCTACTCATAGGCATGACGCGATGGAGTTGCATAGGTGCAATAAAATTACCTGTTTTATAGAACCGCCATAATTGTTATAAACATATTTTAGTTTTATTATTGTATTGCACTTACTTTTCCTACGATCTATAATTTTTATTTGGCAGTAAGTAATAAAAATTACTAGTGATCGCCAACTAGGTCGAATTCCACCATAATTATTAATATCAAAAGCAAAATAAATCTATACACAATTTGATGCGTGTGTATGTCAAAAATGTTTTTTTACTGATTTAATCTTTTTATGGATAATTAAAAAAAAAAGTATTCTGCACTCCTTCTCTTAAACTATAAGTGTGCGAAATTTCATATTTCTTCATCCGCGCTATTTTCGTAAAAAGGGTACAAAGTTTTTGCTTCACGTATATGTATATAGGTAATAATATCTCAGGACAATTCACACAGCGCCATCTATCCCAAGTTAAGCAGATCTGCTTATGGATACTAGACAACTGATACACTTACTTTTTTTAAATACATGTATGTATGTATTTAAAAAAAGTAACTGTATCAGTTATAATATAATACGTATCTGTAGAAAACACCCAGAACGATAGTAATAATCATACTCATAAATACAAATATTTCTACTGTGCGAAGAATCGAACCCGCAACTATCGAAAGTAAGGCGGCATGCTAAATCCCTAGACAGAGGCCGTCATGTGTAGATAAAAAATATATATATGAAAATGATTTCAATCATAATTAATAAATGGTATTCTAATTACATGTACATCATCGGAAACTCACATAAATCAGAACAGAAAATGTGCCAACCACGAAAACACAAACTCGAAGCAATTTCTAGAATAATTACAAACGTGACTTTATAAGTGAAGTCTATAAAAAATGTCTACCTCAAATGTTTCTAACAGCATGATAGGCATCCTATTTTTAAGAGTCTAAAAATAAACATTGAAGGGTTAGAAGGGGAGAAACCTAACCAATTTTCATAGCCTGTATAAGCAACATCGAATTCGTTGCTAAGTATATCAAAATGACTATCTTTATGAGATTGACGTCATTGTCGCAGTACGTTAACTTCAAAGCTGGATGATTTTTAAGCTGTGTCACCGTAGATAATCAAGATTTTGGTATGATGTAAGGCGACAGTTTCCCCGCTTTAGAAACAATTTTCAACGCCTACAGAACGATCTTACAGTATTTAACGGATAATTTATTTTCCAAATGAATATCGAATTATATCTACAGTATTATTCTTTTTCACATGAAACTCGAATGACAAAGAACTTAACGATCTACCTGAGGAAAGCTACCAACCCCCTATAAACCTGAGCATTACGGACACAAAAAAATTTAAATAGAAATACTATGGTAATATGTTATAACACATACTAATCTGTGTGCCAGTCCGCGCGGACAGTTTTTTTTTTTACTACCCTTGCGCAAAGTCACATTAATTTCGATCAAAAAGATGCAAATGCCCTATTGTGCGATTTTGGGGTACAAACATAATAGTGGAACTTCTTTGTTCTATGATTACGGTCATCACATAATCATGTAACGCTTGTGCATCATGTTATGCCTCCATACTCTCAATTTCACAGCCGTATGTCAAAGGAATCAAGCTGCTTAACGGCTGAAATAGGTGAGACAGACAAACGATTTACAAAGACTTACTTTACAAACCCCTCGTGAATTCGAAATCCTATTAAAATTATAAACATACTAGCTGACCTTTATAACTTACTTGACATTTATCAGTAAATTTCGACGAATTTACATAATATCTTTTTAAATTATATATTATATATGTTTTATTACTGTAAAGTTTCATCATAATCCGTTCAGTAGTTTTTGCGTGAAATAGTAACAAACAATCATAAACTTTCGCATTTATAATATTAGTAAGATTCACAGTGGATAATGACATCTCGTTTATAATAGTATGCGCAGGCAGGGCAATATATAGCAAATTCTAAATTCCTTGTAGACTCCATATCATCAACACAACCCGACAGATATACAAAATACGATCGACTTTATTGTTTTGCAGATATTTATAGCAACAAAAAAATATATTAAAACAATGAATATTCATTATACTGACTATACATATGCGTATATTAACTTTTATAAACCTTCCGGGTCTAAAAATAATTCATTTATTTATTCCAAACAAATTGTACTATATCAAATTTTAAGGTTATTTTAAGCAATCTGTGGGTTTGCTTAATATCCCTATAATATTAATTATCCCTATAATAAATACATAATATGAAGTCACACTCGTAAATCTTACAAGGGGTAGAAAGAGGCGTTGTCAATTATCGACGTTGTTTCCCTTGGTATATTTTATCTGTAACTATTGAATATATAAAATCATGACAATCAATATGTAATTTACAATTTTCTTACTATACTTACTAATTTATAAACACGAAAGATTGTGAGTATGGATGTATTTTTGTTACTCTTTTACAAAAACTACTGAACGGATTGTGATGAAACGTTACTTTACAGTAATGTACCTACTTACATTACTGTAAAGTTTCATGTATATGTATCAGAATAACACATAGGTTGTAATTTTAAAAGATATTGTGTAAATTGGGCAAAATGTAATGATAAATGTAAATAAGTGCGATGCAGATGAAGTTAATCTTATATATAAAATTCTCGTATCACAGTTTTCGTTCCCATACTCCTCCGGAACGGCTTAACCGATTCTCATGAAATTTTGTGAGCGTATTGAGTAGATCTGAGAATCGGCCAACATCTATTTTTCATCCCAGGTAGTCCACCCCTAAATTATTATTTTTTTATTTTAAGGCAAAACAACGTTTGCCGGGACAGCTAGTATTATTATACGTTTAAGTTAGTATTATTATACGTATGCAAAACCAAAGTTACACTGTTTACTGGAAACTAAGTGAATAACTACAATACAAACAATACAAGCATCATAGGCCTCATATAATTAAAAAAGCAAAACAATCCGAAGAGCAAAGCAAACCTGGTAAGCGGTAACCATCTCTTATATATATTCATGACCAGCTCTAAGGACATTACGTTACCATGTGACACTTATACGTTGGTATCGCAGGCTAAGAATGGCAGTAATTGATGATGAGAAGCTGCTTGCACTGCTAGCCTTTGACTAGCCCTTCAAATGAAAAAGCTTACAAATAAACGTGCCTGACGGAAATAGACAGTACACAACCATTTTTTACAAAGTCTACCTCGGGGACTTACATAAACCTCCGAAGTAGGATGTATAATGAAATACATACAGACAGACATAACCCTTGTTAAAAACCAGATACTCATAAATATGTACCCCAAAGTCAAATGGTCCCTTCTTCTTGCGGTTTTCCCGACATTAAAATACGCACGTACAACACGCAACCGCAATGATTCAAAGTGTCAAATAAAAGCATGTACACACGACCCTAAAATCGTTTTTTTAACTAGCCTAATGCTATTGGCCGAAGCTGGCCTTTATAGCTTCATTGAACGAAAGGGGCGAGTACAGATGGCACTCCAAACCTGCGGACCGGACCGGCTGAAAACCAATTCCTACCTGATGGATACGAGTTTTGTCTGAGGGCACCGCTAGGGGTTCGAATCTACTTTCAGGCCGTCGTAATTTCCATCCCCGTTAAAATTGGACTGATAACATTAATAAGGGACCTAAAATTGGTGACAATAGCAGTTGTGGGTAGCGTCCTAGATCAAATCGTCAGGGAGAATAATAATGATTAATATTTGTCTACTTATAATGCGCTCTATGTAGTTCTTTACGCCGGGTGCCCAACTTTAAAACATTTGGCCTCGTACGAATTTAAAAATCGCGTATATTATCTCGGTTTAGCTCACTAACCTCGTACATAATCGTATTTTAACCGATTTCCCTAGGTATTGCACTTACGCGGGGATAAAAATATCCTCGTATCGAAGGCCAAAAATTTCGTACCTGTTCGAAGATTCTCGTACAGTTGGCAACCTGTACCTACTCTTCTCTATTACTATCAATTTTAGGGCCGTGTGTAGATGCTATAACAGCTGTTGTTAAACTAAACTGAGTGTTAAGGTGTCGACTTTACTAAATATCACAACACGAATATATAGATATGCTTGATTTTTGGCATCGATAGAGAAATAATACATATACCTATTGGTAAGTAACTTAAAGATGTTTTTAAAAAAATAATTTACTCGTGACTTTTGTAACTTAAAAGTACTGAAAAAAATAACTTAGTTTCGATTGATGTAGGATTGAATAATGGATATTTACAATCTACTGACTGATGTAGGAGCCACGTTAACAATAAATACTTTCTATAACATCAACATACTAAAGTTATTACAGCAAAAGATTATGACTGTAAGTATAGCAAAGAAAATATACATTAGCCCATATTAATATACTTTCTGTATATTAATACCGAAGTATAAATAACAATAGACTTACAAATTCACAATCTGTCCATAACTATACGTATTGACTCGAGCATTGAAAGTAGGCCGCCAATGGTATCACAAGCATTTATTGGAATTTAACGTCCTTTGTCGCGTCTTGGACTTTCTCACCATCATGACTTATTTATGAGTTGGATTCGATTTTCATTTAGAACTAAGTAACTTTATACAGTAA